TCCCTGCAGAGCACAGCATCTGCACATCCCTGGGCTCCCCGCTGGTAGCTCCCCAGTGGGGGATCCGAGGATGGTGGAGCCCTGCTGGGTGTTTTGTCACCAGCTCTGCCCGCAGCAAGGAGGGGAAGGCAAAGGCGGCCACCTCCTGTGCTGGGAGCAGCCGCAGGGCTGTGTGTGGTGCTCAGTGCTCATCTGGTGAGCTTCTGTGTGGCTGTGGGACAGTTCCTGAGCCACGAATCCTGTCCTTTCTGCCACTGCCACGTGTCCCCATCAGGTCCCGCGGGCTGCGGCTGATCAGTGCCTTCTCCTCCCCCCTGCAGGTCTGGGCCCCAATTCTTCTTCCACCCCGGCGCACGAAGTGGGCAGGAGGACCTCAGTGCTCTTTTCCAAGAAGAATCCGAAAACCGCAGGACCCCCCAAACGCCCGGGACGTCCCCCGAAGAACCGAGACAGCCAGATGGCTCCTGGCCACGGCAACAGCCCCATCGGCCCCCCGCAGCTCCCCATGATGGGCTCCTCCCAGCGGCAGAGGAAGCGAGGGCGAAGCCCCCGGCCCAGCTCCAGCTCCGACAGCGACAGCGACAAGTCCACGGAGGACGCTCCCATGGGTGAGCACGGCACCCACGGCCCCGGGGGGAGGCTGCCACAGGGCGCTGTGCCCTCGTAACGCCCTCCTGGGCCGTTCTTTTCCCCAGACCTGCCCGCCAACGGCTTCAGCAGCGGGAACCAGCCGGTGAAGAAGAGCTTCCTGGTGTACCGCAACGACTGCAACCTCCCTCGGAGCAGCTCCGACTCCGAGTCCAGCAGCAGCAGCAGCAGCAGCGCTGCCTCGGATCGCACCAGGTACCTCACCCCGGTGTCCCTGGGAGCCAGGGGGCGGCTGAGCCGTGGGGCAAGGTGTGGGAGCCCACCTGCCCCTTTCCCTGGGGACAGCGCCCATAATTGCAGGCCTCTGCTCCCAGGTGAAGGGGGCTGGTGGCCCAGCCTGGGTGGGAGCAGCGCCGGGCTGCCTGCTGTAGCTCTGCCAAGCTCCCGGGGCTGGCTGGTGGAGCTCTGAGCCACCCGTGTGGCCCTCTGGAAGCGTGACCGCCGCTAACAGCTCCGCTCCCTCTCTCAGCACAACGCCCTCCAAGCAGGGCCGGGGGAAGCCCTCCTTCTCCCGCGTCAACTTCCCCGAGGACAGCAGCGAGGACACGTCGGGGACAGAGAACGAATCCTACTCGGTGGGCGCCGGGCGAGGCGTGGGGCACAGCAGTAAGTACCGGCACCTCCCAGCGCCCCGCCTGCTGCCCGGCATCACGTGGAGGGGCGCAGCTGAAGCCCCTCTCCCCTTTCTCTTGGCGCAGTGGTGCGGAAGGGCATCGGCCGCGGCGCGGGGTGGCTCTCCGAGGACGAGGACTCCTCCCTGGACGCCCTGGATCTGGTGTGGGCCAAGTGCCGGGGGTACCCGTCCTACCCGGCGCTGGTGAGTGGGGCTCCCAAATCCTGCGCCTCCCCAAATCCTGTCCTGGCACCGAGCCGGGTCTGGGGGCGGGTGGGAGGTGGGATTACAGCGTCCCCAAGGAACGGGGCTGGTCTGGGTCATGGCTCGCTGTCAGAGCTGCGTTCTCTGCCCCCCGCCAGATCATCGACCCCAAGATGCCGCGGGAGGGCATGTTCCACCACGGCGTCCCCATCCCCGTGCCCCCCCTGGAGGTGCTGAAGCTGGGCGAGCAGATGACTCAGGAAGCGCGGGAGCACCTCTACCTCGTCCTCTTCTTCGACAACAAGCGCACTTGGTGAGGCCCGGGCGGGGACGCGGGGTTGAGGGGGGTGCCTCTAAGGACTCGAGGGTGGGTTAATGGAGGGGGGGGGGTGAAATAAACCCGCGGGGGGGCGGCACGCAGCCGCCCGTAACCCTCAAACGAGGCGTCCGCCGGCTCCCCGCAGGCAGTGGCTGCCCCGCACCAAGCTGGTGCCCCTGGGGGTCAACCAGGACCTGGACAAGGAGAAGATGCTGGAGGGCCGCAAGTCCAACATCCGCAAGTCGGTGCAGATCGCCTACCACCGCGCCATGCAGCACCGCAACAAGGTGCAGGGCGAGCAGAGCAGCGACTCCAGCGACAGCGACTGACCCCCCCCCGCCGCCCGCCCGCCGCACCGGGCCCGCCGCAGCTGGACTGCGCCGCACCGGGGAGGGGGGGAGAAATTGGGGGGTGGGGGGAGTGGGGGGGGGAGAACCAGGCCCGGGGCCGCCCCCCCCCCTCCTCCTCCTCCTCCCCCCGTTTTTTCCCGTTGCCCGCCCCCCCCCCACTCCTCTCCCGGTGCCGGCGGGGCTGTAAATACTGTACAGCCCTGCCCCTTAAATTATTCCCCCGGGGGGGGGGGGGCGGCCCCGGCGCCGGGAACGTGTTTGTAATTTATTATTTTGGAGGAAAGGAAACAAAAAAAAAAAAATCACAGACAAACGAAATGCTGGCGGGGCGGGGGAGGGAGGGGGGGAGGTACCGGGAGGTTGGGGGGGGGCGCACCGGGACTCAGCCGCTTCCGGGGCTGGGCCAGGGAGAACGGAAACGGCGCCGAGGGGGGGGCGCTGTGCGCGCCTGGGAGGAGCTCCATGGTGGGGGGCGCAGGGGGGGAGCGGGGCTGGAGGGGGGGGAGTTAGGGGAGGGAGGCTCTGTGGGATGGGGGGGCGCTGGGGGGGGTCTATGGGGGGGCAGGTCTGGGGGGGAGTGATGGGGAGATGGGGGGCTGGGAGGGGAGGAATTGGGGTTGGGGGGGGATTGGGGGGACTAGGGAGGAAGAAGTGGGGTGGGGGGGCTAGGAGGGGAGGAATTGGGGCTGGGGGAGATTGGGATTTGGGGGGGCTGGGGGAAAGTATGGGGGGTTGGAGGGGAATTGGGGATTGGGGGGGGCTGTGGGGGGAAGAATTGGGGTTGAGGGCTTGGAGGGGAGGAATTGGGGCTGGGGGAAAGTGTGGGGGGCCATGGGGGGCTGGGGAGGGGTTGTGGGGCTGTGGGGCCAGGGTGGGAGGGGGAGTGCTGGGGGGATTCTGGGGCTGGGGGGAGGAATTGGGGAGGGGGGAGTCTGGGGGGAAAATGGGGATGGGGGGGGTCTGGGAGGGAAAAAAGGGGGTCTGGGGAGCCAGGTTGGGGGATGTGGGGGCATTACACAACAGGGAGGGGGCACAGAGGGAGGGGGCCACACTGTAGGGTACAGGTGGGTGTCGAGGCAGCGCCTGACCCTGCTGCCCCCACGGGCAGAGGGGCACCACCGTCCCCCCCCCAGCCCCCCCATGGCTCTGCGGGACGCCCCCTCCTCCTGCCCGGCCCTGTGGCGCTCGCTGCGCTGCCCGGCGGCCGAGCTGCGCCTGGACCTGGTGCTGTCCTCGGGGCAGACGTTCCGGTGAGCCCACGGGGGGGGCTACGGGGGGGCTACCTGGGGGTCACGGAGCCCGTCCCGATGCCCGGTGCCTGGCAGGATGGCAGGAGAGCAGCCCCGGGGCCTGGACGGGGGTGCTGGGCGCCCGCGTCTGGACGCTGGTGCAGGAGCGGGACCGGCTGTGGTACACGGTGTACGGCGAGGAGCCCCCCGGCCCCCACACCGACAGCATCCTGCGGGAATACTTCCAGCTGGACGTGGGGCTGCCGGCCCTCTACCGCGCCTGGGGGGCGGCCGACCCCCACTTCCATAGGGTGGCCGGCGACTTCCCAGGTTGGGCAACCCCACGGGGCGGTGGTGGTGGCACCCACCGGGGTGGTGGCGGTGGTGGTGGTGGTGGCACCCACCGGGCCCCCCCCCGTGACCCCGTCCGTGCCGTAGGGGTGCGGGTGCTACGGCAGGACCCTGTGGAGTGCCTGCTGTCCTTCATCTGCTCCTCCAACAACCACGTCGCCCGCATCACCGCCATGATCGAGCGCCTCTGCCAGGCCTTCGGCCGCCGGCTGTGCCAGCTGGACGCGCGGCCCTTCCACGCCTTCCCCTCCCCGGCAGCACTAGCAGGTCCCCCCCATCCTTGACCACCCTCCTCCAACCCAGTTTGGGGTCCCCGTCCCACGGCCCCGCTGTCCCCTCGCAGGCGGCGATGCCGAGGCCAAGCTGCGGGCGCTGGGCTTCGGCTACCGGGCCAAGTACGTGAGCGGCACCGCGCGCGCCATCGCCGAGGGGCTCGGCACCGAGGGGCTGCACCGGCTGCGCGCCGAGCCCTACACCGAGGCCAGGAGGGTGCTGTGCGCCCTGCCGGGCGTGGGGACCAAGGTGGGTGCCGGAACGGGGACAAGGATGGGGACGTGGCGTGGTGGCGGTGGGGGTGACGGTGGCACGCGTGGCAGGTGGCCGACTGCGTGTGCCTGATGGCGCTGGACAAGGCGGATGCGGTGCCGGTGGACACGCACGTGTGGCGCATGGCGCGGGAGCACTACGGGGCCGCGCCGGGTGCACGCTCCCTGACGGCCCGCGTGCACCAGGAGATCGGTGAGGGCCCCAAAACGGCGCTCAGCACCCCGCAGCCCCGGCCCTGAGCCCCCCACCCAGGGCTCGGAGGGCACGGGCTGAGCCCCCTCCCCATGGCTGGCTCCGATCTCCCCGCAGGAGACTTCTTCCGCGGGCTGTGGGGACCCTACGCGGGCTGGGCGCAGGCAGTGAGTACCCCACCGTGCTGCCCCACACCCCAAAACCCATCTGCCCCCCCCCCCCAGGCTGTGCCCCCCCAGCACCTTGACCCCCTCCCCAGGTCCTGTTCTGCGCCGCCCTCCACAAGGGGCAGGATGTGGCCGGCAGCGGGAAGCGGGCCAGGAGGGGCCGGGAGAGCTGCGGGGACAAAAAACCCTAAAGGACAGCCACGAAGCCCTAAAGGGGGATCACAAAGCCCTAAAGGGGGTTCTCAAAGCCCTAAAGGGGGTTCTCAAAGCCCTAAGGGGGGGCGCAGGGGCAGGGCCGTGGCTGCCCCCCCCCCCCCCACCCGCTGTGCGCCCCAGGGAGCTGCTGGCGCCGAGGGAGCTGCTGGCCCCAGGGGGGCCGAGCCGAGCTGGGCGGCTCTCGCCTGTTTCCTTTATTACAAGCAATAAAATAGAAACATCCATTTGGAAAATGCGCCTGGAGCATGCCGGGGGGGGGCCGGAGTGGGGAGGGAGGGAGAGGGCCCGGCTGGAGCCCCCCCCTCCTTCCCCCCCCAGCCTTGGGGGTGCTCCTGGGAGCTGCCCCCCAGCCCCGTGCAGACCTCGGCTCCAAGCCTGCAGGGGGGCAGCCCCCTCCCCAAAAAAAAAGGGGTCCCTCCTGGGGCTGGCTGGCAGCAGGGCAGGGTGCCCCCCCCTCACGGTTCTGCCCCAAAAAAGGAGCAGATGGGGGGGGGGGGGAGAGGGATTTTTTGGGGTCCGTGAGGCTGGGCACCCCCCACCTCAGCACCACAGCCTGTATCAGGGGGCAGGACCCCCACTGGACCCCCCCCAAAACGCCCTGCCCCGTCCAGCTGTGCCCCCCCCAGCCCCCCAGCAGCCGAGCTGTGCGGGTGGGGGCCAGGCCCTCAGTGTGGGGGCAGCCGGGGGGGTCTGTTCAGCCTGGCGCCCGCTCGCAGTCTGACCCTGCTGGTGGGGAGGGGGGGGGACACAGGGTGAGAGCCTGGCGGCACCCCCAGACCCATGGGGGTGTGGGACGAGGATTTGGGGAGGGGGGAAATAGGGGGGGGCGTCAGGGCTCACCGTTGCTGGAGGCCCCCCCCAGGCGCTGGCCGTGGCAGGGGCTGCTCAGCGGGGGCTGCGCGGGGCCCTCCTGGCTGGTTCCCAGCTGCAGCTTCCTCATGTGCCGCACCACGGCCGTGGCGTTGAAGGCTTGCTGCCGAGCGCACGGTGTCCATCACCGCGTCCCAGCACCGCTGTGTGCCCCCCCCCGGCCCCGTAATCCCCCCCACCCCAGAACCACCCCCCCGTCCCCGCTCACCTTCCACTTGCTCTTGGCGAAGTTCTTCTTGATCTGCTCGCTCACCGACTGGTGGATGTTCTTGTCCAGGGCCGTGTCCCCGGCGATCCTGGGGTAAAAAGGGGATCGGGGGGGGGCCCAAAGCTTCAAGGGGGGGCGCAGCTTACCCTAGGGAGGGAGCTTGGGGAGGAGCCCCCCCCCCAAATCCTTACCAGGGGTGCTGCAGGGCTTGCTCGCACGTGAAGCGCTTTTTGGGGTCCTTCTCCATCAAGTGCCTGATGAAGTCTTTGGCTGGGGGGGGGCGCAGAGCATCCGTGAGAGCCCCCCCTTTGTGCAAACCACCCCCCACCCGCTGTGCCCGGCCCCCCCCGGCTCACCCGAGTCCGAGATATCGTCCCAGTAGGGCGAGTCGAACTCGTACTCGGCTCGCAGGATCTGCTCGAAGAGCTTGGCGTCGTTCTCAGTCAGTAGAACGGGGGGTACCCGCACAGCCTGGGGGGGGGGACAACATAGGATGAGGGGGGGGCTCAGCAGCCCTGGGGAACCCTAGAAGGACTGGGGGGGGGGGCTCACAGGATGTAGGCGATGACCCCGATGGACCAGCAATCCACTGCCTTGCTGTAGGGCTTCTGCGCCAGCACCTCGGGGGCTGGGGGAGAGACATGGGGTGGGTGGGGGGTCCCCAAGTTGGATGGGGGAACCCAGGGTGGGTGGGGGTCCCCGGGGTGGGTGGGGGACCCCAGAATGGCACCGCGGGGAGCCCCGCAGCCCCAGGGGGCTCACCCACGTATCCGGGGGTCCCGCAGGCGGTGGACATGACGCTGCCGCAGCCCTCGATCTTGGAGAGCCCGAAGTCGCTGATCATGATCTTGGAGTCCTCCTCCAGGCTGTAGTACAGCAGGTTCTCGGGCTGCGGGGTGGGGGCGGCAGGGCCGGGTGACACCAGGAGCCCCCCCACGCCCCCTACACCCTGTTTCCCCCCCCCCCCCCCCCCTTTTTCCCACCCCCCCTCACCTTGAGGTCTCGGTGCACGATGCCCATGTCGTGCAGGTACCTGACGGCGTCCAGGATCTGCCGGATCAGGGCGCTGGCGTCGCGCTCGGTGTAGAAGCCCTTCTCCACGATGCGGTCGAAGAGTTCCCCCCCCGACACCCTGCGGGGCCGTGGGACACCATCAGCCCTTCCCCTGGGGTGGGGGGCAGCCCCCCCCCCCTCCCCAGGGACCCCCTCCCCAGCACCCGGTGCCGGCACTCACAGCTGCATGATGAGGTAGAGGTGGCTGCTGCTCTCGTAGATGTCATCCAAGGCCACGATGTTGGGGTGCTTGATCCTGTTGGGGGGGGCGATAAGGGGGGATTAGCGGGGTCAGGATGTGCCCCCCCCCCCAAAAAAAAAAAAAAGCAGCAGGCTGGCAGGGCAGGGAGCAGCCCATGCCCTGCAGGGCACCGCGTGCCGGGTTATTTTGGGCGTGCTGATAATGCCCCGATGGGATGGGTGCCGTGCCGGGGGGGCGCAGCACGAGGTGTGTGCCCCCCCCCTGAGCCCCCCCTACTTGTGCAGGACGGCGATCTCGTTCTCCAGCCCGGCCTCCTTCCCCTCCAGCGCCTTCTTGGCGATGCACTTGATGGCCACCAGCTTCTGGGTCGCCTTCTCCTCCGCCAGGACCACCTCGGAAAAGGCCCCCCTGGGGCGGGAGGGGACGGGTGAGACCCGGGGGGGCGGGGGGGGGAGAAAAGGACGGATGGACGGGGGGGGGACACTGCCAGAGCTGCCGCGCTGCCATTGCCATGGTGACAGGCAGAAAGTCCGGCTATTTATAGGAGAAAGGCGAGCAGGAGCCGCCCGCTGGGACGGACGGGCCGTGGGACGCGGGCACTGACGGTGCCGGGGTGCTGGGGGCACCCCATAACCCCCCCACCCCACTGCTCGTCCCCTCCCCAGGGCCGGGAGGGGACGGCAGCCCCGGGGACAGCCCCACAGTGGGACCCCCCCACCCCAGCCCGTACGCCCCCAGGGTGCCGTGGGGGGACCCAAAGGTGCCCAGGTGGGGCAGGTGGAGGGCAGGGCGCGGGTGCTGCCGTGCCCTAATCCCTGCTGTAATTAACCCGGTAATCCACCCTAAGAGCCTTACGGCACCCAGGCGGCACCGGGTGCCACCGCGTGCCCCTCGGGGGACAGGGACCCTCGGGGGTGGCACCCCCGGATGGGGGGCACGGCGTGGCACGGCGTCACAGGGCAGCCAGCACTACACCCCCCACATGTCCCCATGTCCCCTGCCTGTCCCCGCACCCCCCTGCCCGTCCCTTTGCCCCCAGCCCAGCCCCGCCACGGGGGGTGCCATCCCGCGGCGGTGGCACCCGCCCCGTGCCAATATTTGAGCTGGCACCGCTCCAACCTCCCCCTCCCCGTCCCTCCCCACCCAGGCCAGGCTCGGTGGTGGCAGTGCCAGCTCCGGTGCCACCTGCGACTCACGTGCCCAGGACCTCTCGGAAGTCGTAAATTCGGTGGATGTCCTCGGTCCGCTTCTTCCAGCCGGGCCCGTCCCGCCCCAGCGGCATGGTGGCCTGGGCCTGGGGGGGGTGGCACCGGGTGGCACCGGGTGGCACGGGGGGGGGGTGACACGGTGCCACCACGGCTGCGACCCCACTGGGCACGCTGCCTCGGTGCTGGCACCCCACGGGACGCGGTAACGGGCAGGACGGGTGGCAGGGTGCGGGGACGCAGGGGACTGCAGGCCACCGGGGAGGTCCCCGTGCGCTCCCGGTGCCGCGTGGGGACCTCCCCGGGGATGCCCGGGGCGCGGCTGCTGCGCCCCGCGTGGGCTCGGGGCGCTGCCCACGCAGATCCCGAGTGGGGCAGGGTGTGGGCGGGGTCCCCACGCGTGGCCCCGCCGCCCCCTCCCCTCCCTTCCCCGCCTGCGCCCCCCCCCCCTCCCCGCCCTTACCGACGGCCCCGGCCCCGCGCGCAGCGGAGCGGCGGCGGCGGCAGCTCCGGGCACGGCGCGCCGGGAGGCCCTGACGTCACGGGGGGGGCGGGGGCAGCCCCCACCCAGCCAATGGGAGGCCGCGGGTGGGGTGCCCACGCGTGACCGCGGGCCGGGGGGGGGCGGCTGCGGGGACACCGGGGGGGACACCCCACAGCAGGGACCCACCCTGGGGAGCCGGGGATGGGGACACCCCGCAGGGGACGCACCCCACGCCCCCCCCATTGTGTCCCCCTCACACCCACGCGTGTCCGCAGCCCCCCCACGGAAGCACACTGCTCATGCCGGGCTCCTTTTATTGCCTGCACGAACCCACAGGTACAGCCCTAGCCCGCCGCGCCCCCTCCCCAAAATCCGCCCCCCCTCCCCGGTGACACCACCACGCTGCTGCCCCCACGGCCCGTGGGCAGCCCCCACTCGTGTCCACGCGGAGCTGGCCGTGGGAGCTGCCCCGGCTGTCCCTCCGAGGCCAGGCACCCCAAGAACCAGGGGAGCAGAAGCCACCAGGGGGCTGTGTCCCCCCCCCCAGGGACGCTTTGTGGCCCCCGTGCGTCACCTCCGTGCCCCAGCTCCTGCCCCGGTGGCAGCCGCAGAGCCGGGCACGGAGCAGGACGCGCCCCTCAGCAGCACCCTGAGGCGCTGGGTGGCACGGTGCTGTCACACCCCCTCTGTCCCCAGCCCACGGGTGACACTGTGGGGACCGCGGGCACGCCGGGACCCCGCAGGGGACAGGGGACAGGGCCACCTCCTCGTCCCCGTGACAGTCAGCTGAAGGCGCTGGGGGTGCCGTGCTGAGCGCCCCGCTACCCGTCCAGCAGCTTGAGGATGCTCTCGCGCTCCTTCAGCGTCTTCCAGGCCTGGTCCTTCTCCTTCTTGGTGGGCGTGCGCTTCTTCTGCCGCGCCGCCATGATCTTGCGGAAGGCGTCCATCACCTCGTTGTCGGCCATGCGGACGCGCTGCCGCAGCTCCTGCCGGTGCAGCTCCTCCTTGGCCAGCCTGGGGACACGACGGGGGGGTCACTCCCTGCCCGCTGTGTGTCCCCCCCACCTGCCTGTCCCTGTCCCTGCCCGCGCTCACCGCAGCAGCTCGTGCTTCTTGGCGCGGTTGTGGGCGCTCAGCGCCTTCAGCTCCGCCTGCCTCTTGCGCAGCTCGGCCAGGACCTCGTCCTCCGAGTCCTCGGCGGGCCGGTCCTCAGACTCCAGCAGACCCTGCGCCACCAGCTCCTCCTTGATCCGCCCCTCCAGGGACTTGGTGTGGGGCACGCTGCGAGGGGCGGGGGGCGGGCGCTGAGCGTGGGGACGACCCCAATGCGCTGCTACCCCCGCGTCGCGTCCCATCGGGGCAGGGGAAGCGCCACGGATGGCTCCGAGCCGCCCCAAACGCTCACCTGAAGGGTTTGTTCTGGCTGCGGGGGGATGTGCCGGCACCGTCAGCTCCCGAGTCCTTGCCGGCGATCTCGGGGATGGGGGAGTCCTCCACGGGGGAGATGATGTTCTCCTGGAGAGCGGGGAGCAAGGAGGGGAGGGTCACAGCTGGCCCAGCCGCAGCCCCGTGGGACCACCGCAGCCCCCAGCCCCCTCACCTCCACCAGGGCCTGCAGCAGGCGCTGCGTCAGGGGCCCGAAGGGACACCCGTCCTCGGGCTGCTCGTGCTGCGCCTCCGACTTCTTCAGCAGGGCATCGACATCTGCCGGGGGGGGAAAAAATAATCAGCAGCGGGGCGGAGGCAGCTCTGGCTCTGCAGGAGCTGGGTGCCAGCCCCCCAAATCTCTCCCCGCAGCCCCCAGCCCGTTGTGCCAGGTGGGATGAAGGCACCTTTGGTGTCCAGCTCGGTGAGCGGCCCCAGGACGCCTTTCTTCTTGTCGGCAGCGGCTGCAGCCCGGGCTCCGTCCTTCTGCTCCTCCAGCAGGTCCTCCTGGGCCCAGCGCTGCGAGTAGTGCTTCCCCAGGGGCGGGATCTGCGGGGACAGGTGGGGGGGCACGCTCAGCACGGGGCTCGCGGCCCCTCCAGCCACTGGGGAGGGGGGCTGAGGGGGTGGTGAGGATGAGGAGGGGCTCCTTGGGTGCCGTGCGAGACCTGGCCAAGGAGATGATCGAGGAGAGGGGGCAGGAGAGTGGGTGAGGGATGAATGGGGTAGGGAAGGGGACCTGGAGCTCCTCACCTTGTAATGCTCGGCCTCGTCCTCGGGCGGCTTGAGCAGCTCCTCCAGGACTCGGACCTCCTCGTTGGTGAGGTCGGCGCAGTACGGCTCCACCGACGCCCAAAACCTGCGAGGACGGAGGGGACAGGGGGGTGAGGGGACCTGCGGGGACACCCGGGGGGCTTCTCCCCCCCTGTGGGGTGAAGGCAGCGGGGATCCCGGTTTGGGGCACCTGTTTGGGGCATCGTTTTTGGGAATCCGGGGCACTTCGATGGGGTCGTCCTGGAACTCGTACTCCGGGATTTTGGGCTGCAGGTTCTTCGATTTGGGCCTCCCGGGGCCGGGCCCGGTGCCGTGCCCCCCTTTGCCCTCCAGCTTCTGCTTCTTGGGCTTGCCGTGCTTGACGGAGGGCCCCACATCGTGCTCCTTGCTCAGCTTCAGGAACCGCCGGTCGCCCTTCTTGTCCTGCCAGTCCGTCAGGATCTGGAAAAAAAGAAAACGACCCCGCGGTGGGGAATTGTGTAGGGACACGGAGAGAGGGGACACTGGGGACCCTCGGGAACCGTCCCCCCACCTGCGTCTCGGCCTCCAGCACGCGGAGGCGGCGGCTGGCGGAGGAGAGCAGCGTCTCCAGCTCCAGCTGCAGCGTGTCCAGCTCCTCGATGCCGATGCCGTCGTCCTCGGAGCGGGCCAGCACGGCCGTGTAGCGCGGGCACACCTTGCCGTGATCCACGGACTTGAAGTCGTGGAACTGCAGCGGGCAGTCCTTCAGCTCGCTCATGGTGCTGGCGGCACCCGGGGGGGGGGGCACCGGGGGGAGGCACCGGGGGGGAGCGGGGGGATGCCGGTAGCACTTTGATGGGGAACTGGGGGGGGACCAAGGGGTGCTGGGAGGGTGCTGAGGGGGCTGGGGGGCACCGGGGGGTAACGGGAGGGCACCGGGAGGGAGCGGGGGGGGGGCGTGAGGTGAACCGGGAGGGAATGGGGGGTGGGGGGGGGGGACCGGGAGGCACCGGGGGGGCACCGGGGGTTGTTGGAGGGGGAGCGGGGGGCACCGGGGGTTACCGGGAGGCACCGGGGGGTAACGGGAAGGCACCGGGGGGGAACGGGGAGGGCCTGAGGTGCACCGGGAGGGATGGACGGGTACCGGGGGGGCACCGGGAGGCACCGGGGGTTACCGGGGGTTACCGGGGGTCGTCGGAGGGGCACCGGGAGGTACCGGGGGGGCACCGGACGGCACCGGGGGGGCACCGGGGGTCGTCGGGGGTGCACCGGGGGGGTACCGGGAGGCACCGGGGGGGTTACCGGGGGGGTACCGGAGCGGTACCGGGGGGTACCGGGGAGCACCGGGGGGGTACCGGGGGGTACCGGGGGGAGCACCGGGGAAGCGGCGAGCACCGGAGGGCAGCGGAGGGCAGGGGCTGGGGGCGGGGGGGGGGCACCGGGGGGCTGCGGGGCGCCGCGGGGGCCGGGCCAGGCCTAGGCCGCTCGCCCCCTTCCGGCCCCCGTCGGCCGCGCCGCCGCCGCCCCGCCCCCCGCTCCCCATTGGCCAGGCCGCGCCCAGCGCCCGCCGCTCATTGGCTGAAGCCGCGCGCCGTCTGCATGCCCTAATATGGAAGCGCTGGCTGGAGTGTACCAAGTGTGGAGGGGAGAGGGGGGGAGCGGGGGAGGATGAGCCGCTCCCACGGGATGCTGATGCTGCGTTCCTCGATATCCCCGCCGGGATCGCTCTGAAAGGCGTTATAAATCCTCGGGGAGGCACGGTGGGATCTTTTGGCCTAGATCCAAGCGCTGGGCGCGCAGAGGGCTCCTCCCGCCTCCCCCCTCCCGCCGCAGTGGGAGGTGCCGCGCATCCCGGAAGAGGAGAGCGGCCACTTCCGCCTCCCGGGAGAGGAGCGGAACCGAGCGGAGCGGAGCGGGACGGGACCGGCACCGGCACCGGGCTGACACCATGGTGCGGGCGGGCGGGGCCGGGCGGGGCGGGGCCGGGACCGGGGGCTGGAACGGGATCAGGGGCTGGGACCGGGGACCGGGAACCGGGACCGGGGACCAGGGGTGGGCGGGGGCGGGGACCGGGACCGGGACCGGGAGCTGGGCCTGGGCCTGGGTCTAGGCCTGGGCCTGAGGCCGGGGCCTGGGCCTGGGCCTGGTCCCGGGCCCGGTGCTGCCGCTGCCGGTGCTGACGCCGGTGCCGGTTCCGGTGCCGGTTCCGGTTCCGGTGCCGTTCCCCGCAGACCGCCACGCTGCGCCCGTACCTGAACGCGGTGCGCGCCACGCTGCAGGCCGCGCTGTGCCTGGAGAACTTCTCCTCGCAGGTGGTGGAGCGCCACAACAAGCCCGAGGTGGAGGTCAGGTACGGCCGCTCCCCCCCCACCACCACCGGGCACCACCGGGCACCGTCCCGGAGCCGCCCCCGCCCTCACGCTCGGCGCCGTTTCCTCCCGCAGGAGCAGCAAGGAGCTCCTGCTGCAGCCCGTCATCATCAGCAGAAACGAGAAGGAGAAGGTGCTCATCGAGGGCTCCATCAACTCCGTGCGCGTCAGCATCGCCGTCAAGCAGGTGCCTGGGGGGGCGGGGGGGGGGCAGGGGGCGGGGGGCTCGCACCGGGAGGGGGCCTCCTCACCTCGCCTCACCGCCCGCTGCTCTTCCCAGGCTGACGAGATCGAGAAGATTTTGTGCCACAAGTTCATGCGCTTCATGATGATGAGGGCCGAGAATTTCTTCATCCTGCGCAGGAAGCCCGTGGAGGTGATGTAGGGGGGAGGGGGGACACACAAAGGGGGCTTCCAGCTCCCCCTCGGGGGTCTCCAGCGCAGGGCTGGGCCGTGGGGGTGCCCGCCGGGTGCTCACCCCCCCCCCTGCTCCTTCCATCCCCAGGGCTACGACATCAGCTTCCTGATCACCAACTTCCACACGGAGCAGATGTACAAGCACAAGCTGGTGGACTTCGTCATCCACTTCATGGAGGAGATCGACAAGGAGATCAGCGAGATGAAGCTCTCCGTCAACGCCCGGGCCCGCATCGTGGCGGAGGAGTTCCTCAAAAACGTGAGGCCCTCACCGCCGGGATCGGGGCTGGGGGAGGGGGGTGGCAGCATTTTGGGGTGATTTCTCCCCTTTTTGAGGAGCTGGGGGGCAGCTGACGGACGCATCCCTCCTCTCCCCTCACAGTTCTAGGCGGTGCTGATGACTCCGTGGCTTCCCGGCGCCTGTGCAGAGCCCCGGGGCCGCCCGTTCCAATGGAGGAGAGCCGAGCCCCTGCGGCCCCTGACCCGAGGGGGGGGCACCGGCTGCGCCCCCCCTGCTCCTTGCTGGCCGGGGCGGTGCATGTGGCCGGGGGCCCCCCGGGCTTGTGCGTGCGTGGGGCCGGGCGGCCCCGCTCCCCCCGTCCTGTCGCGTTGTGTTTTTTAAACGGTCACTTGCTGTACTCACGGCTGCTGCGGTTGTTTTTGGGGGCATGGGGGGGGGATTAAAAGGAAGGGGGGGGCACGGGGAGGGGCCTCAGGGAGAAGGGGGAGGGGTTATGGAAGGGGGAGGGCCCGAGGGGTGGCACCATGGCAATGGTAAACAACGGGGGCGACCCCGGCGGTGCGGGCAGGACCGGGGTGGGTGCTGGGGGGAGGGGCACCGAGGGGTTTTGGGGGGTCAGGGGGTGCTTGGGGAGGGTTTGGGGGGGCTGCGTCCTGCTTTTTGGAGCCCCCCTGCTCCGCTCGTGGGGTTTGGGCACCCAGTTCTCGGGGATGGGGGAGCTGCCAGCAGCTTCCCTCGCCCCCCCAGTTCTCCGTGGGGTGCCCCACACCTCGCCCACGCGGGAGCAGCGGCGGTGAGGGGGGTGCCGAGGGGCTGGCGCGTCCCGGGTGCCCCCCAGGAGGGGTCCGTGGCAGCGGGGTGTCCCCAGGGCCACCATGAGGATTGAGAGGTCGGGGAAAGCCGCGGCGGGGACGGCAGGTGGGTGCCTGCTCCCTGCACTCTGGGGCCGGGGGGGGACACACAAAGGGCCGTCCCCCACCCTTTTGGGGCTCAGCTGTCCCCGCAGGGCACGGGGCACCCGTGGGGCAGCGCGGCTGCGGCCGCCCCCAGCTCAACCCCGAGCGGCTGAAGCAGGTCAGGCTGCACGTGGAGAGGGCCATCAAGGTGAGGGCCTGCTCCCGACCCCAAAAATCCCCCGCTTTGGGGCCGAGCTCCCTCGGGGCGGGCAGCACGCCCAGCCCTCGCATCCCCCCCCCCTCCCAGGAGAAGAAGATCTTCATGCTGCAGGGCTCCCACCCCGTCATCCGCCGCCTGCTGCGGGCGCGGGGCTGGGTGGAGAGGAAGGAGCGGGGCGCGGGCAGGGCGGGTGACCCCCGGCAGCAGCAGCAGCAGGAGGGAGGTGGTGACGGCGAGGCCGGGCAGGGTGCCCCCGAGACCTCAAGCTCCTCCTGGCTGCCTGATGATGAGGAAGGAGGAGGAGGAAGAAGAGGAGGAGGAGGAGCAGCAGGATGAGGAGGACCCCGAAGGCATCCACGACCTCATGGTTAGCCACGGGACCTTTTTAAAGGTCCAATGTGGGACCTTTATCCTGATGCCCTCATGCAGAGGGGGCAGCGAGGCTGTGGGGCGGGGGGGTCCCACCTCAGCCAGCCCCTCTGTGCCCCCCCAGTCCCGCCTGGTGCGGGACCAGATGCCCTACTTCATCTGGACCACCCGCGGCAGCGCCGTGCAGGGCCTCGTGCTGCAGCCCGAGCAGGTGGTGAACCACTACGGCCGCGTGGGCTCCTTCACCACCAAGGTGGGGCCTCAGGGGGGATGGGGTGGTGAAATTGGGGGGTGAAGGAGTTTTTTGGGGTGCTGCCACCCTTCTCTACGCAGGAGGGGCTGTGCCTCACCCTGCGGAACCTGCCCTGGTTCGACCAAGCCGACCCCGACACCTTTTTCCCCCGCTGCTACCGGCTGGGTGCCGCGGACGAGCGCCAGGCCTTCATCGGTGAGCTCGGGGCTGGCTCAGACCCCCCGCTGTCCCCCCCCACCCCCGTGTCCCCTTTTCCCCGTGCCCCCCGCGCAGCAGCTGGCTGGGCCATGCCTCCCCTCCCGCAGAGGATTTCCGCCTCACCGCCGCGCGCAGCCTGCTCAAAGTGGCGCTGGAGAGGGCTCAGGAGGTGCCCGCGGGGCCGGACGCGGCCCCAAACCCCACCGAGCCACCAGGTGACGCGGGGGGGGCTCCGTTTGGGACCCCACACACTGAGGGTCCCTCGGAGGGGCGCAGCACCCTGTCCCTCACCCCGCACCCCCTCCCGCAGAGGGTCCGGGTGCCCAGCTGGTGGAGGAGGCGCTGCGGGTGTGCGGGCAGCACCTGGGCAGCCTCACCCACCAGGACATCGATGGCGACCCCAAATCCTCCGGCACCACAGATGCCGCGTGGGACAACTTCCTACAGGGCTACTACCGCGCTGTGCAGTGAGTGCCGGGCTCGGGGACACCCAGGGGACACCCAGGGGACGCAGCTCGCATATGGGGTCGGTGCTGAGCCCCTTTTTTTTTGCAGCGAGGGGGCCGTGCCGCGGCTGAGCGGGGCGCAGCGGGAGCAGGGCCAGCTCCTGCTGCAGCGCCTGGCGGGGCGCCTGCCCCAGCTGTGCATGGAGGGCGACCAAAACGTCTGGATCCTCAAACCCGCAGCCGCGTCCCGGGGGAGAGGTAGCAGAGGGCAAGATGGGGACAACGGGGACAGAAAGGGGGGGTCCCCACACGGTGCCGTGCCCGCAGGCATCACGTGCACGGCGCGGCTGGGCGAGGTGCTGCGGCTGGCGGGCCAGGCGGCGCGGGAGGGCCGCTGGGTGGTGCAGAAATACGTGGAGCGCCCGCTGCTCATCTTCGGCACCAAGTTCGACGTGCGCCAGTGGTTCCTGGTGACCGACTGGAACCCGCTCACCGTCTGGTTCTACCGCCGCTGCTACCTGCGCTTCTGCTCCCAGCCCTTCTCCCTGCGCCAAATGGACGCGTGAGCGCCGCTCCCCGTGCGCCCTCCTCTCGCCTTCCTCTCACCCCCTTTGCGCTCACCACCGCGCTCTCTCTCTCTCCCCCCCAGCGCCGTCCACCTCTGCAACCAGGCCATCCAGCAACGCTGCAGGCCCGGGGGGGCCCAGCACCCCCGGCTGCCCCCCGACAAGACGTGGTCGTGCCGGCAGCTGCAGGCGTACCTGGCGCAGCGCGGGCAGGAGGGCGCCTGGGGCTCGGTGATGGTGCCGGGCATGAAGGCGGCGGTGGTGCGGGCGGTGCGCTGCTCGCAGGGTTTGGTGAGGGGTCGGAAGGGCAGCTTCGAGCTCTACGGGGCCGATTTTGTTTTCGGGGAGGATTTTCGGCCCTGGCTGCTGGAGATCAACGCCAGCCCCACCATGGCCGGCAGCACGGCGGTGACGGGGCGGCTGTGCGCCGGGGTGCAGCGCGACACGCTGCGCGTCGTCATCGACCGCAGGGAGCACCCCAACTGCTCCACCGGGGCCTTCGAGCTCATCTACAAGCAGGTGAGGGGCGGGGGGGGGCACGCGGGGGGGCTGGGCACTGGTTTTGGGATCAAGCACTTTGCTCTGTGCCCCCCCCACAGGCGGCCGTGCCCACCCCTCCCTACCTGGGGCTGAAGCTGGCGGTGGAGGGCTGCTCGCTGCGGAGACCCCGCTGCGCCCACAAGCCCCCCGGCACCACGGCGAGCACCCGTGACCCCCCCGGGAAGCCGTGGACTCCTTCGTGCCCCCCCCTGCACCCTCCACCCACAGCAGGGGGGGCAGAGGATGGGGCCGGTGCTGTGGGACCCTGGGGGCGGGGGCAGCGGCGCTGCCAGCCCTCGGTGGCTCTGCCCCTGCTCGGTGCCCCCGGCCCCATCCTGCCCCCCCGGGGAGCCCCCCCCAGCCGCCAGGGCCGGGCTCGCCTCAGCCCCCTGCCCCTGCTGCCGGCAGCTCAGCCCTGGGGGGGGGAGAAGGTGCAGGGGGGGGGCAGGGGGGACGAAGAGGAGCCGTGACGCACCCACCTGGCCCCCCCCCATCTCCCCCAGTGGCTCCAGGGGGGGGCAAAATACAGCTGTGAGAAGAGCCCGTCTCTGTGCCTTTGTGTGGGGGAGGATGGGCCGGGGGGGGGCACCGGTTACCAGCCCCCCCCGTGCCCCAGATCTGTGGGGCTGTGGCAGGAACTGGGGCCGACGGCACCGCAGCAGGGCTGGGAACTGGGGCATGGTGGGGGGGGGGGGCAAAAAGGGGGGGTCCTGCGGTCACTGGGGGTGACTCAGCCCTGGGGGGGGCACACGGGGAGCCCCCCCCCGGGAGGAAAAAATCACACCAGGCTGCTCAGGGCCACGTAGGGATTTATTGGGGAGAAGCGGGGGGGCTGTGCGTGTGTCCCCCCCCCACCCAGCGGCTGTGCTAGGCGGGGGGGGGCAGCCCCAGCAGCCGCAGGGTGCGTAGGAAGTGGGGGGGCGGGGGGGCGCGCAGGGGGGCGTGGGGCAGGGCCAGCTCCTGCAGGTGGAGGTGCAGGGGCAGGCGGGGGGGGCCGTGGGGGGCAGCCGCAGGCGGCGCAGCAGCTCCGCATCCAGCACCTGGGGGGGGGTGGGAGGGTTAAAGGGGGGGTTATCGGCACGGGACAGCACAAAAATGCCCCCCCCGATGTAAATCATGGCCATTTACCTGCGTGCGAGGCGTGGGGGTGTCCGGGGGGGGCAGCAGGAAGGGCTCCCCCAGCACCCTGCCCACGCGGGGGCCATGCTCGTGGTCCCCCAGCGCCGGGCACAGCAGCAGGGCCAGGTGAACCCGCAGCTGCCCGGGGAAGGCTGCAAAAAGGGGGGGGGAAACACAGAATTTGGTGCCGCGGGGGGGTCCCCAAGGGGGGGCACAGAGCAGGGCTGGGGGGCACTCACCCGTCCTGGGCTGCAGCTGGAGCAGGGCGCAGCCCCCCGCAGCCCCCAGCAGCCGGTAGCGGGTCAGGGTGCTCCTCACCTCCCCCCGGGCCACGCTGCGGCGCCCCGGGCACGGCACCGGCACCACCTAAAGCAGGACACCCTCAGCGACCCCCCCGTGTGCCCCCCCCTCCCCAAAATTCCCCCCAAACCCCCCCAAAACCCCCTTACCACGGCCCCGTCCCCGTGCTGCCGATGGCACAGCCCCACGCGGATCTCGCCCTCCGCCTCCGCCGGGACCCCCACGGTGACAGCGCTGCGGGGACAGGGGTGAGGGGGGGGGTCCTGCCTCGTGGGGTGGGGGGGGGACACGAGAGACCCCCGTGGGGGGGGGCACCCACCTGTAGGTGACCGGGAAGCCCCCCCTGCGCCGCTGGTGGCTGAAGAAGCGCTGCAGCTCCTCCGTGGTGCGGTGGCAGCCGGACAGGAGGACGAGGCCGGAGCTGTCCCTGCAGGAGAAAACCCTGAGACCCCCCCCCCAAAAAAAAAAAAAAAGTCCCCCCCATATGCCCCCCCCCCCCCCAAATACCTGGCGGGCGCCTTCACCACGTGCAGCTCCGTGGGGAGCCCCAGGCGGCGGCGCAGTGCCGGGAGCAGCGCGGCCACGCTCAGCTCCCCGGGGTGCCCTGGGGGGCGTGGGGGGGGGTCAGTGGCGTGTGTGCCCCCCCCGTGACCACCCACCCGTGACCCCCCCACGCCCCCCCCATCCCCACTCACCCAGCACAGGCAGGCCGGGCGGTTTGTTCAGCGCCAGCAGGGCTCCTGCGGGATGCGGTGGGAGCTCAGCGGGAGCCCCCCCACGCGTGGGGTGCCCCAAAACCCACTCGTGACCCCCCCAACCCACTCGTGACCCCCCCCACGCCCCCCCCCCCTTACCTTCCCGGTGCAGCACGGCCGCCTCCAGCACCCCCAGCACCTCCTGGGGGCTCGGGGTCCGCCCCTGCCTGTGGGGGGGGTCGGGATGAGGACACGGCGCCCCCCCCACGCCCCCCCCCACACCCCACGCGTGACCCAATTCAGCCCCACGCCCCCCCCCCACGCTCCCCCACGCCCCCCCACGCGTGTCCCAGCCCCCCCAGCCCCCCCAGCCCCCCATGCGTGCCCCTAACCCTAACCCCGCCCCCACGCCCCCCCCCCCACGCGTGTCCCCCCCCCCAACGCGCGCCCCCGCTGACCCCACGCGCGCCAGCGCGCGCGCGGCCCCGCCGCCGCCGCCCCCCGCCATGGGCGCACTGCGCATGCGCGGCGCCGAGCGGGCTGAGCCCCCTCCCCTCGCATAAAGATCATAGAGACGAGGCCTCCGGGAGGGTAGAGCGGCCGCAGGCCCGCGGCGGAGACCATAGAGAGGCGGAAGGGCGGGCAGAGCGTCGCCGCCCGGGAGCAGGTGGGGTGCGGCGGGAGGGGGGGGGGCACCGGGGAAGGGGGCACCGGGGGGGGATGGGGGTGGTCGAGGGGTGCCCGAGGGAGTGCTGGGGGGGACCGGGGGGGTATCAGGGGGGTCATTGGGGGGGGTCCCGGGGGTTCCTGGGGGGGGTCCTGGGGGTCTCGGGGGGGTGCCAAGGGGGTCCTGGGGGGGTATGGGGGGGGCCCGGGGGGGTCTTGGGGTTCCTGGGGGAGTCCCGGGGGGTCGTGGGGGGGTCCCGGGGGGGGTCCCGGTGGTCCGGGGGGGTCCTGGGGGTCTCGGGGATCCCGGGGGGGTCCCAGGGGGATCCTGGGGGGGTCCCGGTGGTCCGGGGGGGGGTCCTGGGGGTCCCAGGGTGGTCCTGGGGGGATCCTGGGGGTGTCCTGGGGGTGCCTGGAGGGTCCCAGGGGGGTCTCAGGGGTCTTGGGGGGGGTCCTGGGGGGGTCCCTGGAGGTCCTGGGCGGGTCCCAGGGGTCCCCCGGGGTTCCCCTGACGCTGTCAGCCCTCAGGCAGCCCCCACCATGGCCTCCCGTGGGGTCCCCGCGCCACCGGCACCGACGGCAGCGACTTCCAGCACCGGGAGCGGGTGGCCTCGCACTACCAGATGAGGTGGGTGTCCCCCCTGTTCCCCCCCCGGGGCCATTCATGGCCCCCGCATGTCACTGCCAGCCCCCCGGGGCCGTGTTCTGCCCCCCCTGCTCACTGTCAGCCCCCCCACTCCCCGCAGCGTGGCCCTGAAGTCGGAGATCAAGCGCCTGATCTACGTGCACGTGGGGCTGTGGCTGCTGCTGCTGGCGCAGATGTGCGTGGGGCACCTCAAGCTGCTGCCCCACGACCGGGTGGCCATGCCCTACCAGTGGGAGTACCCCTACCTGCTCAGCATCCTGCCCTCCCTCCTGGGCCTCCTCTCCTTCCCCCGCAACAACATCAGCTACCTGGTGCTGTCCATGATCAGCACCGGGCTCTTCTCGGTGGCTCCCCTCATCTACGGGGCCATGGAGATGTTCCCCATGGCGCAGCAGCTGTACCGGCACGGCAAGGCGTACCGCTTCATTTTCGGCTTCTCCGCCGTCTCCGTCATGTACCTGGTGGTGGTGGTGGCCGCCCAGGTGCACGGCTGGCAGCTCTACTACAGCAAGAAGCTGCTGGACTCCTGGTTCACCAGCACGCAGGAGAAGAAGAAGAAGTGAACGGGGACCAGCGGGCACCCGAAAACTGGAGCGTTTTTTTTTTGGGGTGGGGGCTCCGTGCCCAAACCGGATCCGCTCCCACCCTGGGGTGCTGCGGGGTGGCCCCCACGGGTGGCAGCTCCTCGCCCACCCCCCGGGACCACCGTCTGGGACCGAGCCACAACCGTGGGCTCACCTCCAGGGCACGGGGACCCCGGTGCTGGCACGTCCCCCGTGGGCTCGGCAGCCCCTTTCCCCCCCCCCCGCTGTGTCCCGGTACGGAAATAAAGCCCCCCCCAGCCTCCAAGCTCGCTGCTTTCCCACGCGTGTGTGCGCCGCGCGGGGGCCGGCGCAGGAAGCGCTGCCGAAAGCAGGTCGCGGCGGCGCGCACCGGGCGGGGCCGCACGTGCCAACGGAGGAATGCGGCGGGGCCGGCCCGGGGCGGGCACCGAGCACCGGGGACCGAGCACCGGCACCGGGGGGAGCAGCTCTCGGCCATGGGGCTCCCTCTGCTCGGTGCCACCGTCCTGCTGCTGCTGCTGCTGCTGTCGGTGCCGCCGGTGCCACCCGCCGGTGCCGCCGTGCCCCGCCTGCGCGTCTCCGCCAACTTCGTGAGCACCGGGGCACCGGGAGGAGGGAGGGAGAAGGGGGGGGGAAAGGAGCGGGGGCGAGGCGAGCTGATGGCCGTCCGTTCGCTTGCAGGAGTGCCGGGCCAGCGGTGAGTGTCGCCGCCGAGCGGGCCCCCCCCCCCCCCGGTGCGCGGGGCCTGGCGCGGGCTGCGAGCTGGGAGCTGCCGGTTCCCGGGGTTGGGGGGGGGGGAACGGGGGGGTCGTGGGGATCCCCCCCCCTCCCCGGTGCACGGGGCTCCCCGGTGCGTGGGATGCCCGGTGCACGGCCGCCCCCGTTTTCCCCCCCCTCCCCGGTAGCCGACAGCACGCTGAGCCCCCCCCGCTGCCGCCGGGGAGCCCCCGCTCGGTCCCCGCTGACTCCGCCGGCTCTGGCGCTGAGCACGGCGAGGCTGTGCCAGCCCTCGCTGCCCTGCCAGCCCTGCCTGCGGGTGCGCCTGGCCCTCCGTGCCGCAGGTACGGGGCTGGGGGGGCACCGGGAGGGGAGCAGCGGGGTCGTGGGGGCTGTCCCCGTACCCCCCCAGGTGTCATCCCCCTTCTCCCGGTGTCCCCGCAGGGCTCCGCGGGCTGCAGCTCAACTTCCTGGAGCTGGGCTCCAACCGGGCCAGCTGGCTGCAGGTGTGGCGGCGGCACCGGGCACCGGGCAGCTCGCCGGTGAGTGCGGGGCGCTCGGTGGGGGACGGGGATGGGGATGGAATGGGGACGGGGGGTGCACGCTCACCCCCTCTGCTCCCCGCTCCCCGCAGTGGCAGGTGCAGTTCGACTGCTTCCCGGTGGAGAGCGGGCGGCAGGTCCTGGTGTCCCTGCGCACCGTCCCCGACCAAGGCTTGGCCATCAGCCGCAGCCACCTGGTCACTGCCGAGCCCCCCGGTGAGGCTGGAAAGGAGTGGGGGGTCCCGGGGTGGGGCTGGCACCGGCTGACCCCCCCCTGTCCCTTATCTGTGCCCCCCCCAGGGCCCGCTTTCACCCACGCCTGGGTCCCCGAGGCGCGCACCATCGAGGTGGCTGTGCCCGAGGGCCCTGCCCTGATGGTGCGGCTGTGCCACCAGCTGGCCCTGGAGTGCGAGGAGCTGCCCCGGCCCTTCCACCGGCAGGTAATAGCTGGGGGGCTGGGGGGGGCACGCTCCCTGGGGGGTCCCCACGCTCCCGGCCAGCTCGTGCCACTTCCATACCCGCAGGTCCTGGTGCCGGGGGGCCACCGCGTCTCGCTGCCGTACGAGTTCCTGGTGCCCTGCCTGTGCATCGAGGTGTGTCACTGCCCCGTGGGCAGCTGGGGGCTCTCCGCGTGCCCGTGCAGCGAGGGGACACGGGTGGCGGGGACACGGCACGGCCTCACTGCTCTGCTCCCCTCCCCAGGCCTCCTACCCGCAGCGTGACAGCCTGCGCAGCAAGCGCTGCCCCTTCCAGGAGCAGCCGGACGCTTGTGAGTGCCCGAGGGGACCCCAGCCCCAAAAAAGAGGACACCAAGCCCCCCCTGTCTGCCACCCCCCTGACTCTGTGCCCGCAGACGGCCCCGAGCTGTGGTCCTCGGTGCGCTTCCACGACTACAGCACCGGCAGCAAGGACCAGATGGCGATGGCGCTGAGCGCCAGCTGCCCCCTGCGCCCCAGGGCCACCCTGTGCTGGAGGGAGGTGACAGCCGAGGCTGCGCCCTGCCACGACGTCCCCAACTCCACGGCCAGCGAGGAGGAGCAGGTGAGGGGGCCCGGCTTCACGTGCCGTGGTGTGGGCACCCACAGGACCCCAGCGCAGGTTGGGGACAGTCGGTGACGCTCCCTCTGTCCCCGCAGGTGTACACGCTGGACAAGGTGGACGTGCACCCCCTGCTCTGCTTCAGGGTAAGCCCCCGGGGGTGGCACTGCTTGGGAAGGCACCGGGGGGGCCGTGGATGCTGGCACAGCTGACCCCATGTCCCCCCAGTTCTCCTACGGGAACAGCAGCCACGTGGAGTGTCCCCACCGGCCAGGTGAGCCCCATGGGTCAGGGCGCCCCGTCCCACGCTGTCCCCGTCCCCTTGTGCGTCCCCACGCACCACGGTGGCCGCGAGCCCTCTCTCTGGTCACTGCAGAGCCCACCTGGAACGTGTCCCTGAGCGTCCGGGGGCTGCAGCTCCGCCTGCACCTCACCTCCAGCGTCCCCGCGTCCTTCAGCGCAGCGCTGTGCCAGCACCGGGCCGGGCAGTGCGAGCCCGAGGCCCCCGTCTACACCGTCACGAGGGTGAGCGGCACGGGGCCATGGGGGGGGGGGACCACAACCACAGGGGGGGCTGTCCCGGGGTGTGCTGACCCTGCCTCGTGCTTTGCAGCCGGACGGCTCTGCCCCGAGGGAGCTGGCGCTGCTGCTGCCGGTGCAGGTCCTGGGCAGCTGCGTGCTGGTAAGGTGTCCCCCGGCCCTGCCGTGGTGCCCGCACCGGGTGGGGGCCAACCCCGTCCCCCCCTCACCCTTCTCCGTCCCCCAGGTCTGGCGCTCTGACGTGCGCTTCGCCAGGAAGCAGCTGCTCTGCCCTGATGGTGAGTGGGGTCCTGGAGCCGGCGGGAGGGTCTGGGGTCTGGGGGTGGGGTGTGGGGGCTTCCCCCCTCCCCTCACCGCCCCTCTCGCAGTCTCACGCAGGCATTTCGGGCTGCTGGGGCTGGGGCTGGCGCTGGGGCTGGTGCTGACCGTGCTGCTCCTCAACTGCCGCGGCGCATGGAGGCCACCCGCCGGTGAGGGGCAAAAATCTGGGGAAGGGGAGGCTCGCCGTGACCCCACGGGCTGGGGGCGACAGCTCCTGGGTCTGGGGAGGTCTCTGGGGTGGCACGGGGCGCCGCGGTGCCACCGGGGCTCCCCGGGACGGGGCTGTCACCGCTGTCCCCTCTGCCTACAGGCGCAGCGGGCGGCCGCCCCGTGCTGCTGCTGTACTCCCCGGACTCGGAGGAGCACCTGGGGCTGGTGTGCGCCCTGGCCGAGCTGCTGCGCGCGGGGCTGGGCTGCGAGGTGCGGCTGGACCTGTGGGAAGCGGGCGGCGTGGGGCGCGCGGGGGCCCTGCCCTGGCTCTACGCGCAGCGGGGCCGCGTGGGCCGCGAGCGTGGCACCGTCCTGCTGCTCTGGAGCCGGGGCAGCTCCCGGCTCTTCCGCCTCTGGAGAGGGGGCGAGGGCGGTGGGGAGCCCCGGGACGCCCACGATATTTTTGGGGCGGCCATGGCCTGCCTGCACGGGGAGCTGGGGGCGGCGGGGTGCCGCCGGGACTGGGTGCTGGTTTACTTCAGCCGCCTCTGCAGCCCCCGCGACGTCCCCCGGCCCCTGCGGCCCCTGCCCACCTACCGCCTGCCCCAGGAGCTGCCCCGGCTGCTGGGTGCCCTGCGGGGCGGCCGCCCCGGCCACCGCCTCCGCGGCCGGGCAAAGGGGCTCCTGCACCGGCTGATGGAGGCGGAGGCGAGCAAAGAGGCGGCGGGGGGCAGCTCCGGTGGGTGTCCGGGCTCCCCGCTGCAGCCCCCCGGCACCTGAGTGCCCCCGCAGGGGCTGAGCTGGGCAGAGCAGCGGCGCTGGGCGCACGCCAGGTGCGCGAGGGTGGCCCCGGCGGTGCAGGATGCACCTGGACGGGGCTGGGCTGAGCGTGTGGCTGCAGGAGGGCAGCGGGGGGGGCCCAAAAGGAGGGCTCAGCTCTGAGCGGGCTGGCCCTCGCTGCGGGCTCCCCGCCTGGCCGGCTCCTGGGGCCGGAGCGGAGGCGCTGCCCCGGGAAGGGGGAAGCTCGGTTTCCAGCAGGTGCTGTACGGAGGAGATGCGGGGCCCGGCAGAGGGACGCGGCGGCGGCGCTGGAGAGGCCAGTGCAGGGCAGTGACTGGCGCAGCTCCGAGGGGCTCCCTGTGCCCGTTCTGGGCTGCGGCTTTGTGAACGGGTGCTTGGCTGCGTCGGGTGGAATAAAAGCACGGTTTCACCTTGTGTTGTGTAGCCGGAGTGTGCTGGGGGGGTCAGAGCCACCTGGTGCAGTCGGTCACACCTCACAGGGCTGGCTGGAGGGGCTGGGGTCAGGGCAGGCTCCTGCAGCACCAGCACCCTGCCCCAGCCCTGCTGCAGCCTGCGGGGCCAGCCTGGGCCCGTGCAGGAACAGCGGGGCAGGGATAGGCCCCGCACCGGGCTGTGGGGCAGCCACGGGGCCCGTGCCAAAACCATGGGGCCGGGAGAGGCCCCGTGGGGCGAGCCCGGACCCCGCACCACCGGGTGCCGTCCACACAGGAACGGGGCCACAGCACCCGGCACCCGTCCGTGGGATCGGTGCGGGGGAAGGCCCCACCCCGGGGCGGTCGCCGGCGCTGCGCTAGGACCCGGGTGTCCGGGAGTGGAGCAGGAAGCGGGAGCCGGCGGCGGTGGCGGCGGCGGGGCCCGTGGAGCAGGAGCGGGGCCGACGGGAACGGGAGGAGTGGGGCCGGGGCCATGGAGAGCCCCGGCCCCGCCACGCACACGCTGGGGCTGCTGCTGCTGGTGGTGGCGGTGGCAACGGGTGGGCACGGGACCCCCCGCGACACCCTGGCCTGCTCCCAGGTGGGTTGGCGTCGCGGGCACGCAGGGCCGCGGGGCGTCCCGGCCCCGGCCTCACGCCTGCCTCCCCGTAGGGCCTCGCCTGCCGCCTCCTCGGTAAGTGCCAGCGGCTGCGGCCCCGCCGGATGAGCCACGGGGACCCCCCGTGCCCATGGCCGCCCTCGTCTCCCGCAGACGCCGACGTGCTGTGCGGGACGGAGCCGGCAGGGCCGGGCCCCGGGCTGGCCCTGGTGTGGCTGCGTCTGGAGCCGGCGCTGCGCTGCGCGGGGCCCGCTGCCTGCTCGCCCTGCCTGCAGGCACGGCTGCGCCTGGCCGTGGAGCCTGGCGCCCCTCGGGATGGGGACAACGCTGGGGACGTGTCGCCGAGCACCACCGCCTCGCCCCCGCACAACGTCAGCGGGCTGCTGCTGCTCTCCAGCCACTCGTACGCCTCGTCCCGCTGCGTGGCCGTGGAGGTCTGGGCACCGCTCACCTCCGTGCCGCCCGGACGCCGCCGCCTGGTACGTATGGCACGGCACGGGGCTGGGTGGCCCCGGGCACCGCAGTGCGTGGGGATGTGGGGATGTGGGCACGGGTGCCGTGGCATCCCCACAGCACGGTGGTTTTCCTGCCCAGGGCTCGGTGAGGTTCCGGTGCTTCGAGGCGCCGCTGGGCTCCGAGCTGCACGTGATGGCGCACACCAACGCTCGTGGCCGCCGCTGGCTGAGCCAGAAGCAGCGGGTGCCAGGTCAGCCCCCGGCCCCCCTGTGGCACCCCAGTGCCCTCCCGCTGCCTGCTGACCCCCCTGTCCCCGCAGACTGCTCGTGGCCCGATGCCCAGGTCGCCGTCCCACAGTGCCAAGGTAGGTGCCGGCGTCTCCGTGCCGGGTGCTGGGGCAGAGGGGGGGTCCCCAACACCCCCACCCAGCCGTGCCATCCCCGTGGCTGCTGCGGGGAGGTGTTGGGGTGCCCGGCGTGGGGTGCCCTGAGCCTCCCGCGCGCAGTGCCCAGGTTGCAGGTCTCCCTGGGACCCGAGGCGGTGCTGGTGGAGGTGCAGGCGGCGGTGGTGGGGCTCAACTACACCTTGAGGCTCTACCACAACCACAGCCACGGCGCTGGCGGGTCGGGGCGCACGGTGATGGCGGTGAGTGCGAGCCCCTTTTTAACTCCCCACGCTCCAAATGCTGCCTCTCCATCCCCGGGAAGGGGCAGTCACCCTGGGGAGCTGTGCCGTGGGGTGACCCCCGTCTTGTTCTGGCTGCAGAGCGGGCCCATGAATTACAGCCTGCCGCTGGAGGAGGTGCTGCCCTGCCTCTGCCTGCAGGTAGGCGCCCCACTGGGCACCGTGTGGCCCACTCCAGGGACACGATGAAGCCGGCTGGGTCAGGAATTGACCAGCACGGGCACCCCAAATTGTTTTTCTGCTCTGTTCCTCCCCCCAGGTCTGGCTGGAGATCCAGGACCCGCTGCGGGCCACCCTGTGCCCCTTCTCCCACGGTACCCACACCGGGGGAGGCACAAGCAGGAGGGCGCTGGGCCATGCAGGGACCGAGGGGCTGCGATGCCCTGAGACCCCCGGGGCACCCACGCACCCTCTCCCCGTGCAGACGCGGCGGCGTGGGAGCGGCTGTGGGCGCAGACCCGGCTGGTGCTGCACGACACGGGGCAGGCTCTCGCCTGCTCCATCTCGGCACCCTGCGACCTCCCGGCTGAGCTGGTGCCCTGCTGGAGCCCGGCACCCGGCGCGCCGTGCCAGGCCCTACCGGACCTGCAGCAGCCCGTCACGGGGCAGGTGAGTGTCCCCAGGGACCAGGGGCACGTGGAGGGGCGGCAGGGTGGCACTGATGGGGCTGCCCATCTCCCCGCAGGGACCCCAGGAGTTCCGAGCGCTGCAGCTGCACCCCAACCTCTGCGTGCAGGTAGGACGTGCCCCAAATCACCCCGCAGCTGCCCCATGAGCAGCCTCACCGACCCGCTCTCTCCGGCAGGTGAGGAGCGGCGGGCAGGTCCGGCGGATGCAGTGCCTGCAGGACCGTGAGTACTGCTGCACGCAGGCTGGGGGGGCAGAGGCAGCGCCAGGGGCTGGATCCGGCCCCTGTGCCAGGATCTGGTGCTGTGCCCCTGTGCCCAGCCGCTGCGTCCTGTCCCCAGGAGCGCTGCCCGGCCGCGGGGATGACCTCCTGCTGATGGCACCAGGGGGGAACGCGTCGCTCTGCGCCCTGGAGCGGGGCGGCTGCACGCCCCTCGCCAGCTTCACCGCCACGGTAAGCGTCCCCTGGTCCCCAGCGCGGTGTCACCGCCGCCACGCAGCCAACAACCCCTTCCCCTCGCAGGGATCCGGCCGCCCGGGGCTGCTGGAGCAGCAGCTGCAGGAGGACGTGGCGTCGGGGCAGTGCCTGCAGGTCGGTACGGGCAGCGGGCACGCAGCGCCCCGGGGGGCACGGGCAGGGCAGTGAGTGCCGTGTCCTTGTCCCCACAGCTCTGGCGCCCTGATAACAGCAGCGGGGTCGCGCTGTGGGCCTGTCCCATGCACAAATGTGAGTAAGGGGGAGGGCAGGGCTGTGGGGCAGCACGCCGGGACCCCTGGGTGGGCGCTGACCCCCTCCCACCGCCCCGCAGACCTGCGCACCCGCTGGGCGCTGGCCTGGATGGGGCTGCTGCTGGGCGCCGCCTGCATCCTGCTGCTGCTCCTGCTGAAGAAGGAGGACCTGAAAGGTGAGCGCGGAGCTCGGCGGGGCCATGCGCCCCTTGGGGTGCTCGCCCAGCCCGACACCTCACCGCCTCCCCTCCCCGCAGGCTGGCTCAAGTCCCTGAGGGCCGGCTACGGGAACGAAGGTGAGCAAAACGGGTGCGTCCCTTTGGGGTAAAACACCCAAATGTGGGGTTATTTAATCCCTGCCCTTCTCCCGCAGCCCCTCTGCGGGGACGCCGCATGCTCCTGCTGCACGCAGCCGAGCCGGCGGCCGAGCGTGCCGCCTGCGCCCTGGCGGCAGCCCTGCGCCCGCTGGGCATGACCGTGGTAGCCGCACCGGGCGGTGGCACTGGGGCGGCGGCGTGGGGCACGCTGCCCTGGCTGCACGCGCAGCACCGCCGGGCGCTGCGTGCCGGGGACACCATCCTCATCCTCCTCTCCCCGGCGGCCGAGGCGGCGGCACGGCGCTGGGACACCGCGGACGGGGCCATGCCGGGGTCACCGGGGGATGGAACCACCCCGGACCCCCGGCACGCCCCCGTCCCCGCGGCGTCCCCGTGCGACGCCTTCGCGGCCGCGCTGTCCTGCGCCGTGCCGGTGCTGGCGGCGGGCGGCGGGCGCTACGTGGTGGCGCGGCTGGAGGCCACGGTGGCGGCCGTGCCCCCGGTGCTGCGGGCGGCCCCGGCTTTCGCTTTGCCCAGCCAGGCCGGCCGCTTGCTGCGGGTCCTGGCGGGGCGTCGAAACCCGGGGCTGAGGCCCCTGGAGGAGGCGCTGCGGCGGCGGCTTCGGGGGGCGCTGGGGGAATAAAAGCACGTGGTGGGCAAGAGAAAAAGAGGGCGGCGGGCCCTTTAAAGCGCGCCAAAAGTGGGCGGAGCGGATTGGCGGAGAGGGGTGGGAGGGGGCGGGACGCGCGAGGTGATTGGTGGAGGGAGGGGGGAGCTGAGTCAGCGCGCGCCGCCCACGCCGAGGGGCGGGGCTGGAGGGATGGGGCCGCGGCGGGGGCCGCCGGGCGGTGGTGGGGGGGGGGTCGGGGGGGGGGCGCTGCTGGGGGTGGCGCTGCTCGGGGGGGTCCTGCTGGGGGCTGCGGGCACCGGGCCCCAAGCGGAGCAAAGCCGGGAACCGCCCGGGGCCGAGCCCTGCGGGGCCTGCAGGGGCCTCGCCGAGAGCTTCAGCAGGGTGCGGAGATTGGGGGGGGGCAAGGGGGGGGGTATTGGGGGGGGGCATCATTGGGGGGGGGTTGGGGGGTGACACTTTTTTTGGGGGGTGACACCTTTGGGGGTGGCAGCTGGGGGGGCATCGTGGAGGGGGCATGTTGGGGGGGGCATTTGGGGGTGAGCTTGGGGGGGTGACAGCTTTTGGGGGGGGGGCAACTTGGGGGGGACACCCGGTGGGGGGGTGGTATCCTGGGGGGATGCATTTGGGGGTTAATTTGGGGGGTGGCAACGTGGGGACACTTTTGGGGGGGTGACATCTTTGGGGTGACATCTTTAGGGGGGTGACAGCTTGGGGGGGTGATATATTGGGGGGCACATTTCAGGGGGTGACATCCTGGGGGGGTGACACCTTTGGGGGTTAACTTGGGGGGTGACACCTTTTGGGGGGGGGTGACAACTCGGGGGTGACTTCTTGGGGGATGACATCTGGGGGGGGCACAGCCCATGCTGGGGGAGTGGGGTGGCGTGGGGTGACAGCACCCACAGCATGGGGGGGCTGAGGGTGACGTGGTTTGGGGGGGGGTGACATGTTTTGGGGGGGTCATAGGGGTGGCACACGGGGATGACATCGGTGCCACCAGTTGTGCATGGGGCGCTCCCCATGGGGCAGGGTTGGGGTGATCCCCATGGGTGGGGGGGCTGTGGTAAGGGGGGGGCAGCCAAAGGGTCCCACCGGTGGTTCGGCCGCCCCCCCACATGCCCAGGGGCTGGAGCGGACGGAGCACGAGGGCTTCGGGGGGGGCAACACGGCCTGGGAGGAGGAGAAGCTGGCCAAGTACAAGCACAGGTGAGCCTGGGGCAGGGCAGGGGGGGTTATATGGCCCCCCCCCCCACCCTAAAAAACCATCCCCGCAGTGAGACCCGGCTGCTGGAGGTGCTGGAGAGCGTGTGCCCCCCCTCGGACTTCGCCTGCCACCAGCTGCTGGAGCGCAGCGAGGAGCACGTGGAGCGCTGGTGGTTCCACGAGTGAGCTGGGGGGGGGCACGGCGGGGGGCTATGAAGGGGGTGTGGGGGGGGGACACGGGGCCTGAGCGCCGCGTGTGCCCCCCCCCCAGGCGCCACCAGCACCCCGACTTCTTCCAGTGGCTGTGCATGGACCGCCTGGCGCTGTGCTGCCCCCCCGGCACCTACGGCCCCGAATGCCTGCGTGAGTCACTTGGGGGGGGGGGGTGGGAAAAATGGGGGTGCTGGAAAACAGGGGGGGCCCCCCCCTCACTATTTGCGTCCCCACAGCCTGCGCCGGAGGCCGGCAGCAGCCCTGCAGCGGCAACGGGCGCTGCGACGGGGAGGGGACGCGGGGGGGCACCGGCCTCTGCGTCTGCAGCCCCGGCTACGGGGGACCCTACTGCGCCGAGTGCGGGGACGGCTACTACGAGGCTTCACGCAACCAGAGCCAGCTGCTGTGTGCCGGTAGGCGCCGTGCTGCCGGGGAGCTGGGCAGCCCCCCCGGTGTCCCCCCCCCCCCATGCCCTCTCCGTCCCCGTGCCCACCCCCTCCCCGCTGTGCCCCCCGCTCCGGCAGAGTGCTACCGAGCCTGCGGGCGCTGCACGGGGCCGGAGGATTCGAGCTGCCTGCGCTGCAAGAGGGGCTGGGTGCTGCACGAGCACCGCTGCATCGGTGGGTGTGAAGGGGATTGGGGGGGGTCGGGGGGGCTCTCTCTCAGGGTTTGGGGTGTTTTGGGGGGGGCTCCTCAGTGGGATGGTGGCAGTCTCCGTGTGCCCCCCCCTGCAGACATCGATGAGTGCGGCACGGAGATGGCGCACTGCAGGGCCAACCAGTTCTGCGTCAACACCGAGGGCTCCTACTGAGTGCCGAGGTGGGGTGCCCCCCCCCCCTCCATGTCCCCAGCTCCTCTGGGTTTGATCCAGCCCGGAGCAGGGTGTGCGTGACCCCCCCATCCTTAATTCCAACCCCCCAACCCCACAGACTGCTCCACCGCCTGCATCGGCTGCATGGGCGCGGGGCCGGCGCGCTGCAAGAAGTGCAACAAGGGGTACCGGCGGGACTGGAGCCAAGTGCCTGGGTGAGTGACCCCTGCGAGCTGGGGGGGGGCAAAACACCCCACGACCCCCCCCATACCCCAAGCCCGAGCCCTTCCTGCCTCCCCGCAGACGTGGACGAGTGCGCCGGCAGCGAGGAGCCCGTCTGCAGCGGGGTGCAGGAGGTGTGCGAGAACACCGAGGGCGGCTACCGCTGCGTCTGCGCCCAGGGCCACGTGCGCCGCGACGGGCAGTGCGTGGAGGAGAAACCCCCCGGTACGGATGGGATTTGGGGGGTTTGGGGTGGGATGGGGGGCACCAAAGGGGGGGTCCTGCTGTGCCCTCGCTCAGCGGTGCCTGCCCTTGCAGATGCCCCGGAGAAGGGCTTCTTCGACGACGTGACGGAGGACGAGGTGGTGGTGCTGCAGCAGATGTTTTTCGGGGTGATGATCTGCGCCCTGGCCACGCTGGCCTGCCAAGGGTGACATGGTGTTCACCGCCATCTTCATCGGCTGCCGTGGCTGCCATGGCCGGCTACTGGCTGTCCGACCGCAGCGACCGCGTCCTCGACGGCTTCATGAAGGGCAGATAGCTCCGGGGACCCTGCACGCGGTGGTGGCCTCGGGGCTGCGCCCTGCCCTGCATGTGCCCCCCCCCGCCCCCCCCCAGCACCCTCACCGGTAGAGTAGGGTCCGTCCCCACCCCGTTCCTTGCAGTACTGGGGTCCGGTCCCGTGGGGGTCATGCTGCTCGGGGCCTGCCGGGGGGGCACAGCATGCTGCCCCCCACCCCTCGTGTGCTTGGAGGGGGGCCCGGTGCTGTGCCATGGGTGCGGGGCCCCCCCGCAGCACTGGGGGCTCGCCCAGGCTGTTGGGGAGCCCCCAGATGCTGGCACTGTGCCCCCACCCCGTGGCCCTGCTGAGCTGGGGGGGAGGGACAGGAGATGGGGGGGGCAGGACTGGGGGGGCTGCAGGGCTGGGTCCGCACAGAGCCCCCGCGTCCCCCTTCCCATGTCCCCAGGGCTGAGCCTGTCCCCCCCCCCCCCCCCCCAGCTCCTGTGTCCCCAGGCAGGGTGAGGGCAGCCGGGGGTCCCTGGGGAGGGGGGAGCCCCCAGCACCGTGCCAGGGGTGGGGGGGGGCCCTGCTGGATGCATGAACGTGGCCGTTGCATTTGTCCGTGGTTTGTCCGTCAGGGTGTGCCCATCTGTCCGTGTGTCCATTTCTCAGGAATAAAGCTCTGCACACCCGGCCCGGCTCTGCTTTTCGGGGGGGCAAGCAGAGAAGGCAACGGGGGGGGCCAGCTCGGGACATAAACTTTTATTTCTCTGTTTTGGCACAAACGGAGCCAGCCGAGGACAGCTCCCGCTTCCCACCGGCTGCAGGATCGGGGAGCAAGGGGGGAGGACAGGACACGGCTCTGCCCGGCCCCCCCGCCCCCCCAAAAACCAGCATCTCAGAGCTCGATGGTGTCGCTGGAGAGGCTGCGGGCGTCCACCTGCTTGCTGAGCGCCAGGAAGCTGCGCCGGGCCTCGCGCTCCGAGTCGGGGGGCTGGGGGAGCGCGGGGGGCTCCTGGTGGGCCAGCAGCTGCGCCCGGCTGGGCGCCTCCTCCAGGGGCAGGCTGTCGGGCGAGGACAGCCCGTGGCGCCAGGGGTTCCAGCTGATTTTCAGCGAGGAGCTCTCCAGTGAGCTGGCGGAGGCCACCGAGTCCCCGCGAGGCCCGGGCAGCTCGGTCAGCGAGGTGCAGCGAGCCAGCCCGGGGGGCTCGGCGGTGGCGCGCAGCGAGGCTCCGGAGCCACGCCGAGGCCGCCCGAAAAGCCCCTCGCGCAGGAGGTGGCGGCGGCACAGCGCCTGGTCGATGCTGCGCCGCAGGTCGATGGGCGAGGGCGGGCGGAAGGCCAGGTCCCCCAGGGAGGCCGAGGAGCCCCGCTCGCGGGCGGCCACCACCACGGCGGCGGCGGCGTTGGGGCACTTGGGGCTGAGCCCCGCCGCCCCCAGCGCCGTGCCCGCCCGCGCCTCGTTGCTGTCCTTCAGCGCCCGCAGCGGCAGCTGCTCGGCCGGGTTGCGGATCAGGCTCTTGGAGATGTCGCCGCTGGGCGCCCGCTCGGCGCGGTCGTAGCAGTTGTTGGGGTACTCGGGTACCTGGGCCTTGCGCCCGGCGCAGAAATACCGCAGCGCCTTGGCCCAGCACGAGTGCCCGGTGTTGGTGCCGTGCCGGCCGCCCCACAGGGGTTCGGCGGCGCCCGCCAGCAAGGCCAGCCCGGCGCCCAGCTCCCCGGCACGCATCCAGCACTGCGCCGCCCAGCAGGGCCAGCCGCAGCGCCCGGGGGCCCCCAGGCCTCCGCGCAGCCACAGGGCGCTGTACACCTGCAGCCCGCAGCAGGGCAGCCCCAACGCCCCCGCCGCCAGCAGCGCCCGCGCCCCTCGCCGTAACCCCGGCCCCTCGCGGCGGGGGGCTCGCAGCGCCCGCCAGCCCCCCCGGAGCCCCCCCAGGAGCAGCAGCAGCGCCCCGGCCGCGCAGCCCAACCCGTGCAGCGCCAGCCCGGCGGCCAGCCCCACGCGTGGCCACAGCAGGTCGGCGGCAGCCGGCGCCCCGCTCTGCAAGGCGGCTGCAGCCCCCAGTGCCGGCAGCCCCCCCAGGGGGCTGGGCAGCAGCTGGAGCTGTGCCAGGCGCTGCAGGCGGCGCAGCAGCAGGGCGAAGGCCGCCAGCAGCAGCGGGAAGGGGGCCGTGCAGAGCAGCAGCAGGGCGCGGGGCGGCAGGCGGCCGCGCGCCCCGTAGGGGTCCAGCAGCAGCAGGGTGGCCCGCAGGAGGCTGGCGGCCAGCAGCAGCCCCTGGGCGCCCAGCAGCAGGGCCAGGTGGGGTGGGCGCAGCGCCGCGGCCGCCCCCAGCCCCCCCAGGCAGCCCAGGGCCAGCAGCAGGCAGAGCGCGGCCACCGTGTAGGCGTGGGCGGCCCAGGCCAGGCGCAGCGGGCGGCGCAGCTCGGCCCAGCCCAGCGCCGTCGTGTTGGAGCCCCCGTCGGAGCACGAGGACCCCGGGCAGGCGCTGGCACCCGGTGCTGGGTGGCTGGGCTCCGGTTCTGGCTCTGGCTCCGGTGCTGGGGGACGCCACGGGGCGCGTTGCGTTGTCACCCAAACCACTCCTTGCCGCCACGTGGCCGAGGGGGACGCGGTGGTGCTGGTGGCCGGGGGCTGCGTCCCCGAGGTGTCTGCGGGCAGGGAGGAGGCGGTTTGTCAGCGGGGTGCCCCAAGCACGTGGGCCGTGGTCACGTCCCTGACCCCCCAGGGAAGCCCCAGCCCTGCCAGCTCTCGGCGTTAATCCCCGCGGGCAGTAGATTAGGGCCATCGCCAGGCACAATCCTGATTGAAGGTGGCACCGCGTCCCAGCCGGGTGGCCCAAGATAGCTGCCGGCCCCCCCAAAACCCCGGCCCCAGGTTGGCAGAGGGCTCACCCGCATCCCCTCCTCACCTGAGCGCCTGGTCCCGGGGGGTGTCCCTGCCACGGGATGGGTTGTCGGCTGTGGGGCAGGCACGGTGGCATTTGGGATGTTCCCGGGACCCACGGCGCCCCGGACCCGCTGCGGGGTGCCCACGTCCTGCTCGGGCAGCAGCCCTGCGAGGGAGGGGAGAGCTGGCACCCACGGGGGCTCGGTCACCACAGGGGGGGTCCCCGCATCGTGCCAGCTCCTACCTGCATAGGGAGTGCCGGGGGGGGCCGTGCTGGAGACGGGCAGCGGCGTGGGGCTGGTGCCGAGGGCAGCCCCCGGGGTGGGCTGGGGGCCCTGCAGCCCCGTTGGCCTGGCGGACGCCGTGTCCCCGGCGGTGGCGTTGCTGAGCGGGGCCCTGCGGGTGCTCCTCTGGTGGGCAGGCAGCGCCCAGGTCCACGTCTCAGCCCGGCCCTCCTGGGCCACCTCAGGCAGCAGCCCCCAGGATGGGCCCCCCCGGCCCCCCAGCAGCAGCGGGACAGAGCTGGGCAGAGCCGGGGAGGGGCTGGGGGGGCTCCCTGCGTCCCCACGTCTGCCCCATGTTGGCTGCACAGAGCCAGGGCTGGCGTGGGGACCCTCTGCTGGCCCCGTGCCCGCGGGCTGGGGGACAGGGGCAGTGCTGGGGGGGCCCCGCGGCTCCTGCGCTTCCCCAGGAGGGCCCGGGGCCGCTGTTTGTCCCCATGTGTGTGCTTCTGATGTCCCCGTCCTGGTCCCCTCTGTCGGCTCGGGGGTCAGGGCGATGGTGGACACGGTCGGCCGGGGGCCAGGGGTCCTGGCTGGCACGGTGGCACTCTGCCTGGACACGGACGTTCCCTGCATGGCCCAGGGCGGCCCCGGGGAGCCCGGCCCTGTGTCCGTGGGCACTTTGGGGTCCGGTGTCCCTGATGCAGAGCCATGGGGCAGCCGTGTCCTCCCCCAGGGGCCGTGCTGGCCTTCGGCCTCCCCTCCTCGCCAGGCGATGAAGGGCTCCTCCACCACAGCCGGGGCTGCGCTGCCCGCCAGGCTCATCCCCGTCCCTTGGGGTGCCCCGGTGACAGCCCCCGGCTGTGGCAGTGGGGACCAGTGCACGGGGCTGCCGCCCCCCCAGTGCTCGCTGTCGGGGCCCCCGGCACCGCTCAGCTCCCCTGAGGCATCCCAGGCAGGGGACGGGACCGGCTGCTGGTGTGCCCAGGACAGGGCACGCAGGGGATCCCTGCCCTGCTGGGGGGTCCCATCCGACGGCAGCTCCACTGACAGCGTCCCCCGGGCCCCGGCGGGGACCCCAGTGGCCAGGAGCAGCCCCCAGGTGATGAGCCATGCTGCAGCCATGGCGAGCCCTTCACCCTGTGGGAACAGGGCGCTCCGTGAGCCAGAATCCATGGTGGACAGCGAGAGGCCACCGGTGCCGTGCCCAGCACCACGGCGCGTGCAGCACCGCACCCGGCACGATGGGGGGGACCCACACACGCCCCCCCCCGTGCCCAGCAGGGCCTGGGCCCCACACCGACCCCACTGCCTGGGGATGGGGCCGGACCCCCCCACACCATTCCCAGGGCCCTGTTCCCAGTATTTGCCCCCCCCCCGGCAGGCCCCATCCCTGGTGACCCCCATTCCCCATCTGCCCGTTCCCAGCGTCCCCACTGCGGGCGGTTCTTGGTGCTTGTGCCGCCCGCCCCCAGCATCCCCGGTGGCCCTGTGCCCGGTGTTCCCGGTGTCCTCGGTGCGCCCGGTGCCGGCGGCCCCGCTCGGGCGCGCACCGTTCACCTTGGCGCGTCCCCGGCTGCCTCCCCCCGGGGATGCCCGGCCCGGCCCGGTGCGCCCCCGCCGCACGGCTCAGCCCGGCCCGGGGCCGCCCGGTGCAGCGGGGCGGGACCAAACCGGGACCGGCGCAGCCACCGCATCCCGGGGAACCCGGAGCGCGCCGGGCCGGCCCCGCTGCCCGGTGCGCGGTGCGCGCTGCGCGGTGCCCGGGCCGCGGTGCGGGTCAGCCCCCTCCCGCCGCCCGCCGCAGCCCGGGAGGCCCCGGTGCCGGTACCGGCAGCGGCCCAACGCAGCCCCCCCGCTGACCTGCCGGTGCCGGTGCCGGTGCCGGTGCCGGTGCGGGCCGGGCTCTGCGGCGGAGCGGGTGGCGGCGGCGGCGGCCGGTCACGCGCCGCTCCGAGCCGCGGGCACCCGCGCCGGGAGCCCGCCCGGCACCGGGAGGGGCGGCGGCAAGGCGGCGCGGGGCGGCACGGCTCGGATCGGCTCGGGGATGCGGGTCCCGGGGATGTCCCCGCGGAGCATCACCTCCTTAGGGCGCACGGGTCCCCAGCACCGCGGGGCCAGGCTGTGCGCACCCTGACCCCAAAAGGCGCGCGGGGGGCGCTGACGCCCCCTGCCCCTCACCTGCTGAGGGGCCCTGCCAAGGCGGGTGATTAGCTAATGAGATAATTGGAGAGCCGTGCGCCCTGCCAGGGCTCCAGCCGGCACTTTGGCACGGCCGCAGCCCGGTGAAGTGTCAGCGGCTCAGGGCTCTGCAAGCCCAGCACCGCGGGGTCCCCTGGCACAGCCCCGTGCCCGTGTGCCCCCAGCCCCAGTCCCTGCCACAGCCCAACTGGGGGCACTGGGCTCGTGCTGGGCTTGCCATGGGTGCACGGGGCATTTTGGGGCCCTCATCTCCCCTGCTCCCTGCAGCACCGGGGCTGCAGCATCCCGCTGAGTGCAGGGCTGGGGAATTTGGGCAATGCCGGCACGCCTGTCCCCACAAAGGCAGCCGGGCGGGCGGCTAATCCAGGGATTAGTGCTGGGGAGGCCGCACGGGGGGAGCCGGGCAGCGGCAGGGCCCAGGGGGTGGTGATGGGGCCAGGCGTGGGCCGTGGTGGCGGGGCCGGCTGCGCCCCACAGATCTCAGCCACTGCGGCACGGGGAAAGCAGCCACATCCCCGTCCCCCTGTGCCGGCTGCGGTTTGCTCCTCTGCCAAGTGACTCAGTGCAGGTGGGCCGATGTGGGGTGTATCAGGAGAAAGCAGCCCCTTCTGCCTGCCCCCCAGCAGCACGGAGCCCCTCTTTGCGTCTTCATGGCTACTGCACGTGGGGCGCTTCAGTGAGGGCTGGGATGAGACCCCCAAATACACGTGCCGGCTGCCCCACAACAGCGAAGGCCCCGTGTGCAGGGCAGCACGGCTGGCTCCAGGGGCTGGAGGCTGAACTCGGTGGCCACACGCCCTGGAAATCCTCGCCGAGGGGTGGGAAGCGCCGTGCCAGCAGGGAACGCGAGGCAGGCGGTGGCTGGCGGCCCCACACAGGGCTGTGCACACACTTCCATTTTTGTCTCTCGGAGCCAGCAGGGGAGTTGCAGCACGGCACAGCCTTATTGGGATAAACGCTGGCAGCAAAACCCCTGGAGGAGACCCTGAATGGGAACCGGGCTGTGGGGCCAGGTGGGACCCACTGCTCTCCGGGGCCTTACCCCATGTCCCCCCCAAGGTGGCCGGAGCAGGGGGAGCACTGCGTGCTGCTGCTCCTCACCGCACCCGGCTGCAACCCCAGCCCCTTTCTACAAAACCATTGTGCACAACCCCGCCACGAGCCATGGTGTGGGAGGCCGGGGGTCCCTGGTGCAAGCCCCCCCGTTGCACCCCGGCATGTCCTCAGGGTGCCAGCTGGGCGCGGGGGCTTGCAGCAGAGACCTCCAGAGGTCCCTCCAAGCTCAGCGATGCGCTGCCGGGCTGGCAGCCTGCAGCACGGACCTTCAGCCTGATCCAGCCCCGCAGACACCAACACCAGTGCTTCCCCAAAACACAGACGGATCCTCAACCCCCTTTTGTGCCCCTCAGAGCTGCTGCAGTGCAGGGGAGGCAGCTACAGAAGGGAAATGTAAAGGGAAGGGATGCAGATGGTGCTGCCTGCAGCTGTCAGCCGCAGGACGGCCTCAGCAGCCCCTCTGCCAGCCCAGGAGGACCCCACAGCTTGGGGGCTCCTCAGGCCTGCCCACCCCCACCTTCTCACTCATTAACACCGCCAAATCAATGGTAAAGGGTAAGGGCAGTGCTTTCCTTCCTCAAACACCAGGGAGCTGAAAAAAAGTAATTCTCCCAGTGCCATGATTCAGGGCAGCTGAACACTAACGAGCAGCTCCCTGTTCACCTGCTGAAGCAGGACCTTGCACCTCCCGAAGAAACACTACAGAAACACTCGGTATTTGTGATGGAACAATGGCTTTATTAAATTCAGGGAAAGGATCCCAGCCTTTCCCCGTGGGAGGACAGCACTGGGCCATGCGGACTCACGGTAATAGACCTGTTTTGTCAATATCGAAATGCTTCTTTTGCCAGCAGCAGCTCCGATCAAAGCTCAAACGTGACAGAAATATTTGAAGCAGTGGAAACTTACAGTCACGGCTGGATGTCCTGGGAGGATTTGCTCTGCAGGAACAGGGGCTGCTGAATGACCGAGCTGCTATGTGTGTCGGGTTGGGTGAGCAGCTGGCCCTTTCTGACTCCAAATCTGTGTGTCTGGAGTGAGTCCGAGCTGGAGAGTTACAGGTCCCTAAAGGATTAGAAACATCCATCGATCACCGTACCTGTTGGATGTGACTGTCACTTCTTCTGGCTTCTGAGAGTCATCTTTGGAAAGTGTAAGTTGGGCAAGTCTGTGATCAAGAGATAAGTGGGAAAAATATAACAGAAACTAAATAATAATTTCCTGGATTTCCTGAAACCAAGAAATTTCAGCCTAAAAGGAGAAGAAACACCATATTCAACAAACCGAGATGCTGGGATTCTGCTTTCCTCAGCTAAACTGCCCAAAGCTCAGAAACAGCTCTCGGGACAAATCTGAACCTTACCAAAATCAATCAGAAAAATACCCCCTACTTCCCAGGGAGCTCAAAATCTGAACTGTCAGACATACAAACCAAAACAGAGACCACGAGTAAAGAGCAGAGCTAAAGCCTCCAGCTGCAAAGATATTATTCCACGTATCTAGATGAAAAGTTTGGAGCAGATCTAAGTGCTCGGTCTGGTAGCAGGAGAATCAGCGGTGTGCCTGTGATCTGCCAGCTGGTTCCTCCCCGCTGAAAGTCTCCGCAGACACTTCTTTGCTGCGTAAATGCAGCAGTAACCACAGCCCGAGGCATTCCTGCTGGTGGCAGGGGATAAAATAATACAGATCCACTCGGCTTTCCAATATCTCCGAGTGGGCAGTAACTTGTTGAAGCGTGCCAGGCACGAGCCTTGCTTGTTTCCAAGGGCTGTAACACACACGGGTCACTCAGCCCTTCTTGCCAGCCCAACAGGAGCTCGCTCACCTGCGTGGGATCAAATTCAGGAGGCAGCAGGTAATGCACCCGCAGAAATGAACTGTGACTGAGATGGCCACGCCTGCACTGAAGACTGAAAACCAAAGGAAACCCCTCAGTCAGAATAATCGCTATCAAAAACTAAAGAGCAGCATTCCGTGCTCTGCTGGGGCAGCGCGTTGCCAGGACCTGGCTTATTGGAGCCTGGAGAGCAGCTCATCTGCTTTCCACCTGTTGTGCTGCACAGGGAAAATACATTCTCCTGGGGAGAGGAATCCCAGAAATTCCTCCTTGCGCTGGAAACGATCACTCGTTTCTTGTTTTCCAGATTTCTCCTTGTTTTGTCTGCAAGTTGCTGCACGCCTTTACTGGAGCACGGCACAGGTAGGAAATTCCTTGTAAGCCTCGGCTGAGCACTGCCGAGCATCTGTTGATTGGGAGCTGAAGAAACCGGGTTAGAGTTTTCTAAATTGAGACCAACCGTGTATCTGGGCAAGCATTTTTTTCTGGAGCTTCCCAAGGCAATAATCCTGTTTGCCCTTACTTGCTTCAGCCCGCCGTCAGCACCTCTAGAGAGCTCTCCTTTCCTCTTGCTGGGGTACGTTTTCTTCCTCTCCATTATTTTATTCCAAGGGATCCTTCCTGACTTCTGCTTTGCTTTGTTTCCTACAGCTACATTCTCCAGCTCATGGTCTGTGGATGAGTTCCCGTCTCTTTGCCCGGGCACGTTGTTTTGTACAAAGAGGTGGCAAACCTGAGGCTGCCTCTGTTGCGATGGTGTCACATTTTTAAATGCTGCAGTGCTCCTCCTGATCGCCTTCCTCAGAGGAGTTAGCAGAGACACTTCCTGCGCTACGGGGCAGCGTTTCTTCTGGCTCTCCCCAAGACACTGAGTGTTAGCACAGCACATACAGGGATGGGTAGCATGGCTCTGAGGTTCCGGAACAGATCTCACCTCCTGCACAGAAGTATTTTCTCTGCCACACACCACTTGAGCAACGGGGCTGACTTGAGCAACGGAGCTGCCTCCAGAAGCTGTGCTGAGGTCCTTCCCAGGTGTCCCGTCCCCGGTGGGCTGGCTCCCCACGGGCAGGGCTCCGTGCTGAGACGGACCCGAGGAGCTGCAACCCCCCCTGCCCCGGCAGCACGGCCAGTGCTCGGTCTCCTGACGTGAGGCACAGCCCTGGCATGTGCCAGGGGAGGTCTGAGAAGAGTCGTCCACCATCCGAGGGGGGGCTCTGGCGCTGGACATGAATGTCTGCAGCTCAGCTAAGGCACTAGGGAGCTTCAGGGAGCCTAATTCTTCACACAGCTTCAGGTGCTGATCGCTCAGCTGAGCCGGCAGCGACTCCAGGCTCTCCTTCAGCTGCTGGACACTGCATTTCACATCTGAAATCTCCATGTCTTTCTGGGGAAGCAGGGAGCAGAGCAGAAGCAGTAAACAACACATTAAAAGGTACAATAATAGGACTCACAGAAGAAACTTTTGGTTCTATGCATTAGTTAGATGCCTTACATTGGGTACCAGCCCAAAGATTAGCAATTTGTGTCCCCCTGTGCAATACGCATCTCAGACTGTCCCACAACAATGGGAACTTTGGGACTGGGGGACTTGGGTTGCCCTCTCACATCACATCCTTGCCAAAAGCAATTCCCCCAGCAGGGTCTTTGAAAAAAACACACCACTCTGGGAGGCCTGGAGTTCGCTCTTTTGTCTCTGCCTCCCACTTTTCTTTCCTGACCTCTTTTCTCCTCCCTCTGGGAAGCCAAAGGAAGGAGGCACTGCACTTCTGCGAGGTGCCCTCCCTTCGCAGGCATCAACTCCTCCAGCAAAGGCATGTGCCAGTGAGAAAGCCGTGCTTCATCATACGCCTGCCACGACAGGGCACTGTTGGGCTCCCTCCTTACTGACCAGGATTTCATCAGAGCTTACAGCGCTGTGAACAGGCTCTTGGGTAAGCATCAGTCAGTAGCTGGCCTAGAATTAGCATTTTAATATGTCTTTCCCTCTTCATTATAATAGGAGCAGTCTACTTTATAATCCTCCATCCGAAGACAATTTAATATTCAGTTAATATTTTGAAGAAATTGGAGAAATTCAGACAGAAGATTCAGAATAAAAGATTAATTTCTCCACTTACGGCTGCAAGTCTCCTCTCCATCTCCAGCAGCGCCTGCTCCATTTGGCTTTTATCTGCCAGGGCTTTCAGCACCAAGTCACTGTGACTTTGAAGAGCATCTTGCACTAAACAGGCAAATCAATAAAAAACACATTTGGCCTTTCATTTGTAAATGTGAATAAAGTACTATCAATACCACTGCGACTTCCTCCACGGCTTGGCATGAAATACTTCTCTGTGCTGTGCAACCAGAGCCATTCGCCAGCTGAGATCTCCCCAAGCACCAAGCGATGAACAATAGGGTGCATGTTTAATGCAAAGCACTTGAAATTTATAAGATGCTGAGTGCAGGCCAAACCTCATTTACTGTGTTCTATTAATATGGCAGCCGGGGATGAAAGGCTACGCGAAGCTGGGGAACTTGGTTGGTTCAAGGCAAGGAAGGACGAGGCTTCATTGTCTGTGAACTGTGCTGGGACAGGGACCCACGTGGGACTGGCTCAGCCCCGTGTAACCGACCCTCTTCTGTGGCCAGCTGATGGTAAATGGGAGCTTGAAAGTGTGACGGGAGTCACAGTGCAGCTGGTACACGATTTTGTCAGACAATTCAGCAATAATGATATCCTCCCATGTAGCTGCAGTTATTCTTACTGTAACCACTCCTGTGGCTACCACACCACATCGCAGGAGCACAGTTTGCAGCTTACAAGGAGGTGACAAACCCTGAGCAATCGTACAGCCTTCCTTTGAAGCCATACACCATGAAGCACAGAGGGACGGTCACTAGACACACCTGGCCTTCCCTTTGGACAGCACAGGGAGGTGTGTGCGGGTGATGTGGCTGGGCAGGAACGTCTGCGGGTTGTAACAGAACAGGATGCAAAGCGCTCCTGCGAAAACAACACCTTCCCAAGCCAACTGGCCGGGAGAACTGAAACTCTGCAGCCCTGGACTGCCACTGGGTGCCTGAGAGAGATCCGTGCAAAGCCCGTGTGCCAACAAGTGGCTACAAGAGCTCTGCAATTAATTAATCCTCTTTTTCTCCAAATCCAACATGTTTGATTGACTTTGGTGTCTGCGGCGATAAGAGCCCAGCTGAAGCTGTTCCTGCACGTGGAGCATTTATCTCAGCTCCTCAGGGTGGCTCTTCTCACCCCAGAGAGGCGCGCTCACACGCTGCAGAGCCGCGGAGCGCTCGGGATCTCTTCCCCTCCTGCCCAGCTATTTTCATTAAGCTTGCAGGGACTTAATTATCTCGGTGAGCTCTGCCCTGCTGTCAAACTCTTGATGGAATTGGCCAAAGAGTTAAAAACTATTAGGGAGAGACAGACAGAAAGTACTTGTACAGGCTTTGGTTTTGTAAAAAAAAAATAAATCAGGGACGTTTTTGAAAGGTAGATTTGGGAAAGAAGAAAAGGAAGAGATCTGAGCAATTATGGGCTTACTAGTTTGTTCTCATATTGTCCAAGGTTTTAGGCAAGACCTTAAAGGAAAGAGTAATCAAAGATAGGAAGGAAAATGGAATAAAACGGAACAAGACTTTATAAAAGGCAGATTGTGCCTGACTAATGTAATACCCTGTGATAAGATAGGTGACTTTTTAGACAAAGGCAATGCAGTGCCTTTGTGTAGACTCAAACAAAGCTTTTCATCATGTAATATGAAAAAAGCTGAGAAAAATTGTGAGGGGCACAAAGCCTCAACTAAAGGGAAAAACTCAGCTCTTGAGAGGGGTGAGAGGAGGGGAAAACGCAGCTCTGGGAGCACTGCTCATGGGCCAGTCCTGCCTAAATCTGCCGTGGTGACTGGGTGCAGGAGCCAGAAGGGCACCCAGGCAGCTAGCAGGTGGCACAAAGCGGTGTGCCAGCCCTGGGGGCCGCAGACCAGGTGAGATTTGGCAGGGCAGCGTGTGGAGGGGCACAAGCTCTGGCTGCCGGGAGCTTCTGTGCAAGCACGGCACGGCTGGAAGCCTGTGCACAGTCCTGGCCATCTACGCGCAAAGAAAAATAGACCGAACTGGGACACGTGCGGAGAAAAGCTACTAGATAATTAAGTGCTTAGATGATAATCTCCTCTTATGAAAGGAGATTGAAAGCGTTGGGCTTATTCAGCCTCACGTAACGGCAGTCCGGTGCTGCAGGGGCTGGCAGGCGCAGCGGGGCCGGTGCTCCAGGGACTGGTGGCTTGTGAGAGCTCCCTCCTACGTGCCGGGGGTTATTTTATATTCGCTTCTCTTCCTCCAAAGCAGTGGTGCTTGGGCACAGGGCACGCTGCTGTCCGCTGGGAGGAGGAACCCTGCAGCCACCCTGGCTGTGCGTCTTCCCCCCAGGCCTTGGGTTAACGTGCTTGGGGGAACATCTGCACCTCCTCAGCACGGCCATCACCTTGCTCTCCACGGAGCATGGCTTATTTCTGAGGATTACCTGCACATATTTAACTAATAAGCAATCTGGTCCTGCAGGCAATTCGGTTGCCCCTGCTTGCTCTCTCTTGCAGACTTTAAGCTTCTGCTCTTTTGTCCTGACAGATGCTGATGTTTTCAGTACATCAGTGGGGGAAAGTTGTGACTTGCAGGATGGGTTCATAATGGTGGGGTGAATGTTTCAGCGGGCCCTCGCAGACGTTGCATCTCCCTGCTTAGACCTGAGGGGTACCTGCAGTCAGAGGGCAGGTTTTGGGGAGGCTGCCAGCCCCTCCAGGCCCGCAGTCCTACCAGGATGAAAGCAGCAGTGACTGAAGCAGGGGACTCCCTCCCGTCACGTCAGCGTGTTCCAGCTGTATGCAGCGAGGATCCAGGAAGGCTCACCTCCACGCGCTGCTCTTCCCCGTACGCTACATTTTAATTCGGAATTATTTTTAAAACTTTCTGATTTCCCTAGCCTGTCTGTTCTTCTCCAACATGGTATCCTCGGTCTATAAATAGCACTGCATCCACCGGGCTTGTGATCTGCGTATACGTTTGACTCAGCACAGCGTGCTGCAGGCAAGCTACCAACAGCCAGCCTTTTGGATGTGCCTCATTTGTACGTGTAGGAGTATTCTGCAGGCAAAAAAAAAAAAAACAACACCTCTGTACAGAGGAGAGGCACTCTCCTTCCCTCTCTGGCTTCCACACCAAGAAGTGTTCAGACTTGTCAAACGTTATTAAACAAAACAAAAACAGGGGTTGATCTAGACTGAAAAAAAAAAGGCGTTGAGGTGGCCGAGCCAGATCAGATCAAGGACCCTGTTAGTCAAATCTCTTGTCTTTAAAATGATCAAGAACAGCTGCTTCAGAGAAAGTTTTCTTCAAACAAACCCTGCAGCAGATAGTTATTGAACAGCTCAATCATAGAGGAAAAATCTTTACTCGGTTAACGGGTGGATTATGCACGGGCTTGTGCCTCTCTTCTAAGGTATTTTAGCCTAAACAAAACAGTTTTTTACAACCTGGATCATCGCAATGCTTGGATTTGCTGTACCATTGTCTTTGACTGCCACTGGCTTACAGTAATAACATGAGGAATGTGAAATCTGTCAGGAGAGAAATCACCGCGGGCTCTCCGGGTAGGTCCTGGTGGCCCACCGAGCGAGCCCACCCTGCTGCCCCGTGCTGCAGAGCCTTCCCAGCAAATCCGCCTGCTCTGGGGTGCAGCTGCACTCCCAACAGCTGAAAATTACAGGCTGAGCAGCCACAGGAGGGAGTGTCGGTCTCCAGCCTAGGAATATTAAACACCAACTGCTTCTGATGCCTATCTATCGTTGTCTCTGCCATTCATCCCGAGGTCGGAATGACAGCACAGAGGCTTTAAATAACACCCTGGGGGGAGGTTGGTCTCCCCGTGCCATGGTGCAGCAGGGGACATGGGAGGTGGTATAAGCCTGGAGAGACACGAGCAGCAATAACAGCTGAGGAGCTCGGCAGAGCACCGAGCTTCCTCCATAGGCAGTCACAGAGCTGCAGACATTTAGGGTGTCACAGCTGCATCCTGCAGGCGTACCCGGAGCGCTCGGCTGCCAGGTTTGTGCCTGCTTAGGCGGGGTCCCCCTTCCACTGCACAGGAGAAGACATCTGCAGCAGCAGCCTATGGGGCAGGCAGCTCCTGACCTCTGCTTGCTTCACAGCAGATTGCTGTCCTGTGGCCTGAAGTCCTGAGGTGTCGGGGGTCAGCATTTACCGAGACAGTTCCACGTCCTCCTGACATCCACGCCAAGGCCGTGCTGGAGCCTGGTGAAGTTCCTCACCTCAACAACTTTCACTGCTGGTCACTGCGTGGCTTGCTAGCAGCCGCATGGGAAAGGCGTTTCTTTCAGCAGTCTTCAACCTTTTTCACTTTTCAGTCGATACAAATGCAGAGCGTAAGGGGGCTGCCTGGGTGTCCCAGCCCAGACCACACCGCTCACAGTAAGCACGGTCAGATCGCACCAGTACAAGCACAGCGAATTCCCCTGGAAACCTTGCCAGCAATTACTGGGCCTGGGGAGTCTCCAAGCGAGTCATGTTTGAAAACTGCCCATCAAACACTGGATTTTGTCAGAGAACTGCATCAGCTCGTACCTCTGTTAGGGAAACATTGCACATTTTTTTACCACCACTGCTGGTAGAGGACTGTTTGTGGTATGCTTGCCGGGAATATGCTCCTCATTTGTGATGAAGTGTTGCGGAGGACATGGCTGTTGTGAGTTGTCACAGCTGGAACTGCCAGATACCAGAGAAGCAAAGCAGTTCGGAGAGGGCTGAGCTGTGAAAATCGGGATTTGTATAAAAAAAATAGAAAGCTTTGATATAAATGTGGGTATATAAATGAAAATGAGGATAATAAAAAAATAAATGAGTTACAGGAGATGAAAACAGGAAGAGTGAGCAAATGGTGAGCTGGCAAGTCAGCCAGAGAAACTCTACATAAAAGTGGAAGAGCAGAGGAGACATGGTCTGCTTGCTTCTTTACATCCCTGTGCACAGCACACTGAGATGTGGGCAAGGAAGAGAGCAGCTGTGCCTCTGTGGAACCTGCTCAGGCAAATGTTCTCTCATCGCCAGTGCCAGACACAGCTCTGTGTGCCTGCACATATGGACAGGCGCTCAGAAGAGAACATTTTTTATCTTATTGCACAGAGCATGCCAGCCCAACAGCACTTGGAAATGCTTTGGAAATATATTTTGAAAAATATTTTCTGTTTTGTGTGTAGACTCTGCCAAATCTACTTGCTACCTGCTGCTATAAAGGAGGCCTGTGAGACTCCTTACTTGCTCCTAATGAAGACGGACTTGATTTGAAGTTATACCTTTCTTTACTTTGCAGAGCTCTTTGAATGTCCTGGTGAACGACTTCTGTCTCTGAAGAGAGCCTCACCATCTTCTGCATTCATCTTCTGCACGTCAAATCCCCCACTACCAATGATTTAACATCTCCACCTTGTCACCTACATCCCACGGTGCTGTATCATCAACCACCGGTATTCAGTGCTTTATTGGCTCTGAATTTAGTTCTTTATCACCTGAATTTAGGAATTTTATACCAACGGAATTGCCTCAGTTGGGATCTTTTCAAGGCACTAGTGCAGGTATTTATGTGGTGGGAACTTAATTATCCATCACTGTAATACCAGTGAAATGGCAGTGTTTATCAGCAATTAACCAGTGACAGATGAACCTCCCAGAAATATAAAAAGAACAACATTGTGGAGCGTGTGGTGGTTTTCATTATATATTCAACATTCTGCAGCATGATACATTACAGAAAGTGCCAATTTTTCTTTTCAATTGCTTTGAAAATCTAGCAGCAGGCACCTCTGGGAGGTTTCTCATTTCATTCAAGGCACATTTATTTAAAATGGTTATGGAGAAGAAACAGGACAGCTGAGCAAATGGTATGGAGGGAAGAGGGGGAATTATGAACAATAAATTTGATTTTCAATGCCATGACAACTATTTCTGTGCAAGAGGTATACAAATTTAGGCAAAGCCCTGCCTCGGAGTGGACAAGCTGAGGCAGTGAAGTAATTAGGAGATGGGCAAATGCATAATAAGAGGCTTTTTGTGCTGGCCAAAACAGACAGATTCTTGCTTACATTAAAGCCCCACCAAGAGCACTGGCCAAACACAGCAAGGGAGTGTTCTTAGCAAAACATGATTGGTATTTCAAACGTACATGCTACCATGGCCTCGTGAAAAATGCACCGGACTCCATTCTTTTTGCCTGGGAAGGTCTGCAGTGACTTAAAGGGTATCTGTCACAGCTGTACTTCATGGAAGCCACATTTTACTGCATGGTAAATATCCTAGTGCTTTTGGGAAGGTCTGTTACCATGCTCTCACAAGGTATAATGCGTACTTCTTGCGTGTTTTGAAGCTGGCTTCTTGTTCTTGCACAGAGCAGTGCAAGAACAGAGTCCTGACAGGGTGTTGATAAAAAATAATGGCAGCATTAAAAATTACTGTACTCTCAAAGGCTCAGATCTAAGCCAAATTAGAAGCAATTTCTCTGAAGCACTTTCCCTCAATAAAGACTGCTATGACTAGCCACTTCAGAGACAGAGCTGTTCAAAAGTATTTTACATTATTGGCTTTTCTGGGAGGTCACCCTTTCATCACGGTAAAAGTGCATCTCATTACTTCCTTCTTACCTAGGAAGAGCAGTACCAATTTTGCTCATACGTAAAATGCAATCACTTCAAGCACTACGGGGAGATGGAAAACTTCAAGCTAACATGAATATCTGAGAAAGCCTTAAAAACTGAAAGTAGACATTCAGGATTTAAATATCTATCTCATTTTTACTGTGTATTCCATTAGTGTACCAGATATAGCCTAAAAATGCTCATACCCTGGGCAGAACACAAAACCAAAGAGATGCAGCTGTCTATACGTGCATGGTGTCTAACCATGCAACGCTTAAGTTCTTTGACACGAGAGCAGAGACAAGGTAAATATAACACAATAAGAATAGAAAAGCAAAGGCCATACTGTGAATAGGTCTTATTTTGCTCTTCTCCCTTATGAGTAGCAGCTGTGAGTGGCATGGCTTGCATAGTTCACCCCAGCTTGGAGACAACACGCGGACATTCAGCAGTTTGACTGTGCCCTCTGCTGTTAACAGCAGTACAGAAAGGACTCACGTGTCTTGGAAATGGTTTCTAGATGAACCAAAATGGATTTGTTCCTTGAATTGAACATTTCTTCAAATTTGTCCAAGCATGCTTGCAGCTGCAAATGTGAAGGAAAATGAAAAAATTAATATGTTTAATTTGTCTTTTATTTGTGTGCAAAAACACTGCCCTAAGTCCCACAGAACAATGACTGCAACTCATTGCTGCAATAACCTGAAAATGGACATTTATCTGTCACTTGGAAGAGTTTGTCCATCCATTGGTTGCAATCCCAAAGGAGATATGGAATGGCTCAAATGGCTCATAAAGTATTGCAGAAATCTTAAAATCATTTTGCAATAGAGATATTAATCTCTAAAAAAGCATCAATAGCAACATTATTCTAATTATTTATTAAAAGTTATGGGGAGAAGAGACCTTCGTCTTCAGACAGTGAGATACATTTCATTTACTTGTTCTTGAGATCAAGCCACTTTCTTTGGGCAAGAGGAAAGAAGTTGTATTTGCAAACAGCCAAAGGCTGTTCTTGCTCCCAAGCCCCAGAGAAATTCCATTGCTGACTCTGAGACAGGGCCCTAAAGCCTGTGACCCTAAGGACTGGCCACAAAGAGGATAGCATGTGAAAAAAAAATATTGACAATTGTTGGTCTGCATTATGTAAGTGTTCAAGACAAACAGTCTACCAATTCAAACATCAGCACAGAAAATGAGAGAAGGTGAATATTCTGCAGCATTTCTAATTCTTCCTTATTCTGGGCTCTGAATTTGAAGTAACTTACCCCTTGAAGCCTGTCGTTGATACTGGAAATAAAGGTGCTTAAGACCTCTCTAAAATGAAAAAGAAAAAAAAAAACACAAAACACAGAAGGAATAAAATAGACATGTAACGTTACTGAAGTAGTGAGAAACTGAAAAGATCACAGTGAATGTGAGACATGAAACACTGCAAGGCATAGTGCGGTGCACAATGTAAACACAGAAATGTGCTTACTTCAGCAGACACAACCCTTTGAAGTCACGTTACTTGTTTTAGGAAAGCACAGATTCTGCTAGGCAGAGTACAAAATATAGACACATTTGTGTGTGTACACACACAGAGACATGCACATATATCACACAGGGGTATACACATATTTTTTTAACTCTCCCAGTTTTGGCGTAGCATTTCTGCCTCTCCCAGAAGTTTCGGAAGGCATTTATACAATCCCTGCTAGCTGCTGGGGTGTCACCGCTGCACTATCTGCTCCGGAAGAACCCAGCCGTGGTGGAGGTGACGTGCCAGTTGCTGAGATACATGAGTATTATATTTGGACTAAAATAACTGTGGGAAAAACAGGGAAAAAAACTGCGGCATCAACAAAGCCCAAGCCAGGAAGAACAAATACTGCAAATCCTTTTCTCCCGAGATTATGCCTGTGGTTTCTGTTATCCACCCTTTTGAGTTGAGCGAGCCTATCAGGAACCAGGCTATATTCATGATTAACCTATCAAACAAAAATGCTAGGCCTGTTGCTAAGCAAAGCGATAACCTATTTCCTCTCTGAAGATTCGGGTCATTTTAAATTGATCGTTTAGTAATCCAAACTGCAACAAACAGAAAGGTGGAGGCCAGGTAGAGGCTAATGGTGAGAATTAGGCAGGGCTTCTGAAATATTCCTAGCCTCAGGAGAGGAAGATGTTCATTCTAATAGTCAAACTTGTGGGGGATATAAATGGATAAATTACACATTTATCTCTGTAAAGATAATATAGTTATTTATATAAACATGCTTCTAATCTGGGAGTGCATCTGGAGCGCAGAAAGAAGCATAATTAATATAAAGAAGAAATAAAGGATAATTAAGAGTTCTGACTAAACATTTAAAACTGTGTGTCCATTCCTCATAATTCACTTACAAAAATCTTCCTCTTCTCTAATAGGCACCAGAGCATCAGGTTTTGCATTATCAGAAGCATAGTGCCCATTGCAAACGAGAAAGAGATACACAGTCTGATCTGATTAAAGGCTTTTAACAAAAATGTGTTTCACTTTGGATGTTACATTACAAAATGTACAGAGCTAAGAATTATTTATAGGTGCACTGGGGAGCTTGCCATCTTTCATTTTTGAGATTGAAACTCTTAGCTTAATCCTTAAAGCCCTAGAGGACCTACAGGTACATTTAATTCTTAACATCTGACAAAGAGCTCATTAGCAAATTATACTTGCCTGTTCCCAAAAACACACATACAAAAATCCTCTATATCAGAAAAAATTATAGAGATAGGTGCAGGTTTATAACACTGTAATCACTGCATCTTCCTCTGCACAGAAGTATGCTTGGCAATCTCCTTACCTGTCCTAAATGTAAATGTCATCCTAGGAGTCCCTTTTATACAGTCTATAAAATTTTGAGAAATATGGACTTTCACAAAGGAAAACAAACAAACAAACAAACAACAAAACCCTTGCTGATTAGATAAAGAAGGCAAAGGGAAATTCAGGATATAGTTTTGTTGTTCCTCCTGGCTTATGGCTGAAAGCATTACATAACTCTCATCACAAGTAAACCCTATTCTCTCATCCTGTGACTCTTCCCAATCAGAGATTATCTAAAACCTGAAAAGACACTTTACTTGGAGAAATCTGCAGCTACGTCATGTGTGACTTTTAAGAGGAGAAGGAGGAGCTGCAGGGAGTGATAACAGATTTCACAGGAAGAATTTGTAATGGATGTCTACATACCGATCATATTTGTCCTTTATTTTGTTCTTATTCACTTCAAAATTTTCCAGGACACTTTTCCCTCTTCCTGCACAAAAATTAAGCAAGCCTTTTTCTCTTGTATCTTCATCAAATAACTGTGGTTTCATTTGGTATTTAGTGAAAATACTGGGCTCGCTCTGTTGCACAAAAGAAAGAAAAATGTTGAAGTATAAAAATAATCAGAACATTAATTATCAAAAACTATTTCTGTACCAAGTGCTTTGCAGACAGAGGGTTCACAGTGATTGGACGTGACAGATTAGATGGGGTGAGGAGATTAAGAATTTGACGAGATTATTGTTCACTTAGTGTGCCTGGTTTGATCGGCTCCCTGTGGAACTGAAACTCAGACTGAATTTCTTCAGACTCAGGGCTTTTCCATCATCCTGACTGTTTTCAGTTGGTTGCAATCATCAGTTGCACAACACAGAGACTATAAAACAATTTCAGGGTGCTCCCTGTACATTAATCTAAAGGAAACCCTATTGAATTTCCTTTTGGGTGACATCGTTTGCTGCCAAGCAGCAACATCGTCAGGCTGTAGCTGTTTTTCACATGCTCCGATATACATTTCAGAACAAGAAGATAACATTAGTATGAAAGCAGTGAAGACCTTCTTCATTCTACACAATTTCCAGACACTTTGTGACCAAAATAGAAATTCCTTTTCCTTAAAACATAAGAAAAGGCAAATTTCGTTAAATTGTTTTCTTTCATCCTGAACAGTGAGTTTCCTTTCCTGCATCTGATGAAAAGCCACACATTTAAAGGACAAGATCTTCAGCAAAACGCAGGGGACAACAGACAGGATCTGGAACTGAATGGCTGCCTCGGGCCACGGAGCTGGCACGACTGCTCTTTCCTAATCTTTGCTCTGAGGTGTCTTTATTTGGATCTGCTGGTATCTGCTCGTGGTGCAGGAACTATTTTAGTGAGACTGGTAACATCAGAGGCCACGTGCTATAGGAGAAAGATTTTGAGCTTAGAAGCTCTTCATCTAAAGTCATTTAAGCATCTACCATAACAACAATACAGCAAGGTAACTTGCAGGAAATGGAATTAAATGCCGAATACCTCTGTCATTCTTGCAGAAAGCTAATAAAGAGAAACACAGTATTGTTCAAAGAGGGAATAGATGAAATATTATAGATGGTGTAAAGACATTAGATTGAGACCAATTTCACATTATGTTAGTTATTAAAAATTGTGATCAAAGAAAATATCCCAATAATAGTCATATAAATAAGTTTTTTCACCAACCAGGCTGCTATTTTGTCTAGTTACGGTAAGTATGTACTTCTCTTATTGTATCAGAAGATAACTTGATTTCAGCAGGCTTAGCCAATTTTACCACCTGTTTTCAGTATTTTCCATTAATTTAGATGGTGGCTGTGTGTGTGCAGGGCTGAACAGGAGAGCAAAACTCACGTCCTGGGAGTTGTGCTGTCCCAGCTGCGTGCCCAGCTCCAGCGGTGCCGCTGCCGACTGCACGTTCTCCGGGCAGAACTGGGAGCCGAAGAGCAGCTGAGAATCACTGAGACTCGAGTAGTCGCTGGGAGCATTGCTCCGGACAGAAAACTTGTTAGGCCTGAAACGGGACAGAGTGCACTGTGAGTGAATCTTTCTTTTTCCCTGAGTGCCACCCAAATGAACCCTTCCCAGCTGGCCTTGACTTCGTGCTATGTTCCTCTCTTTCTGTTCCCCTTCACAGACACAGCTGCTGCCAGTTTGCCCCCCAGGACTGCGGTACGATGCCAGGTTCCCCCAGGTGAAGGTTTCCCACTGGCTGTACTGCTTTTTGTTCTGGCAGAGCCTGCCTTCAATTTTTATTTTATTTTTTTTTGCTGGCAAAGACAGAGACTTCTTCATTTTTCGTATTCCATTGCTCCATGTTTACAAGGTCGGATGAACTGCTTAGGCTAGGTCCAAATGTAAGAAATGCTGGCCCAGGCTTATTCTCCCCAAATTAAGCTACCAAATTGCAAGAGATGTGTTGCTGCCTTTGGTGCTGTTTCTCGGTATCAATAGGTGAAAGCCTTTCTTCCACCTCATCCACCTGTGCCACTGTACAAAGCCTTACCCCAGCCCTCCCACAGGAACAAAAATCTCACCATGTAACAATTCCTAAAAAGGGTCAAGGAAGAAACAAACTGAATTAATTAAAATCTAAAGGTTTACTAATAAATCACAAGGACTTTCTCCTGATCAAGCCTGGCAAAACAGTGATAAATGGAACGGAATTAGAGATCAAAATTAATGAAGGAGACTCTTAGGCAGACTCTTCCATAACAAATCATGTAACTAAAGTAAAAAAGAGCAGGAGACTAATTTGTGTGTCTAACAAAAGATGATCACCCCAACATTTATTAGCAGTGACGTGTTCGGTTTAATCCCCACTTTTGGAAGGAGCCCAAACACCATGCACACAAAAGGGAGAGGGTTTAGTGGGAGCATTTGAACTGCTCAGCCTCCCTCTTCTTCACAGAGCGGTGTCAGTGACAATATCACATTAATACTTCTGGCTTTGAGCTCACCGAGTACACTGAGCTGCGGTCAAAAATAGAGAGATGAGGTATGGGTTTGTGGATCCTCAGAAAGCCTGATAAATCTGCCTGAATTCAAAACCTCCCTTGATCTTTCCGTGGGCCCCAAATCTACCAAAAGAGAAATCTGAACGTAACTTTCACTTGCACGGCTTCCTGTTTCCACCCCAGCTACGCTTTGTACAAAAGAACTCACTTGATATCTGCAGCCCGCAGCATGTCAGGAAGAGATATGAGCACGCGGGCTGCCACCACCCCGGCCTGCAGTGTAGGTATCACATCTCCTGCACTGGTTTGCTAAACCTGACAGTCTTTTAGGCAAGAAAGCTCCCTCTTAGTTCGAGGAAGGGTTTTTACACTCCCCAAGTGCTTCCTGCCAACGCACGGCTCCATGACCCCCTTGGACAGAGCCCGGTGCTCCTGGTGGATGCCACATCCCTGCTGGATGCTCGGCTGAGCACCAGGCTGAACGCAAGGAGCTCCGCTGCTGCCGTGGGGAGCCCTGCAGCTCAGAGGTCTCGGCGAGGTCTGGGTGACTTCCCCGCCTCTCTCTGCACTGACACCATGACCAAAGAAGGCTGTAGACGGCTCTGGAGCCTCATTTTTCTGTCTGAAGTCCTCTCTTGGTGGTTAGTTTAGGAATGATGGCACTTCTGCAAACGATGGGGGGAGACGAACCAGATGTCTCTTTGAGCACATTCCTTCCCAGATTTCTTTCTCCCTTGCTAAACGCTGCTGGCAGTTAATTTGCTAACAAAGCCATCTGGACAAGGCATCAGCCTGGCCACGCTTGGGCCAGGCCTTCCCGTGACGGTGAGATCAGACAACCACGGCTCTCCAGCCACCTGACCGTTTCCTTCAGGGTGCTGGGCTTCACGGGTGCGTGACCCGTCCTAAATATAACCCCTTCCTTATAAACAGCGAGGAAGCATTCTAGATATCCAATCCCGGTTCGAAGTCCCTCCTAGGTGATGCAATAGTTTATCTCAGGAGAACTCTGAGCTTTCTGCTAAAACGAGCCATTCCCTGAGTCATCCACGCATTTGTGCCAAGAGTGCTCCTCTGCTGTTTGCACTACTGGATGCACTCAGAGCAAAAAAAAAGATGTAGGTATGGAAGACAAGCGCCATCACAAGCTCCTGGCAGCTCCAAAAGCGCTAAATCATACTCTGCCAACCATGGAATGGGTTCTTTTTCCCACCTAATGAAATGCAAGGTATTGTAATATTGGCAGCTCCGACACTTTCTGTAATATGAGCGCGACCTCAAAAATCTGCAGCCCTCTGCATATCTGGGGAGTCAGCTAGCTCTTCGCCGTCTCAGTTTCCTTGTTGTCAGTGTGAATAACCCTCCCCCCGAGAAGCTGGATCTTTGTGGAGCTTCTTGCATTTTTGCCAGTTCCAATCAGTTCCAATCATCCAAATACTATCACCAGATGTGAAGGTATCACCTTTTGGCTAAAGGGCCTGCCTCGCCCCCAAATAGCTGTCAGATACAACACTCCAAGAGGAACACAGCACACAATAAATCCCCTCTCCTTGTGTTCCTAGATGTTCCTAGGTGCATCAACACACTAAACCACGTAACTGTAGTGTCATAGGCCTTATTGGTCTGTAAAAACAGTTTTTACTCTGCTGTGTGGATCCATCTTTATGTGCCAACACCAAGCTCCAAGAGTCGGTTGGAAAAGCAATATGAGTCTCCTACAATTTCCAAAATAACATCTATTGGTGGTGCTGCTGTGATTTTATTTAGTTCCATCATCCTCCCTGAACCTGTGCCAACATCCCTCCTTTTCTGAAGCTCTGTGGGTGAAGCTCACTTACACCTTCCTGACATATTTCTTCGAAGTGCAGCAAAGCTTCTTTCCCAAGAAGAAATCTTCTTCTCCTGGTAGCAATCTTGAGCTGTATCAGTGCTCTTCTCCTGCTTGCTATCCAGAGAATCTCCCAGCCCTTCCTGCTCCTTCTCATTTAGTGACCAGGACTGCATCACAACAAATCCAACTGAAATGCTGGACGCTTTTCATCTGCTCTTCCTCGTAGCTTTATTCTGTATGTATAGGAATTGTCTCTAGCTCTCCTATGCTGCTCTCGTAGTTACTATTTGCAGCCTGTCAAGGTGTTTAGCAAACAAGCAAGGATCAGCGTTTGCTTTGGGTATAGAGGAGAAACTTTAGCATCCAGGGGGCTTGGAGGAGTTTAAATGAAGGAGTTTTAGTTGCTACTGCAGCTTCCAGCCATTTACTTTGCTGGAAACAGCATCAGCATAACATTATTTTTCTGTTCCCTGTCCTCTGGAATTGAATGACCTGCTTGTTGCAAATCGTTCATTTCATTGTTGCATTTGTATCCTATAAGGAATTTCTACAAACAGATTTTGGCACCGACCTTAATGTATTAACCACAACAGGGTCCCTATAGGTTTTTCAGCTCAGACGCTGCCTCCAGTTTCCAGATTTCAGGCTCAAATTCCTTCCGCTCTTGTTTTAATTCCTCAAGGTCATTTTTACTTTCTATGAGCAACTCCATTATTCATTCCAACGTGATTCAATAGCACCCAGACATTCCTCACCTTGGAAACCGCGTTAGCTCCTTTGTCCTGAGCAAGGAGCCAGTAGTCAGAGATTTCTGCGGCACAGCCTTGTTTACTTACACAAAATTTATCCCTGGCCACATTAGGAATCAGACATTTGGAGGTAATTTTTTGCCCCCCAGTCTGAAGCTGTCTTCCAGCCTTTATGGCACACTCAGTTTCTGATTCCTCCAAGGCTCAGGGTTCTTACAGCTGCTCATTCATCGGCGTTGTCTTGGCTGTCTCCATTTTCTGCTAATTCTGGGACCTTAAGGCAACTTCAGAATTTGTGGTTCTGCTATGTGGGATGGAAATTCGTGAAATAATGGATCGAGTAAGGCTGTTAAACTTGGAAGATGTTTCTCAACAGCAGAAATATGATATAGAGAGCAATGGCCCAAGCAGGCCTCAGCTTACAGCATCCTTTTTGAATGCCTCTTTAATATTTTTATCATGTATTGGCCTTACATGCTCTCTGGCAGGCTTTCTGCTTCTGATGTCTCTGGAAATAGGTTTATTAGTAGTTTTTATGCCTCTAGCAAGTTACTGCTTTTCACATGAAACAAGAAAATTCTGGTAACTTCAATTTAAAATCATATCATTTCCTATTTTTAATACTCTTTACTTTCTTAAAACACACCCTCTCATTTTCAACAGTCTTCTTTACCATGGCATTTAGCAGTGTCAGGCTGGTACCAGTCCATCTCCAGTCTGATCTGATAGCTTGTAGGCATTAGTTCTATGCTTCAGTATGACTCTGAATAATGAGGCTCTTCAGTATGAGGTCTAAATAATCCCTGTGCCTCAGGCAAACATTTAACCCTTTTGGCTGTCCCTTTACATTTATTTTAATGAGGCTTCGTACTTCTATGTCAGTATCTTTTTTTTGAAATTACACATTTCTGTGGTGGATTTTCGGCTTTTGTTGCTCCTGCAGAGATGCTGAGTCCAGTTCATTATTGCCACTTTTACAGCAGCACCACAAAAGTAATATTCTGAACGAGGGTCTTGTGCTCAGCTCGAGACCAAGGCAAGATGCATTTCTTCCCTGGGAGTTCCCTGGCTGGGGCGGGTATTTATGGTGCTGAAAATCTAGTTTCAGCATCATGCCCCAGCGATGCTTACCCGGTCGATATAAAGCTAATTGAAGCATCATTGCTTTTGTGACCGCTATTCTCAGGTCCTCTGTGATCCTCCTCCGTGTTCCCTTCTGGCTGGGCAGTCAGCAGTACAGCTCTAATACGACATTTTCCCTAATTAGCTCTGGCATTTCAATCCACAAAAATTGTGTTGTTTGTCGATACACTTAAATTGACTCTAAGCTTTCTCCGCTGCATAGCTGTCACTTTATTGGCCTCACATCCTCCCACATTCTTAAATAATTGGCACCCTGATATTACAGCGTCCAACTAGACAACTTTCCTTCCGATGAGTTTTTAAGATCTCTATTATGTCAATATTTGTACATTACAAACAGGCAAAACAGGGACTCTGGTTACCCCATCCTATTTCTCAGGCTGCCAGCAGTCACAGAGAAGATTATGTGTGCTTGACAGACAGATTATGAATAAAACCCCAAGTCCCCAGTCTGCTGTGAGACGCAGACAGAAAGGAGTTACAAGAGGTGACGGTTCAGAGCAATCTCGGGCTTCTTCAGAAACTCTGTCATGACCTTATTACATCACTGGAGCTCTGCATTTCTTATGGACCTGGTGGCAGCTGCTCTCAAAAGTTAACACCCTGCCTCAAACGTGCAAAGAACTAACACTGTGAGCTGTACCCTGCCAATACTATATGCTGATTTCATGTTTCAGCTTAGAAGCTCTCTTAAAGACAGTATTCTGCAGTTTATACATCATATCCTGCTGTAGTGAGAAAAGTATCTAGTAACAGGAGAAGAGAGCCGGGAGAAGTAATTAACACATCTGCCCCCCATCTCAAATACATGCACATACTCCTATGAATAACTTTTTTTTTTTTCCTTAGAAAAAGTTAATTTGCTGTCTGAGAACCCTCTCCTTCATCTTAATTCTTCCAAAAGCCCAGCTGCATTTTCAGTAATGTTTCATGACCTACTGGACCCTCTCAACTCACTTCAAAAAAAAACGTAGAGTGCTGAGGAGTAGGTGTTAAAATCTTGTCTGTATTTTTCTCCTGCATTAATAAAATAGTTAAAAGGGAAGATCTAGTAGCTGACAGGACACTTTGGAGGAGGAAGGAACTCAAACAATCCCCTTACAAACAGGCACCAGTACTTCTTCTACTCATTTCCTTTGGTATTGCACAACTCCACAGAATGCTTTATATATATATAAATTACATAAATATTATATATACACATACAGACATTCACAACTAAATTTCCCCAGTTCAGTCTCTGACCAGAATGAAAGTCGCAGGTTTCCAAACCACTGAGACATAACTGCTTAATTAAATTTAAAAATATATATTAAAAAATCTGCAGGTACCAAGACAATAGAATTATGCAATGCATGTTTATAAAGACTAAATCATGACAGATATAAACACACTTTTCTCTGAATTGGCTCCCCTTTGACCCTTGCATCTGTGCAAAACTCAATTAATTCATAGGTATATGACAAGCACTTTTATAACGGGAAAGGAAACTGCTATTATGCTTTCATTATCATTCATCATCATGGTAACATCAGGCCACATCAGAGACAGTATGACTAAAATCGTGAGTTTGAACAACAGTTAGTTATATAACTACCAGAGGATCAGACGACCAAATTCATCAATTAGCTTCCCCAGAATTAAACAAGAGATAAATCTGGCTCTGTTTTTTAGCCAAGTGATGCAAAGAGTATTACTCTGCTACATAAAAATGTAGCATGTCTTAGCATTTGCTCTCCAGATGTTTAATACAAGTAATATTTGTTGTTTCATTGTATATTATAGACGTGGAGACTTGGAGCTGCTCTTTGACTTCTGCTGGGAAAAAAAATCAGCCATGCATATCAATGCAGTATATGGAATAATTTTGGTTACATAATGTGTAATGATATTGCAAATTATGATTCATTTTATCTATCTTTTACACAAGGCAAGAAAGGAACATTTAACTTATCTAATTAGACATGTTGCATAAGATAGGCCATAGGACTTTCCTGAATAAATTCCTGCTTGAAGCACAGAATAGATTTTAGCAGAACATCCAGTGATTTTTAAATTCCCTACAATGGTAAATCTATTACAGTGTTTAGTAGGCTGCGTATGCAAACACAAACAGAATCACAGAACAGGTTAATTAACCAACATTCACCAGACCAGGACTAACTGCAGATCAATTCTAGAGAGATTTCTTTTTGTTCCCTCAGCTGTCCCGTGCCCATGCCTCCCCGCATACTCCCACCCCTTCTTTGGCAGCACAGTGACCATGCAATTGCGGCAGAGTCTCCAGAAACAGTCTCTAGAAACAGAAAGCTACAACAAAATGGTGGCTTCTGCTTTTCCAACTGCTAGATCACCTCCTAGGTTATGTATCTTGGAAAGTTTCTGTCTCTCCCTACCCTAGACCAAGACAAGAGAAGAGCCTTAAAATCACCAGAAAGTTGGGAAGCAGGGCAGGCATAATGGCTGTTTCTCTTAATCAGCACATCCCATGTTTGAACCAAACCGAATCACATTTCACTGTATTGCACCATATTTGCAGAAGTGCCTCTTAGGGCAGGAAATATAACCTGCTGTTCCTCAGGATGCTTCTGTTTATAGAACTCGAACCCAAGTAAATGGACCACTAAAATGTTTAATTTGTGTAAATGTTATTAAACAGCCAAAGCATTGATAATCCCAGGAATGTTTTACATTGGCAGTGCAAGACCTCCAAAATATGTTGTGCTATAACCTGTCACATGTCAGTCTGAGGTTCCTTGTATTTACAATTCCCTTATAATCTTAAGAGAGGCTGTTGTACTTAACAGGCTCTGTGGTATAAACTGTGCACACTGGGAATCACGCAGATCAAACACACATGATGTGCAGTTAGTGCATGTAGCAAGAAGGCACATTTTTGTATTTTTCTAAGGTAGAAAACTCTGGGCCAATGTGGAGAATGCAGAGCCCTTATCTGGAGACATATGAATGACCTCTGGAATGAACACACCATGAGTGTCAGGATACGTAAGCCGATGGGAAATTTCTGGCTTATCTGACCCCACTATACTGTCAAATACCACTTACATGCATTTTACTGCAAACTCACAGGGTAGCGACCCTGAGAAAAACACAGCCCATCCCGATGGCTCCAGTCTGATAAGCACGAAAATGGTGAAAACATACAGCACTTACCCAGAGGCTGTTGGAGTGCTGAGCATCTCCTTGATGTTCCAGACGTTAAAATTCATTTTTTCAAGATTGACTGTTAGAAAGGAAAAATACAAGGGCTGTCAATTGCAGGTGTCAGAATAAAACCACCCACAGGGCCACCAGCTGCACCCTTATGGTGGCAGCACCCCACCGGCCTCGTCGCCTTGCAGTCAGGGCATTTTTGGGGCTGGGAGTGAGGGAAGGCTCCCTCTGGGCCCTGTCCCCATGGGATTCATGTACTGCCTGAGCTCGGGGCAGTTTGTGCATTTTTCCTCCCTCATCACCCCCTCTCCGGACATCCCTCCCCACTCCCCAGGCATGCATGGCCTCCTCCCTCCTACCCGCTGGTTGCAATGTCACGGTGCTGCCCACACTCTCCCAGTAACACTGCAAGGAGGAGAAATAAGAAAAAGAGTTAAAGCCCCTTTAGGACGGAGCACACCAGCTGCAGGGGGAGACGAGAGGCACCTGCGGCCCCAGGGAGGCCCAGCCAACATGGCTGACGTGGCCGACATGGCCACCATGCGGCTGGGGCTGGGCCTAGCTGCTCCCTGTGGGTTTGGGGTGCAACCGGCATCCGGGTGGGGGGCTCGGGGGTCCCCCCTGATCTGGGCTGTCCCCAGGCAGATGGGGGGGACACCCTTGTTCTGGGTGAAGGAGGTGCTTGGGGGCTGAGTGCCCCTGGGCTGGTCCCTAGTGGCAGCCATAGCACACCAGGTGGCTTCGTGCCCAGGGGCTGTGCGGGCTCTTGTGTCAACAGTGCTCTCAGAAATGCAGAACGGCTTAATTTTACCCACCAGTATGACAGAAATAACCCATGATCTAAACATGCCCCGGAGAAAGATTCTCAAATATGGTTTTACTGGAATTTTTTCATTGCACGTCACTATCCTCCTCATCTTCAGGAATGGAAAATGGGCATGCTTACTTGCCTGTTTTTTTCCCTTTAATTCAAAGTAATTTTAAAGCTGGTTAAACTGTTTGGTCGTCAGTTTTGAGGATGCTCCATAAGCACTAAACCACTGCAGAAATAAGGCTGCTGTAAATTTACAGATAGATTAGAGAAGCTCGTCACATCCCCTTCACGCTCCTCCTGCCTGGAGAGCAAGTTTTAGTGTTAACAGCAGCCTGGAGCTCCGAGGTGTCAAAACAATGCCTGTGTTGTGTGTCATCCCGAACAGCAGCAGCGTTGATGTATATATCTGCTTTCCTTAACAAATCCTGCAGAAATGAAGCTTTCACTTAAATAATTCTGGACTTTTACCCATAACAGACTTGGAGCAACTCTGCTGCTTGTTTTTGCGTGTAACTACAGGGCTACGTCTGGCATAAATAGCTGGAATTTATCTCCACGGCTTGTTAACTCTCGACCGTGTGATGATCCAGTGGCGGAAAGATTTTCTAGGGCTGAAGCAGAGAATTGCAGGCTGTCTGTGCTCCCACTGCAGTGATCTGATAATGGCCAAGCTGTCAAAGGCTTAAAGCCTAACCTTCCTCCAGAGAGCGCTGCTGTGGGGGACACCTGTGGCTATGGCACTGGTTGAGTAAATAAGGGCTTTGCTCTGCTTCCGTGCTTTGTACAGCTCGGGTGTACAGACTGACACCCAGTTCTGTTATCGCTGCGCTGAGGCTGGATACAGCCCTGCATCACAAATGGTGGGGTTCTGTCCTTTTATTGTTCATAACTGGAAAGTCTAGAACTCCCTTCGTAGGAGACCACAGGGCCCTGTATCCATTTACAGCACTTCCCCTGGTATTAGGAAAGGATTTGCTGGTACTTTGTGCACCAGCTATAGGACTTGGCACCCGCTTGGTGCATTATTTTAAGTTATTATGCAGAGCTATTCATATTGCTGATGTGGCTGGAGCTTTCTGGTTTGAGCGTCTACTGAGTTTGTGGAACGTGATAAATGAGATTTTGTATTTCCATCTCCCCAACAACAGAAAGAAATTTCTATAAGGAAACACATTTTCTTAATTATAGGTTTGACAGCTAGCTCCAGTCCCAGTCTCCCCCCGTCCGTAGCAGAGCTCTGTGGAGATCTGCAGTGTTGCCTGGTGCTGGCTTGTAGCAACAGCTTCTAGCATTAGGGAGTTTGGCCAGATACTTGAAGGTTTTCATTTAGTAAAAATTAAAAGAACATGCCAGGAGATAGACAGCAATATATCTTGTACATTCCTCAACTGTTTTTCTTTCGTTCGTTAGCATTTCATTAGCAGCTCACATGAGCTCTTCAGTTAATAATGTGTCAGTCTTAAGCGCAGTCAAGGCCATCGTTCGTTTTGCCTTTTTGCCTGAAGATTTTTCCATCCATCCCAAGATGTCCTTGGCTATTGTCCTGGCCACTCTCTTCTCCTAATTTGGCTGGGATCCGGGTCTAGTACCCAAAAGTGAAGACAGAAAAGAAGGAGCAATCCAAACTTTTAGAATAGGTCACGGATTTTTCTCTGTTTATCTCAAGTGAAACAGTCAAGCGAAATGGAGCTGCAGTGGGTGGACGTGTCCCAACCCCCTGAAACATGCAGGAGGCAAGGGTGCTAATAAAAGAGCAGAGAAGCTCTCTGCAGAGCAGGGGCTGCTGGCCCCGCCAGGCTGGCACCATTGCCACTGGAAATGTCACCACAGCAGGGACACATGACAGTGAGGTGCTCCCAAGCTGTGGCTTCCCCCTCTCACAACATTGGTTTTGGAAAAAACAGTGCCAGGCACCGGTGCCCGCTGCACAGCCCCCTGTCACTGGAAGGGAACGCTGCAGAGGAGGTGCGCAGGACTGTCAGCGTGCTGGTGACTCAGCGCCTGATTTATCCTGTCCATGCGATGCTCCCACGGGACAAGCTCATTAATCAGGGCTGCGTGTCCAATGCAACTCCATGATTTAGGGTCCCACACAACAAAAGTTGTGGTGAGAGTGAAGTTCTTACGAGCCTCAGTGGCTTCTGGAAAGGGCTGGCAGGCTGGGGAGAGGTACCACGGCTGTCCCCTCCCTGCACGCCTGGAAGAAAAAGCCCGCAGGGGACAAGCTTGTAGGAGGGGTGTTGTGAAAATGGGATGCTGCTGCAGTATTCAGAGGAGAGGGCCAGAGCCCCCCTGTGCTGTGCTTGGAGGATGGGATCTCTCTTTCCAGCCCCCAGACCTCCCAGCACAGCACAAGCTGCTGACTTTGTCCAGCTGCCAGCGCATGCCCCCCGCTGCTGAGGCACAGCTCAATCACGCATTCAGGGCCCCTGCTGATGCTGCTTCTGGCACAGCTGTGGTTTCTATGGCAACTCCAGAGGTGGATGCAGGGATACTCCAGCCGAGGTACCAGGTATCCCAGGATATTCCTCCCAAAACAGAGGCAGGCAGCTCCTCTCTGACCCGTGCCCAGCATCTCCCACGCGGTGCCCTGGCTCATGGCACAGCCGGGCACGGCACTGCCCTGGCTGCTGTCACGCTCTGTGGTGCCTTGGCCACTTGTTTCCCCCTGTGCTACCCACCCGAGGATCACACCGTCCGTCTTCTCCGAAAGGTCAGGCATTCACACTTGATATTTACCCGGACCTGTGAGATCTTTCTAATGCCATCTCATTAAAAGACCGAATCCCTCGGCTGTGTCTGCGGCCGCTGCTCTGTGCTTTGGGGTGCGTGACTTTGCATGGAGCCAAAAGCAATAAGGCTCAGGCAGGGCCACGGTGCTGAGCGATCTGGGACATCAGTCCCTGCACCCATCTTGCCACATGCCCCTGAATGTCACCCACAGACATCACCAGCACAGAGCTCACCTTCCCATCCTGATGCTAGGAAGTGGGAAATGCGGTGTTCCTACTTCCCCAGGCACCACACCACGCTCCAGCCAGTGTGCTGGTGCTGGGGTGAGACCACGGGCCCCAGAGCAGCCACCCCAGGCAGCCAGCAGCCAGGTCAGGAGCAGCTGGAGGAGCACCCCAAGCTGGGCAGCAGGGCAGGAGTCTCACAGGTAGCAGGAGACAGAGACCTGTCTCATGTAGGGGATGTCTCTTTTCCTGCCAAGCCTCTTATTTCTCAGCAGCACTTTCAGTCTTCCAGCAGCCACCTCCATCCCGTCCTCTCTTGCACACCAGCTCCCTCTGATAAAACTCCTCTCTCTGCCACTGTGTTCACCCCCTGAAGCCTCTTTGCCCCATGGTGCAGGGTCCCGTTGGGGAAGAGCTCACCGGGCTTCCCCTTGGGTTTTCCCAACGGGCTGCATGCAGCACATCCCCACCCACAGCAGGACAACAGGACGGCAGCAGGGTAAAACCGCACGTGTTTCATTTATTCGAGGTGCTACGTCACCTCCTAGGCACTGAGCTACAGGGCACCTCTGCGCTACATGAGACATCGACTGGGTCTACGACGACACAGCACTCACTGCTACACACACGGCACGGACACGGGGCCGAACGGGGCGGCACGGCGGCAACGGCCCTGCCTCCGCGGCTCCCCGTGCCAGCAGCCTCGGCCCTCCCCAGGCACCGGGACAGCAGGATTTGTCTCTGGGCTCTTCTGCCGTGGGGCAGCGGCAGCACCCGGCGGTGCGGGAGCCCAGAGGGATTTCGGATGCATTGTGAGAAACCGTGGCCGCTGCGGCGCCCGGCGTCGCGGGACGGCGGCTGCCCGGAGCTGAGCCGCCCCTGCACGGGCGCACGCACACCCTGTCCCCGTCTTCAGGCACTTGGTGCTCCGCCGGGGCTGCTCCCCGGGCTGTGGGGGCTCTCTCAGGGCACCTCCCGCAGGCACAGGGCCTCGACGGCACCGCTGGGGCCCTGCGCAACCCCACCGATGACGAAGAGCAGGCCGGGGGCCGAGCAGCTGGAGCAGGAGCAGCGGCCGGTGGGCATGGGGGGCAGCGGCTCCCACCTCTTCCGCGAGAGGCTGAACCCCTCCACCGAGTCCAGGGGGCACGACTGGTTCCCTGCAAGAGAAGGCACGGCATCAGCCCCTCCCTGCACACCCCAGGCTCTGCCGTTCCCTGCTCAGAGGCTTTTAATGCCCCAGCTGAATCCCACTAATTGTGGCTGGTCCCCGAGCCCTCCGCAGCGGGGGATCTGCAGTCTCAGTGGTAATTACGCGGGGGCACAGCGGGATTAGCAGCATCCCCAGGGTGATGGCTGCCGGCACCCCACCGCTCGCCTTCCCTCCTGCCCTGCCACCAGCTCGCCGTGCCCCGAGCCCTGGCCGTGTGGCTGGGTGCTGCGACTGCCGCGGGCAGCCCTCCCCGCAGCGTCCCCACCACTGAATGGCAGCACTGACCTTTCCCCAGCTCTCTCGGGAGAGGGATGCGGCGCTGCAGCCCTGCACAGCCGGGCTGAGCCAGCACGCGGCACACAGCACCAGGGAAATGCAGCCATGGGGCAAAAGCAGCCCTGTGGGGAGCACCAGCAGCCCCTGGAGGGGCAGTAGGGTTTCCCAGTTTTGCTCACACTTGGGAGGCAGAGGAGGGACATGGGGATAGAGTTAGGGCTGTGGGGCTGCTGAGCATGCAGCAGTGCTGCTGTGGTTTTGTGCAGCCCCGGGGCTGTGCAGGAGGTGAGAGATGAGAGGTGTTCATGCACCGAGAGCCCGTCTCCCCACCGCTGCGGCACCGGTCAGCCGCAGAGTACAGGGAAGGGAACGCGGCCACACGGCTCCCCCAGGTGTTACCGAGGCCACCCATGGCCACCACTCGTCCTCCCAGGCAGCCGGCCACGAAGTCAGCTCTCTTCTCCCTCATGCGGATGGCGCGGCTGGGCTTGCTCCAGGCACCTGCAGGGCAGAGGCCGTCAGCATCGCCCCCCAGACCCTGCGCTGCAGGCACCATCCGCGCCGCCGGGGCTCACCCTGCACCGGGTCAAACATCTCCACGGTGTTGACGAAGTGGGGGCGGGAGTAGAAGTTGTGGGGCCCCGGCTGCTGCAGCCCCCCGAGGCTGAAGAAGACGCCGTCGGCCGTGGCGCAGGCGGCGAAAGCGCGGCGGCTGGGCACACTGGGGTAGCGCGTCCAGCTCCTCGTCTCCAGGTCGAAGGCCTCGAAGGCGGTGACGGGCAGCTTGCCCTGCCGGCCCCCTGCGCACGGATGAGATTCTGGGGCTGTCGGCACCCCGAGGGGCAGCCGGCACCGCCAGCAAGGCCCAGCTGCAGTGCCGTGGTTCACTGTGCACGGAGAGAGCTTGGGGTGTGCCGGGGGCTGCAGGGGAAATCCCCCCCGTCCACTGGGGCAGCCCTGAGGGGTGCTCAGCTCGCCCACCTACCCAGCAGGAAGATCTTGTTGCCCTGCAGGAAGGCGGATGCCCCGTAGCAGGGGGTGGGCATGGAGGGCAGGGGCTGCCAGTGGTCCTTCGCCGGCTCGTAGACGCGGACCAGCGCCTGCGGAGAGGTGTCTGCTCCCATTCCCCCCAGCGCGTAGACGGCACCGTCTGTGAAACCAGCGGGGGTGAGGCAGGGAGGGCTCCCGGTCACCACTGCGGGGTGGCCGGGGACAGCGGGCACGGCGAGGCCTGATGCCAGCAGTGCCCTGACCCCGCTCGGACCCCTCGCCCGCCCCAGCCGCCCGGCGCAGAGCCCGGCACCAGGCCATCGGCTCTAATTATCCTCGGCAGCACCATCTCCCTGGAGACACCATGGCAACACAGCCATGCTGCCAAATCCCTCTCCCGCCACCGCCGGCACCCCTGCCCGCGCCCACCACGGCCCCGCTGGCCCCCTGCCCCGGGGCAATCCCATCACGTCCCCATCCCAGGAGCCAACACGCGCATCCTCTACGAGACCCTCATCCACGGGCTGCATCGAGGCTCAGAGGTGAAGTTTGGGCAGAGCCCGACGGCTGCGCACCCATCCCCATCGCCCACCTCTCTGCACAGCCGCGATGCCCATGGAAGGCTGTGCCAGCGCCGCCTTCTTCTCCCACTTGCCCTCATCCACGTGGTAGACCTCGACGGAGGCGAGGGGGCTCTGCAAGGCATCCACGCCGCCCACCGCCAGGATCTGCTTGCCCACGGCCAGGGCGGCGGCACCGGCCCGCGGCGTGGGCAGCGGCGGGAGCGTGGTCCAGCGCTGGGTGGAGAGGTCGAGCACCTCGGCGGCGCCCAGCGCGCGCCCGCTGCCCCCGCAGCCGCCCAGCACGAAGAGCTGCCCGTCGCGGTGTGCCGCGCTGCAGTAGACGCGCCGCGTGGGCATGGCGGGGAAGGAGAGCCACGCGAAAGCGCCCGCGCCCGCCGCCGCCATGGGACGGCTCAGCCGCCCGGGGGGTCCCCGGGCCCCGCCGTGCCACCCATCCGGCCCACGGTGCCGGCGGGGCTCGGCTTGGCGCTGGCCCGGCTCCCAGTGGGCTCCTGCGGGGGAGAGCGGAGGGGTCAGCACCGGGCACCGACAGCCCGGTGTCTCTGCCAGCCCCGGGAGCAGCACGGTGCCCTGCTGCGGGATCCCGGTGCCCGGCACGCACCCCACGGGGCTCCCGCACCCCGGGGACTCCCGGTGGCCAGCCCGTACCCGCCCACCCTCCCGCTCCCCAGGGCTCCCGGTTCACGGTCCCGTCCTCCCGGGGGCTCCCGGTGCACGGCCCCGGTCCCCTCGAGTCTCCTCTCCCTCTCCCCGGGTCTCCCAGCGCATCCCCTGCACCCCGGGGGCTCCCGGTGCACCCCCCGCACCCCGGGGTTCCCTGCGCGCACGGTTCGCGTCCCCCGGGGCTCCCGCACCCCGGGGCTCCCCCTCCCCGCCCCGGCCTCCTCCCGGGGCTCCCGGTGCGCACCCCCGGAGCCGTCCCGCCGCCGCAGCCCGGGAGCGGGGCAGGCACCGCGGCCGCGCTCACCTCGCCGCCCGTTCCGCCGCTCGCAGCTCCGCGCCGCCGCCCGCCCCGGGTCCGCCCGCTGCCGGTGGGGGCGGCGCCGCGCCCGCCCGCTCCCGTTCCCCCCCCCCTCGCTCCCGGTACCTGCCCCCGGGCCCCTCTCCCACCGTCCTGCCCGCCCCGGGGCCACCGGGCTCGCAGCGCCCTGCCCGGTCACCGTGCGCCAGGGAGGCACCGGAGGGAAGGGGCCGGAGCCCCCCTGCTCGCTGCCGCACCGGGGATCGCCCCCAGGGGATCCCCGGGGCTTGGCCCAAACTTGGGGGGCACAGAGGAGTGGCCAAGGATGGAGGGAAGCAGGGGGGGCTCCCCTGTGCTCTCACCGCCTGGAAATTCCTCCCCACTTTGCTGAGCTCCGTGAGCGAACGCGGAGGGAAAGGTGCATCCCCTGGCTGCACAGGAAGGGCACTCACAGCAGGAACAGGGGGAGATTTGCTTTAAAACCAGGTGGAAGTGGCAGGAGTGTCACTGCTAGGGAGAACACCGCGGTGCGAGCAGGTAACACCGCGCTTCCCCGGGGCACCGGCACCACACCAGCTGCCCCTGTAGGATACAGGAGTGGGAACGGAGACAAACAGCAGCGTGGCTGCGTGGGGGGCAGCACCACGGCCCTGCCCCACGAGCAGAGGGGCACAAAAAGCCCCAACCTTAGCCCGGGAGCAGGCACAGGGGCAGAGAGCTCCCACCCCGCTGTGAGGAAAGGACAGCAGTTTCCTCCAGGGTTGCCTTCACACAAGCTCCCAGGACACTTGTTTTTTGGGCACGGGGGTTCCTGGTAGGATGGAGTGGACACGGCACACGTCGGAGAGGAGAGGGGATGGCTCAAAACAACGCCCAGCCCGGGACTTTGTGTGCAGCAGGAAGGAAGGAGGGCACATCCCCATCCTGAGCCTCTCAGCCCTGGCCCCGCCAGCGCGGAGGTATCACTGTCCATCACTGTCCATCACTGTCCATCACTGTGCATCGCACTGCTGGCTCGGGGAGCTGCTCCCCAGGCGGGCCAGGTAGCGGTCATAGTTCTCCTCACACCTCCTCACGCAGCGGAGGAAATAGTCCTCGTCCGTGATGGCCTCCAGGAGGTCGGTCCGCACCAGGCAGACGTCGTACAGCTCCGAGGTCGGGGCGCACCGGGGGCTGCTGCTGCCTCGCTCCGAGAACACCTGCAGGGAGAGCAGAGCAAAAAAGCACCCGCAGCCTCCGCGGGCTGTGCCTGGCACGAGCACAGCACCCAGGAGCAGTGCACACATCCTGCTGGGGGGGATCCTGCCTCCCTCCTCGGCTTCCAGCTAACGGTGTCTCCTGCAAAGCGAGCTGGTGGCAGAGGGCAGGGGTCCTGGTTACACTCCAGAGGTAGAAGATGAAGTTTCTCCGGGTGTCCCCTCCCTCCCAGATGGCTCTTTTGGCTCGGAACCAGCTCGTCACGCCGCGTGGCTGGGACTCCCCCGAGGAAAAGGCTGCACCAGGCAAGTGGAAGAAAACTGCGCTGTGATGCGGCCAACCCCAGGAAAGCCTCTGCCAACAGCGCTGCCGTCGCTGCCACAGCCTGCTGCCAGAACGGGCTGCGTGCTGCCAAGATAATTCGATCCCACCTGGCTGGTTGGGTGCCAGAGGAGCCCTGAGGTTATCTTCCCTGCTGCCCCGAGCCCAGCAGCCCAATTGACCCGGCCGTGCTGGCTGCAGATGGTGAAAGGCAGCGCTCCCTGCTCAGGGAGGCAGCCTGAGGCTGAACCGCAGCGCGTGGAGCCGTGCGAGCTGCTCTGCCTGCTGCAGGCAGGGACCTCTCAGCAGAGCCTCCCGCATTAATTCACCTGAAGCAGCCCAGGCACAGGATAAAGCCTCCAACAGCGCTGCTCTGGGCAGTGACAGCTCCTGTCACCAGCCACAGACCCAGTAATTGAAGGTGTTGGTATGGAAATGAACATCCGACCAGCGCGCCATCCTCCTGCGTGCCCCAGCTGCCCTGCAGACCGCTTCCCAGCTGCTGCAGCTTCCTCCTGTGCTGCCTCCTCCCGGATGGAAACGGGCTGGGGTTCAGACTCAGCTCTCGTGCAGGCAGCCCAGCACCTTCCTGTCTGCCCAAACGTTCCCTCTGAAGCGTGCCCCACCACAAGCACTGCCCTTTAAACGCGGTGCCAGGACAGGCTGCGGCCGCGCAGCTCCAGCAGGGAGCGGGGCTGACTCACCCCACGCAGGAGCCTGGCAGCAGCTCGGCCACTTCCAGCCTCCCCACGGCAGCCCCAGGCTCCTGGGGGGCAGAAACACCAGGGGGGAGCCTCGGTCCCACTCTGTGCTCACATAAAGGGACCAAAACGTCTCTGCCCGAAGCAGGGACGCGTTCAGCCGCCTACCAGGGGACGGACGATGGTGTCCGTGTCGTCCAGGCAGATGTTGTCGTCGATGAAGATGTGGTGAACGCTGGGATCATGGGGGTCGATCCACAGGGGCTTCCCGCCCCGCGAGGAGAACTGATTCCTGGCCCACCTGGAACAGCAAGAGGGGCAGCGAGCCGTCAGGGAGGCAGGGGAAGGCAGGAGGGTGGGCACTGAGAGCATCAGGGAAATGGGGCGAGAGGCAGAGACGGTTCTGACCCTCTGCCCACTGCTGCCTCCTAGGAAAAAGGAAGCATTTGGCAGCCAGGGGATGAATGTGAGGGTGTTCAGAGAAAAGCAAGAGGTACACCAGGGGATGGAGACCTGAGGAGAGGTGCAAGAGCACCACCAGTCTGCCTGCGGGCAAAAATGGGGAGTGTGGAAGTCATCGGGGACACAGCAACTTAACGACCTCAGGACTAGGAGCTAGCTCAGGCCGGGACAATCACAGAGGAGGGGAAAATGCCCGACCCACTCCCTTACCACCCTGCATCTCACCAGTCATAGTGGTCCTGGAAGCCTCCGACTCCCTCCAAAGAGCTGAAGTAGTCGTAGAGCTTCCTCCCATCCTCGCGGGTGGCGAGCCGCTCCGCTCCCCTCCTCAGCACCACCTCTCGCTTGCTGCAGCGTATCTGGCCGGGAGTGAGGTCCACGGAGAGCTGCGGGGAGAGGGGAGAGGTTTCCAAAGCAAACAGACCGTTACCGAGCTGTCACAGATAACGAGCAGCAGGGTGGAGACACCCGATGGCAGCGAGGAGAGAAGATGAGCCTGGAGAGCTTCCTCCCCCCGGGGAAGGGATGCGAGCGACCATCTCCGTGCTCCCTCCCCTCGCTTCCATCGCTGCTCGCTCTCAGCTTGCTGAGGGACAACCAGGGGGCTTCACCAGACCCCCTTCCAGTCCCACCAGACCCCTCCCAGTCCCACTCACCGCCAGGTCCCTCAGGGCAGGGAACTGCGGGTGCTGCCCATCCAGGGCGCAGCGCAGCGCCCGCAGCGCGCGGGGCAGGTCGGTGCCGAAGGTCCTGAAGACGACGGCGAAGGCCCGGCCGTCGCGGTGCAGCGCGTCCAGCAGGCGGTAGAAGGAGGGCAGCAGGAGGTGGTAGCACTCACCCTGCCCGTCCCGCAGCGACAGCTCCTCGTGGGGCTCCCCCGGCCAGGCCAGCAGCCGCAGGTACCGCGCGTGGAGGTCTCCGAAGCGCTGCCCCGCGCCCCCCTCGGTGAAGGCCGGGTCGCGGCCGTAGCGGCAGTAGTAGCTGACGGCGTCGGGGCAGGGGGCTCGCAGCGAGGGGCGGTCGCTCACCCACTGCCACTCACCTGCGGGGGACAAAGGGGACAAGGGCTGCTGCCCCTCACAGGACTGATCCCAAGGGCCCTGGTTCCCCGGTCTCCCAGTCCTCCTGCCCCCCAGTTCCCGGTTCTGCAGACCCCAGTCTCCCCAGTTCCCCCAGTCCCTCAGCCTCATGGTACCCCGATTCCCCATCCCCCAGACCCCCCAGTTCCCCACCCCTTCAGTACTTTGATTCCCCAGCCCACCGGTTCCCCGACACCCCAGTCCCCCAGCTTCCCAGTACCCCCAGTACCCCAGTCTGCCCAGTGTCCCAGTCCCCAATCCCCCAGTCTCTCCAGTTCCCCCAGTCCCTCAGCATCCCGGTACCCTGATTCCCCATCCCCCAGTCTCCCCAGTTCCCCACCCCCCCGGTTCCCCAGCTCCCCAGCATCCCAGTACCCCCGGCCTCCCAGATCCCCCAGTCTGCCCAGTCCTCCTACCCCCCAGTTCCCCAGTCCCTGATCCCCCAGACCCCAGTTCCCCCAATTCCCCCAGTCCCTCAGCCTCACGGTACCCCAATCCCCCAGCCCCCCGGTTCCTTGGCTTCCCGGTACCCCCAGTCTCCCCAGTTCCCCCAGTCCCTCAGCCTCCCCGTACCCCAATCCCCCAGCCCCCAGCCTCCCGGTTCCCCTGGCCCCCGGGTCTCCCGGTTCCGCCCCCCCCCCCCCGGTGTCCCGGTGTCCCGGTGTCCCGGCGCTGACCGCCCTCCCCGTCGCGCCCCCAGGTGGCGGTGCAGAGGAAGCCGTTGAGCGCCTCCCGCGGGCCGCGCCCGGTGACGGTGTCTGCGGGCAGCACGGTGTTGTTGATGTCCAGGTGCAGCACCAGGCGCCGCCGCTCCGCCCGCCCGCTCATCGCCCCCGCTACCGGCACCGGCACCGGCACCGGAACCGGAACCGGCGCCGCGGCCCCGCTTCCGGCACCGGACGGGGACGAAGGGGGCGTTGCCATGGCAACCGGGCACGCGCCGCGCGGTGGGCGTGGCCTCGGTGGTGGGCGTGGCCAATCACCGCACCGGACCGCGGAGGGGGCGTGGCCTCGCCCCGCGGCGGGAGGGGCGTGGCTTCTCGAGGAGGCGGAAGCGGAAGTGGGCGGTGCTTCCGGCGCTCCGCGGGCGGCCATGTTGGAGCGGCGGCGGCGGCGGCGGGGGCGCAGCGGCGGCGGGCGCGGCCGTGTCGGCGGGCGGTAGGTTGGGGCCGGGCCCCGCGCTCCCCGGCCGGGGGCGCTGCCGAGCTCCTCCCGGCCGCTGTCGAGGCGGAGCCGCGGCTGTGCGGGCCCCGCCCCGCCGCGTTCCCCGCCCCTCCCTCCGGGGCCCGGTAGGGGCCGAGCTGAGGGGGCCGGGGCGCCCCCCCACCATCCCCGCCGGGCCCTGCAGGCGCCGCCCGTCCCCGGGAGCCCCCCTCGGGCGGCCCCGCCGAGCTCCCGGGGCGCCTCCCTGCCCTGCCCGCTGCCTGCTGCCGGTACCGGGGGCTGAGCGGCGGCTGCGCCCCTGTGGCGGCTGGGAGAGGTCCCCGGTGGGGCGTTAGGCGGGCAGGCGTGCCGCCCCGCGGGCCGTGTGACGCGGCGTTTGCTTCTTTCTTGGCTCCGCACAGAGCGGGGCTGCAGGGCCGGGGGGTGCCGTGTGGCAGTGACCGCCCGGCTGACCCCACGCCTCGTCCCTGGGCTCGCACAGCCCGGAGCTCCCGGCAGCAGACCCCGAGTTTGTGCTGTCAGTGGGGCTGCTCTGCCGGCTTCTCTCCCTCTGCCGGGCTGGGGTTAAACGCTGTGTCCTCGTCGGCCCCGCCGTGCCTGCTGCCCCCGCTCGCTGTGGAGCTGGCAGCCCTCGCCAGCTGCTGACAGCAGCCCAGCTCTGCCCGAGCGCCTCTCCCCTGCTGCGGGAGTTACCCTGAGTGTTGCAAAGCAGCCGCGTTATCCTCCCCCAAATCCCTCTCCTGCTGTGACGTCCGCAGAACACTTGACTGAGATTAGGCTGTCATGCGGAGGCTCTTACCCCCCCGCTGACCTGTGCTTCCCCTCCTGCCTCTCCCTTTGGCTGCTGCCGAGCTGTGGGCTAGTGCAGCTTCCCTCTCAGTGCAGCCCACAGAAACACGGGGCTCTGCTCCCTGATGGGCACTCCCCAGCTGCTGCTCTGGCAGGAACATGGGGTGCCAGCAGTTCCTCACCCTGCTCAGGTGCTCGTTGTTCCACCACAGCTTTCTCCCCTGCACACTGCCCTCTCCACCCGTGCCTCCCACACCATCAGCGTGCCACTGGCAGGGATTGCTCACTGCCCCCTCCGTGCTCTTTGGGAGGTACCCCTGAAGGTAAAGGTGTGTAACCTCAGCCACAGCACCACACAGCCCTGCTCTTTGCTGCCCTGCCTTCTGCGAGCACTTGGTGCTTTGCCCCAGCTGCTTCGTGCCACGGAGCCCGATCCGAGCGCTGTCCCTCGGGCCATCGTGCAGGCGGCCCTGGCGATGTCTGTTTCCTCCGTGCCTGCCCCGCTTGAACTTCCTCCCTCCTACTCTCCTGGCAGCAGCTTGCTGTGACAGCGAGCTGTGAGCCGTTGCTCAGGCACAGGAGCATCAACGAAGCACGGCTTAAATAGCTCCAGCTCTGCTCTCGGCTCTTCGGGAGGCTGCTGCACGTTTGGCAGGGACTCGCCATCAATTTCTGAGCAGAATCAGAGAGCTGGGAGGTTGAATCTGACACTGATAGCGCTGAGGTGCCCACACTTCCAGTTCATCAGAGGGAGTGTAGCTGTGGCTCGGTTGTGGTGTTCTCAGTACGTGCGTGGGGAAAGGATTTAGGGAAGGGCAGGATGAGAGCCGTGCGCTGCAGGCCAGGAGCGTCCCTCCCAGATGGAAACGGGCTGCGGATCTCCCTGAGCTACCCACCAGAACCCCGCACCTTGGGTTGGCGAGGTGGGACTGCCTGAAATCTTGGCTTGGGATTGAGGATATTTCTGCGAGGGAAGTTTTAAGTTTTACTGCAGAGAGAAATGCCTGGCAGGGCTTTCTTGCTGCCAGCACGAGTTAAGCACAGCCTCCAGCCTGATGGTTGTGAGTAGCCAAAGCCTGGGCGTGATGCTTTCGGGTCCCTGCTTAAAAATGTGCGATGCTTTCAGTTGCTGTCAGCTAACTGTCTTCTCTCTCCTTTTGAGGTGTCGAGGGTTATTTTTCCAGTAATTTGGACCTTTTTGAAGCGCCCGATTGCCTAATGCCATGAATATTGCAGTGAACAATGCGGAAGAAAAAGCTGTCCATTCCTGGTCGCGAATTTCCTCCGCGGGACACAAAGTGCTGGAGGAGGCCCTGCGAGTCTTCAACCCCATGTCCAAGGACCTCTCCGACACCGAGACCCAGCTGGTGGCCTTCATCCAGGGCCTCAAGGAGGAGGGCTACCAGCCCACCATCCTGAGGAGCAAGGATGTGTACGGCTACAGCTCGTGCACCGCCGACACCCCCAGCCACACGAAGCAGAGCACACCACGCGGCTGCGCCGCCGAGCCCCCGAGGACTCCAGCCAGAAGCGCCGTGGCCAAGGCGCCCGCGTCGCCCACCCGCCTCCCCCTCAGCCCTCCCAAAGTCTCCGCCCCGCCGGTCTCTAAAGGGAACTCCACCAACCTGCTGCTGAGCTCCTTGAAGCAGACGAGATCCGGCACGGCCAAAGCCTCGGCTGTGGGTTTTCCTGCCAGCATGTACCCCGACGTGTACCCAGCGGTGAGGCTCTCCGTGGTGCTGGAGGCTCTGGTGCCGCTGAAAACCCCCGCCTCGCGCCTGGAATCCAAGCTGACGCGAGGGCCTCTTGGGATCTCGCCCTCAGACCTTAAACTCCTCCAGGCCTCCGGCCCGCCGAGGCAGTTCCCTTCAGGCAAGGCGGCTAAAATACCGAAAGGTAAGAGGTACAAGCGTTTGGTAAAGAAAGCCCCCGCTTCTGCCACCCTCACTTTCAATCTTCTGAAGGGACCAAAGGGTGGAGTGCTGCAGGAGAGCAACGCCTGCAAAGCCTCGGGGGTCCTGAACGGGAGGATCACGGGCAGCTCGTCCCAGGGCTGTGCAGCGGCGCCGCCATCCAAGGCCTTGAAAATCAAAGCTAAGGAAGCCCTGGTGCGGAAAACGGAGTGGAAGGATGGCAGCACTTACCAGGAGACTGTCGGGCAGAAGAGGAAACGAGCCGCAGAGGCGAGGGAAGCACCGCAGAGGAAGAGGTCGAATGCCATTCCTGTCCAAAGTAAGTCTCGACGGGCTCAGAGCACTTTGAACCTGCTGAAATTCCGGGCCATCAAGGTGGGCAACTCTTCTTCCGACGACGAAGTGAGGAGGAGAGCACAGAAGATTCTTCGAGTCAACCTGTCCCCCGTGATCCGAATTCAGCCCCTGTCCCACTCTCACAGCGTCCCCTGATTCGCTTCACTTGGTCACTTTTTTTGTAAGTAATTAAACACGAGCCTGACACTGGAGCGGGGCGAAGGCTGGGAGCGACTTTGGGTCTCTGGTGTCTGGTGAGGATACGCCGACTAACCTGCGGACAGAGCAGCCTGCTCGTGCTGCTCCTGCCCGTCCTGCCGCGCAGAACTGACTGCACCAGCACAAAACCACGTTTAGGCACGCGGGACGCTGCCCCTGCCCTGCGGTGAGCCGAGCAGCTCGCTTTTTTTTTTCCCCTCTGGGCTCTCCTCAGAACGTGGCAGGCTGTGCTCTCGTGCAGGGGCAGAACACGTGACTTTCTCATGACATGGATGCACTGTGATAACGCTCTTTTTTCAAGCTGTACATTTACTGGTTTTATTTTGATCAAATTTTATAACTTTATGATCTATATAGCTATACACCCGTACGTGTGCAGGCAGCCCGGGAGCTGTGGGACGATGCGCTTCCTCCCTCCCTGCGGGGTCGGGTCCGAGAGCTTTTGTTCCCCTTTCCCGTCAGCCAGTCTTTTGTTGAAGGTGCCAGGGTTTCGTTGTGAGTCAGTGTGGTGACAGCCTGCTCTGGGCGCGCTCGGACGGCTCGGCAGCAGGCGGGATCACAGCCACTTGTTTGTCTCTGACAATGCCAAGCAACGTGCAGAATTACCAGCTGATAAGTGAGTGTAGTTTTAATCATACTTTCGGTATTACCTCTGCATTAAAAGGTGGGGGAGCGTTCCTGGGCTGCTGCCTGCAGGTCTGCAGGGCGCTTCCAGCTGCCTCCTCCGTCCGCCGGTAGCAGAAGCTCTGGAATCACCTCGGGGATCTCCCTCCAAAGAGCGATTCGGCCGCAGAACCTGGTGTTGTTCCGCCCTCCGGTGCCCCCGCTGCGAACGTAGGACGTGAACTGTGCCTGTGGCAGCCTCAGGGCCGGGGCTGTTGAGCAGAGCTGCCCAAAAAGCCCTGTCTGTGTTGTAACTGCTTGGACGCGCCGGGAGCAGGTTCCAGGGGCTGGGAGAGGAGACACCCGCAGTGTTTGAATGTATGGGACGCGTCCCACCGCTATCCCAGGGGGATGTTTGGGCCCGAATCAGAGCAGAGGCGTTGAGAGGAACACTTCAGTTACCAGCACTTAGGCGTGGAGAGTTTCTTTGTGTCGGGTGGTGTGGACGAAGCAGGAGCAGGGAGAATGGGGATGGAGAGCGGCTCTGCTGCCCCCTGGGTGCTGCGGGGAGGCGTGAGGCAGCTGGGACAGCTCGGCGAAGGCTCTGCCCGTCCCCAGGAGGCACCCCAAACTGCTGCTGAGGGGTTTTGCCTGCGCTGAGAGGCAAAAAACACGGACCGCACACTGGAGGAGGTCGGGTGTGCAAGCTCGGGTGGAGCTGGGGCGCCCCGTGGGGACCTGCACAGCCCCTGCGGAGCCCAGCAGCTCGGGGAGGGGGCCTGGCCCCGCACCCCGTGGTGTTCAGGGCTCCGCAGCAGCAGGGCAGTAATCCACTCGTTCCCTCACCAGCTCAAAGCGCCAGGTGTCTGACCCAGTAATCTCTGCACGTCAGCCGAAGGGATGAGCTCTGGGAAGCCGCAGCTCCGTGCATGTCAGCTCCTCTCCAGCACCTGTCCGGATTTCAGCATTTAACAGAAGTGGCCAGTGCCTGATCCCCAGCTCGGAGAGCGAGCCTGAGGCAGGGAGAGGAGAGAGGAGGGAGCGAGAGGGCGGAGGAGCTGGTGTCCCGGGGCACAGTGCTGGTGGAGGCTCGCTGCGGGAGGCGATGGCAGGCTCTGAATCAGGCGCTCGGCTCTGGGCTGCTGTCAGGGATCGTAACTCGCAGTGCTCGAGGCTGACCTGTGAATGCCGCTGGCTGGCTGCGGCACAGGAGGGAATATTTTCTCCTGCTCCCGTGTCTTGAAATGCCTTGGCAGAGAGTTCCCTTTCCTGACATGGTGCTGGATGAGCACGGACCCTCCGGCGCTGTTCACCGGCCAAAAATCGCTTTGTCCCTTTTGTTCCCATCCCTTCGGGCCTTTCTCATTCCCACGCTCCCACATGCCAGCTCCTGAAGGCTCATGCTGGAGCTTCTCTTTCTGGCGGTGCCCTGAGGAGGGCCCTGCAGTCCCACTGCTCTGCTGGCTCCCCGCTCCCAGCCCCATAGGAGGGCACCCGGAGCTGTCCCGGGGCCTCTCCGTGCACCACCAGACATCCCCATGGGGCACCTGGCCTCCTCTGGGACAAGCATCTGCTCACCAGCAGGGCTGAACACAGCCCGAGCGGGAAGCCTGAACCTGAAGCCAATGTGTCTGGGTCCATCCCTCGCCTCCCTCCTGTTCCTTGCCCCTGCTGCACCACTCCCTGCCTCCTCGCCTCTGCAGGGAGAGGCGAGTGGTCAAAGTGTCTAGGGCTGTGCTGGGGGGCTGGCAGCGGTCAGCGCGGTCTCTGTTGGTGTTTCTGCACATCAGCAACGCAGAGCACCGGGCCCTGAGCTCACAAGGCAGCACCGGCCTCACAGATATCCCCAGAGGTCCCTTCCACCCGTAATTACTGTGACAACACTGGGATCATTTGCCTGGCGGGGCCCTGCAGCAGCGGTAGCGGCGTGGCGCGAGGAAATGCGTTGCCTGGAGTGTCCTGGTGTGTGCCGAGCGCGGGTTGTTCAGACCTGCTGCCGCGTTACTCACTTTGCATTCATCCAGGTGCCTCACCTGCGCTGCTCCGGGCACCGTGACAGCCGAGAGCTGGGCAGGCAGCACAGCGCTCCTGCCACCTGCCTTCCTACCACTGTCACTGCCAGCAGCCAGCCAGGCAGAGGTCAAAGAGCTGCTCTTCAGGCTGCGTTCGTGGGAGTCGTTCCTTCTTTTGTTCAGCTGCCAAGAAGCGAGTTTCTGCTTCGCCTCCAGCAGACCAGGCCCGTCAGCTTCCTGCGTGCCCCAGATGTCCGCCGGCGAGGTCCGCGGGGAAGAGCAGCTTGTCCAGCGGGGAGCTGACATCAGACACCGGGCTGAGATCCCGCTGCTCGCTGGTGGACATGTTCTGAAGCTCGTGTGCACTGTGATCACATTTCACCCCCTGCCTCTGCTTTCAGCTGGAGATGTTTCTCCTCGGCCTCCTCCCTGCGAGCCGCGCAGCGCGGCGCTGCTGCTTCCAAGCCGTTTGCGTTCCCCCTGAGAGCCAGCTGCAGTAGCGACCCTGTACAGAAATTCTTAAGCACTTTTCCGCAAAATAGGGGGTTATTTTGTTACTCCTCTTTTGTAGCCTGCCGCTCACCCGGGTTTTCCTCGCGCAGAGTCCAGCGAAGGGCACCGCAGGGGTGTCAGGGGCAGAATCGCTCTGGGGCCCAGCCGGGTTGGCCCCGTTCGTGCTGTGGGGCACGGGCTGCCGGGCAGTTCGGTGTGTCTGCAGGGAAGCAACAGCTTCTCTTCTCTTCGTGTCTGGCTCCTGAGCTCTGTCCCTGCCCATCCTGCAGCAGTGTGCCAGCGTGGGAGCTGCGGGCCCCGGAGAGCCTGGGGCTGCCCCTGTGCAGCCTCTGCTGTCCTCGCCCCCAGCGCCCAGGAGCTGGCCCCGCTCTCCGGGCTGCTGCCCTCTGGAAGCCCTGGCAGGGAGGGCAGTGCTTCCCTGCGGGAGCATCCGAAATGACTTCCCCTGCAGGGCTGATTAGGCCTCGCCCCTGGGGAGTCCCTTAAAGGCCTTATTATCCTCCGGGACTCTCCTTGTTGTCTTAATTAGCCCTTTTGGTTCCTGTCGCCCACAGGCAGCCCCTGTGAGAGTCTGGTGATTCCCACAGCCCCGGCCAGGCACTCGAGGCTGCTACAAAAGAGCGGGTGCTGCAGAGCTACCCCCGAAATACCTCCCCTCCTCCCCGGGCACGGCCTGCAGAGGCCGGGATGTGGGGCTCCGGGTCAGCACGAGCTCCTCTCCACCAGCCACCTCCCCGCCACCCCGCTCTGCTCCAGCCGGGACCGGTGCCGCCAGCACCGGGGAGCCCCGGGTGACACGGGGCAGCAGCCACCGGCCGTGCCCAGGCTGCTGCTGCCAGCTCCACACTTTTGTATGGTGAACCCGCAAGGACTGACCATCCTGTTCCCGAGTGAACTTTTTACTGTTTCATTTGTTTGTGTAGAATGTTTCCGAAGGTATATTTAATGTTCGATATGAGGCCGGGCCGCTCCGCTCTCGGTGTTGTATATTTTGGAATGGCATTGTTGAGCGAGAAGACAGCGTTGGTGTTATTCCACTCTTAGGAGGGAACGGGACAAAAAGCAGCCTGTCTTTTCTCTTAAATGAAGTGAACTTTTTGTTATGAAGTCCTCGTAGGTGTCCAGCCCTTCAGTAAAATGGTGCTCAGAACCGCCCAGCGTGTCCGGCTTTTCTTTGCTGCTGCTCCCAGCCCCGTGGGGACGCTGCGGGGTGGCCTCCCCACTGTGCCCCTGCTCTCCCTTCCCACCAACTACCCCTCTGTGAGGCCTGGGGTCACCCAGACTCCCCAGAGGAATGCCTGGATCTGGATGAGAGATGCTCCAGAGCAGCACCACCGCTATCAACGGGCAGCAGCCCCCATTCCAGGTTGGTTCCCAGCTCCCCGCCAGCCGCTGCCCACCCTGCAGCCTCCCCCTGATCCCTTCTGGCTGGTTGAACACAGCGCCGTTGTTCTCCGCCGGGCGAGCCGGCTCCGGTGTGTGCCGCTGTGCCGGCAGAGCGCTGACCCGGCGCTAACGGCGGCAGCACCCAGCCGAGCAGCGGCTCCTCCCCGTGCCACCGGCAGCAGCTGGGAGCTGGGAGCTGCCGCGGTGGCGCCCGGGTGAGTCAGCCCCGGCGGCACGCGGGGAGCCGGGGCGAAGTCCTCGGGCAGGGAGCTGGTTAAAGTGCTCGGCTCCCGAGGATGTGCAGGAAGCGCCGGCCTCCTGCTGAGCGCACTGAAGTGCTTCCAACGCTCAGCCCAGCGCTGCCTCCTCCCCTGCGTTCCCCCGAGCCCTACAGCTCGCTGCTGGTGCTCCCACCGCTGTCCCAGTGCTGCTGGAGCCGGGGCCGCAGGCTCGAGGCGGCAGCTTCAAAGCGCTGGTGACGGAGGCGCTGGCAGAGCTCCCTGCCCCGCAGCCGAGCTCGCTGCCCCCGGCCGTGGCATCCGCAGGCGAGGCGCTGCCAGCTGTTGGCCGTGGGGCAGCTGAGGGCATCGCGGCTCTGGTGGGACGTCAGGGCAGCCCTCAGAGGGGACTGGGGATCCCTCCCTCGTGCTCACACCTCGCGTTTCAGGGCCAGAGATCCTGTTACAGTCACCTTTATCAGGTCACTTGTGATCTCCTCCACGCAAATCAGGTTTGCTTGGCAAGATCCTGCCGATACAGACATGCTGGCCCGTGCTAATGGCTCTTTATCAGCTCATCTCCTTCCAGCTCTCTCCTTACTACAGTAGCCAAGGACAGTGGCCGGTCACCACCCTGTGCCGACAGAGCCCAGCTGAGCAGGGCCCTTCCCTTCCTCCGGGCTTCCCGGCTGTGGGGCCGCGCATCCATCCTGCCCCAAACCTGCAGGGAACCACAGCGCTGAGCACGAGGCCCACGGGGACCCGGCAGGGCCCTGCCCGCAGCATCCCTCACCCTGACAAGGTGTTGGGGATGAGCTGAGGCCACATCGGGGCACCCACCGAGCCCTGCTGGGCCCTGGGGGCTGCTTTCTCTTCCCGTGTGCCTTCCTGCTGCATCTTCCTGACACCGTGAGTGCGGCCAGAGCACAGCCTTGGTGCACGGAGCGCGTGGGTCCCCTTCCTTCCTCCAGCCTTGGCTAATAAAAGGCGCCGTCCCCGCGTGACAGCGAGGTCTCTGCCGAGCCCGGCCGCTCCCCAGGACCTCGGGATCTGGCGCTCGGTGAGCGGGGCTGGGCTGGCTCACGGTGCCAGCACGGGGGGAGCAGGCTGGCTGCCCTGCCGCCCCGGGGCTCCGCGTGCCGGAGACGTGTCTGCATAGGCACGGGCGGGCCCGCACGGTGAGTCCTGGCTGTGCCACGCGTTGGTGGTGCCGCACCGCCGGGCACGGCAGCCCTTGGGGACATCGCGCCAGCTCCCGGCCAGCCCACGGGGCACCCTCACGTCATGCGTGGGCCACCTGGCCTCTGCCTCACCTTGGCTAAACCTCGGCGCAGGCAGGTCCCTCCCCTCGCCTGGCACGGCTCACGGAGGAGGAGACAGGCGCCTGCCGCCCTCCTCCAGGAACAAGCAGCCGAGCCCAGCCCCGAGCCCAGCGGGTGCCGTGGGGGCCCCGCTCCGCAGCCCACCCGGGGCACGGCCACCTGCCCGCCGTGCCCGCCCCGTGCGCACAGGTAGGAGCCGACGCAGAGCCCCGGGGCATGGAACCCCTCACCCTGGGAGTGGGCACACAAGGAAGGGGCTGTGGGGATCCTGTGGAAAGGGGCTGGGTCCTCCCACACCCACTGGGTGCGTCCTGGGGTGGGCACGAGCCGGGCTTCACCCAACGGGACATGTCCGTGGGGAGGGTGGGCACCCCCTGGGCATGCGGGTACCCGGCACACCCTCGATGCAGAGCCGTGCCGCTGCCCGTGCCGTGGGGCATTCCCAGCTGAGGAAGGAAGTGGGTCCATGGCCTGGCCCCACAAACAGCCACACCAGACGGTTCCCAGAGCATCGGGCGCCCGTCCCGCCGTGCCGCCCCGGTGCAAGCCGTGGCAGGCGCATTCCCGCCGTGCTGAGCCGGGAGCCCCGGGGAACGCGGTGCTGCCGGCCCACGAGGCACCTTTTGTTCCCCACCGGGGCCGGGGCGTGCCCGGGCTGCCGACGCCTGGCCGGGCTTGGCCCCCACATCCCCGCTGGCGGGCGGGCGGCGAGGGCCTCCAGGCAGAAGGAATCGGCAGTGACATTCCCGTAGCCTGGAGACCGCCGTCCCTTTCAGCGGGCAGCGCATTTGAATAAGAATCGTGCGCGGGGCGGGGGGCCCGGAGAGCCGCCCGCTGCTTTCCCATCGCCTCTCTCGCCCGGGTTCATTTCTGCACACCCAGCCCGTGGGCAGCGGGCCCTCGCCTCCGGCCCCGCACGCTGCAGCAGGACCCAGGTACCGCCGGCCCGGGGGGCTCACGGGGCTCGGGGACCCCTCGCGGGCACGTGGCCCCGTGCGGCATCTCCCGCCGTGTTGGCGCAGCTTCGAGCGTGGCTGGCGCCAGGGCAGAGCGTGGGCGTCCGGCTGGGCTCGGGCCCTGGCGTCCCCCGGGCCCCCTGCCCCGGGCTGGCTCCTGCGCGGGGACAGGAAAGCTGTGTTTAGGCAGCGCCGGGGCCAGGCTTTGATCCAGCACTTGCGAGGTTGGAAACAGGCGGTAACGGGAGAGAAGAAAGCACAAAAGGCAACTCGAGCCTAAATTTAACAGCGGGACCCCGGCCAGCTGCAGGGATGTCCTTGCCCAGCCTGCTCTGGCGCTGCTGGCTCCTGTCCCCAGGTGTCCCTGAGACCCTCTGGGGACAGCGGTGCTGGAGCGGGACACAGTGACGGGGACGGGCGCTGCCGGGGGCTGTGGGAAGGGGCACGGCACTGCCCGTGTGGGGTCTGACTCGGGGGGGCTGCACCGCGGAGCCCCGTGGGTGCAGCCAGGGGTGGGGGTGGGTGCTGCCGACCCCCTGCTCCCCGCGGTGTGTGGCTGTGCCAGAGCTGGGAGAGGCCTCGGCAGCTGTGCCCGCGCTGTAGCATCATTTTTGTGCCCCCAGGCAGAGCCCGCGGCTGCCCATGGATGTCCTGGCACTCACTCTGCTCCTGGGTAAGCACCGGCCCCGCTGTGCCCCACGTGTGGCTGCACACCCACGGCTGGGGTGGTCCTGGGACCCCTCCGGGGCAGCGGCCACGGGCAGTAGTGGCCGTGTTGATGCTCCCCGAGTCACTGAGAGCCTGGGCGCTGCAAATCCCAGCCAGGAATCCCAGAGGAATCTGGGCTGCGCTGAGCCCTGCGGGATTAGCGAGCGCCTGACCTGGCTCCCGGCTCCCCCCTGCAGCACTCTGCATGCCGGGGGCCCCACGCGAGCACCCGCAGCACACCCGCACCCTGCCCCCGGCCCCAGTGCCCCGCTCACCCACGCTGCCCCCCCCGGCCCCGCTCCCTGCCCCCCGGTCACGAGGCCCCGGCGGCGCTGCCAGCACCTTTCCGGGTCACGGAGCTTGGTGCTGCATCAGTGGGTCGGGACAGGGGACGGGGTGGGACGGCGTGCCTGGGGGTGGGGTGGGCGCAGCGCGTGCACAGGGGGTGTGGGGTCCTGGTGCAGCCCCCCAGCCCGTTCCCCTGCCCCTTTTTCAGTGGGGGTACCAACAGTGGGGGGCTGGGAAGAGCCTGACCCGTCCCAGGGCTGCGCCCGAGGCAGCTGCTACCCGGCCACCGGCAACCTGCTGGTGGGGCGAGCCCAGCGGCTGAGCGCCTCGTCCACCTGCGGGCTGCACGGCCCCCAGGAGTACTGCATCGTCAGCCACCTCCAGGTGAGCCCGCAGCCCGCGGCGTGGCACGGCACGGCACGGCACAGCACGGCACTGTGAGCCGGTGCAGCCCCCGGCCGCCCACCCCAGGGTGACGCTCCCGGCACAGGACTCAGAGAAATGCTTCACCTGCGACTCGCGGGACCCGTCCCTGCGCGAGAGCCACCGCATCGAGAACGTCATCTACCTGCATGGCCCCCACGGCGAGCGCAGCTGGTGGCAGTCGGAGAACGGTGAGGCCGGGGAGGGGGTGTCCCCGCGGGGGGGGTGCCTGCCCCAGCCTGGCCGTGACCGTCCCTCCCCGCAGGCGTGGAGCACGTCAGCATCCGCCTGGACCTGGAGGGCGAGTTCCACTTCACCCACCTCATCATGAAGTTCAAGGTAACGGGGACGCGGCGCGGCACGGTGCCAGGTGGCCGCGTGGTGCCCGTGGGCGCCCGTCCCAGCTCGGTGCCCCGCAGACCTTCCGCCCCGCTGCCATGCTGGTGGAGCGCTCGGCCGATTTCGGGCGCAGCTGGAAGGTGTACCGCTACTTCGCCTACAACTGCTCCAAGCTCTTCCCCGGCATCCCCAGCCAGCCCTCGGGGCACATCGACGAGGTGCTGTGTGACCAGCGCTACTCCGAGATCGAGCCCTCCAGCCACGGGGAGGTGCGTGGGGGATCCGCGGCGGCGCGGCGTGAGCGGGGCAGGGTCGGTGCTGACCCTCTTCATCCCACCCCCAGGTGATCTTCAAGGTGCTGGACCCCTCCATCCCGGTGGCAGATCCCTACAGCCCCGACATCCAGGGTGCGTGGCGGAGGGGCGGGATGGGGGCCCTGGGAGGGGCACGGTGGGCGCTGAGCCTGCTGCCTGCCCTGCGCAGACCTGCTGCGCGTCACCAACCTGCGGGTGAACCTCACCAAGCTGCACACGCTGGGGGACAACCTGCTGGACTCGCGGCAGGAGGTGCTGCACAAGTACTACTACGCCGTGGACGAGCTGGTGCTGCGCGGGAGCTGCTTCTGCCACGGCCACGCCGCCGAGTGTGCCCCTGCACCCGGCGCCCCGCCGTCCGTCCCCGGCATGGTGAGGCTGGCACGGCACAGCTTGACACGGTGCCCCGCGGGGCCTGGCGGATGGGCTGAGCCGGGTGTCCCCCCCCCCAGATCCACGGGCGCTGCGTCTGCAAGCACCACACGCAGGGCCCCAACTGCGAGCGCTGCGAGGACTTCTACCACGACCTGCCCTGGCGCCCGGCCGAGGGCTCCAGCACCAACGCCTGCCGCCGTGAGTGCCCCGCACCGACACCGGCACCATGGCACAGCCACCCTGTGCCTGTGGGTTGGGAATGGGGTCCTGTGTGCTGTCCTGGGGGATTTGGGGGCGCTGCACATCTGCTTGGGGGTTTTGGCACCCCGCATGTGTTGGCTCAGGGTTGGGGGCTGGGGGTGCCGCGTGCCATGCCACCGTGTCGTCCCCGCAGGGTGCGACTGCAACGAGCACTCGCGGCGCTGCCACTTCGACATGGCCGTGTTCCTGGCCACGGGGAACACCAGCGGGGCCGTGTGCGACGGCTGCCAGCACAACACCATGGGCCGCCGCTGCCACCTCTGCAAGCCCTTCTACTACCGGCACCCACGCTCTGACATCCGCGCGCCCACCGCCTGCGCCCGTGAGTGCCCCCGGCCCCGCCACCCCCCGTCCCCACGCCCCCCAGTGCCGCCAGCCCCAGCTCCCGTGGTGTCCCCGCAGCGTGTGACTGTGACCCCGCGGGCTCGCTGGACGGGGGCGCCTGCGACGCGCACACGGACGTGGCGCTGGGCATGATCGCGGGGCAGTGCCGCTGCAAGGAGAACGTGGCCGGGCCCCGCTGCGACCGGTGCCGGCACGGAGCCTACGGCCTCAGCCAGGGAGACCCACAGGGCTGCCAGCGTGAGCTGGGAATGGGGGTGGGCAAGGGGGCTGGAGGGAGGGGATCAGGGTGGAGGGGTTGGGATTGGGATGGAGGGGTTGGGGTGAAGGGGTGGGGATGGAGGGATGGGGATGGAGAGGTGGGGATGGGGATGGAGGGGTTGGGGGGGATGGAGAGGTGGGGATGGGGATGGAGGGTTGGAGATGGAGGGGTTGGGATGAAGGGGTGGAGATGGGGATGGAGAGGTGGGGATGGGGTTGGATTGGCTGGGATGGAGGTATGGGGATGGAGGGGTGGGGATGGAGATGGAGGAGTTGGGATGAAGGGATGCTGATGGAGAGGTGGGGATGGAAGAAGGATGGGGATGGAGGGATGGAGATGGAGGGGTTGGACTGAAGGGCGAGGGATGGAGATGTGGGGCACCAAAGGGCATGGAACAATGAGGGGGGGCTGTGGGGTTGCCTCTGAACACCTCTGGGAGCACTGGGGGGTGTTGGGGGCTGTGGTGCCGTGTGCCAGCCCATCGTGTGTGTGTGCACGCGCGTGTGGCTGTCAGCCTGCCGCTGCGACCCGCGGGGCACGGTGGCGGGCAGCTCCCCCTGCGACCCCATCAGCGGGGACTGCTACTGCAAGCGCTTCGTGGCTGGGCGCTCCTGCAGCCAGTGCGTGGTGAGTGAGTGCCCCGGCCCCACGGCCCTGCCCCACGCACCCTGCTCCCCCCTACGGCACCTCCCCAGGGCCCAGCCGAGCCCCACGCCTGCCCCACATCCCCCCCATCTCCCCGCAGCCCGAGTTCTGGGGCCTCAGCTACGACGTGGGGGGCTGCCGGCCCTGCTCCTGTGACTTCGGGGGAGCCTACAGCAACCGGTGGGGTCCCACGGCGGGCACGGGGACCGGGGGGGACGGGGACGGGGAGAGAAGGGGATGGAGGGAGGGGGTCTCCAACCTTGGAGATGGAGGGGTGCAGGGATGGGTGAGGGCAGAGCTGGACAGAAGGACGGACAGAGGGACCCACGGCCACCCCAGGTGCTCCATGGAGGACGGGGCCTGCCCGTGCCGCCCCCACCTGATGGGCCGGCAGTGCGACCAGGTGCAGCCCGGCTTCTTCTGCGCCCCCCTCGACCACTACACCTACGAGGCCGAGCAAGCCACGGGACACGGACCCGACCACCCCCAGCTCCCGGTGAGTGTCCCCAGCCTGGGACCATGCACGGGGACACCGTGCACCATGCATGGCCGTCCCCGTGCCCTGTCTATGACCCCCCCTGTGCACGGCTGTCCCCGTCCCCGCAGGGTGCCGTGCGTGCCGAGGTGCCCCAGGACTGCCCCCAGCAGCGCCCCGGGGAGCCGGCGGGGCGGAAGGTTCGCCAGCGGCCCCAGCGCAGTCCCCGCCGTGCCCCCCAGCCCCGCGCCCCCCTGCGCCGCAGCCGCCAGCAGCCCCCCAAGGTGAGCGCCGGGGGGAGGTGGGGGCACGGCGGGGTGCAGCGGGGGTCCGGGGCTGAGCTCGGTGCCGTGCCCAGCCCGACGTGGAGCCGGTGCTGCGGGACGGGGCTGGGCGCATGGTGACCTGGACGGGTCTGGGGTTCGCCCGCGTGCGGGACGGGGCCGGGCTGACTTTCCACGTGGACGACGTGCCCTACCCCATGGAGTACGAGCTGCTGCTGCGCTACGAGCCCGAGGTGAGCGTGGCCACGGGGTGGAACCGGCACGCACCATGTGGCACAGCCCCACGGTGCTGATGGGGTCCCGTCTCTCGCCACAGTCGGCCGAGGACTGGGAGGCCGTGGTGAGCGTCAGCTCCCGGGTGCTGCCCACCAGCCCCCGCTGCGGGAACCTGCTGCCCTCCGAGCAGATGTACCGGGAGAGCCTGCCCCACAGCCAGAGGTGGGCACGGGCACGGGATGGGGATGGGATGGGATTGGGGATGGGATGGGATGGGATGGGATGGGATGGGGATGGGAACAGGGGCAGCCCCACCACGTAGGCGAGGGCACGGGGATGAGGGCAGGGACAGGAAGGTGGCCTTCCTTTGCACAGGTACGTGCTGCTCTCCCGGCCCTTCTGCTTCGAGCCCAGCACCCCGTACGAGGTGACCATGAGACTGCAGCGGGCTGGCGTCACCCAGCGCCACCCCGGAGCCTTCATCCTCATCGACTCGGTAAAGGGGGGGGCTCAGCACGGGTGGGGAGATGGGCAGGGATGGGATGGGATGGGATGGGATGGGATGGGATGGGATGGGATGGGATGGGATGGGATGGGATGGGATGGGATGGGATGGGATGGGATGGGATGGGATGGGATGGGAGGTGTTGGGGTTAGGGATGGGGATGGTGAAGGGGATAAGGATGGGAATACCCAGCCTGTGGGGGGTCCCCAAGCCCCCATACCCCCTATTTCCACCCCGGTGCCCTCCAGCTGGTGCTGCTGCCGCGTGTGTCAGAGCTGCCGGGTTTCCACGGGGCGGCGGCCGACGTGGCGCAGCGGCGCGAGGAGCTGGAGCGGTACCGCTGCCTGGAGGCTTTCCGCATGGCCCCCCCGCACACCCTGGCCGAAGCCTGTGCCCGCCTGGTGTGCAGCGTCTCGGCACTGCTGCACGACGGCGCCCTGCGTGAGTGGGGCCGTGGGGACGGGGCACGGGGGGCATGGGTGGGTGGGTGGGTGGGCGATGACGGAGCCGTGCGCGGTGCTGTGGGTCCGGATGGTGCCGTGCCTGGTTCAGGGGAGGGCAGGGGGTGGTGGCAGCGTGTTTTGGGGTGTCCCCATCCCCAGCTGTGTCCCTGCCACCCCGCAGCCTGCCAGTGCGACCCGCAGGGCTCCCGCAGCAGCGTGTGCCGGGCGCTGGCGGGGCAGTGCGAGTGCAAGCCCCACGTCCTCGGCCGCCGCTGCGACCGCTGCGCCCCCGGCAGCTACGGCTTCGGGCCCCTGGGATGCAGCCGTGAGTAGTGGGGTCTGGCAGCGTGCTGGGCATGCCAGGGGGTCCCTCTGTCTGTCCGTCCATCTGTCTGAGCCCCCTGTCGTGCACGGGGCTGCTCTACCCGGCAGCCCCCCTGACCTGAGCCGCGCCACCCTGCAGCCTGCGCCTGCTCCCCGGAGGGCTCCGTGTCCCCGCTGTGCGATGCGGGCAGTGGGCAGTGCCGCTGCCAGCCCGGGGCTGTGGGCCGGCAGTGTGACCAGTGCCAGCCGGGCCACTGGGGCTTCCCCACCTGCCGGCCCTGCCAGTGCAACGGGCACGCCGAGGACTGCGACCCCCGCACGGGCAGCTGCCTGCGCTGCCGCGACCACACCACCGGCCGGCACTGCGAGAGGTGGGCATGGGATGGGATGGGATGGGATGGGATGGGATGGGATGGGATGGGATGGGATGGGATGGGATGGGATGGGATGGGATGGACCCAGCAGACCTCACGGTCACCCTTGCAGGTGCCAGGACGGTTACTACGGGGACCCGGTGCTGGGCTCGGGGCAGCAGTGCCGCCCCTGCCCCTGCCCCGGTTACCCCGGCACGCGGCACTACCACGGGAGCGCCTGCCACGCCGACGAGGAGACGAACCACATCGTGTGCCTCTGTGCACCCGGATATGCTGGTGAGGGGCAGGTGGGCACCGTGCCGTGGGACCCCGGCGCTGCGGCCACGGGACCCCGGTGCCACCTCCCGTGTCCCCACAGGGCCACGCTGCGACCGCTGCTCCCCCGGCTACTTCGGGGCTCCGGAGACGGAGGGGGGAGCGTGCCGGCCCTGCCAGTGCAACAACAACATCGACACCAGCGACCCGGGGGCCTGCGACCCCCGCACGGGGCAGTGCCGCCGCTGCCTGTACCACACCGCCGGGCCCCGCTGTGCCCAGTGCCAGCACGGCTTCTTCGGCAACGCTCTGCAGCGCAGCTGCCGGCGTGAGCAGGGGACTGGGGACACGCGGGGATTCGGGGTGACACCACAGGTTGGGGTGGGCAGGGAGACATGAATGGGTTGTGCAGGGGATGGGGGATGTGGTGTTTTGGGGGTTTCTGGGGGGTTGGGGTGGGGGTAAGGGGCTGAGCCCCCCTGCCTGTGCCCCATGTGTCTGCACACTGCCCGCAGGCTGCAGCTGTGACCCGCGGGGGACGCTGGCCTCCTACTGTGCCACCGGTGCCTGCGACTGTGACCGTGCCACCGGGACCTGTGCCTGCCGGCCCCACGTGGTGGGCAGGAGCTGCGACCGCTGCGCGCCCCACTTCTGGAGCCTGGGGGGAGCAGGGGGCTGCGAGCCCTGCGGCTGCCACCCCACCCGCGCCCTGCACCCTGCCTGCGATGCGGTGAGCCCCCCGGCACGCATCCTGTGTCCTCCAGGGCTGGGCGAGCAGGGGGCTGAGCACCCTATTTTCACCACAGGTCACGGGGCAGTGCCACTGCCGCCCTGGTTTTGGGGGCCGCGTCTGCTCCCAGTGCCAGGAGCATCACTGGGGGGACCCCGAGCAGCAGTGCCGAGGTGGGAGCACGGCCAGGGGACTGGGTGTGGGGGCTGTGGGGTGTCCGGGGATGTGGGGATGCTGGGGAAGGAGGGGGCTTGGGGATAGAGGGGTTGGGGACACAGGGTGGTCCTGGGGGCATAGAGCACCCTTGGGACACAGGGGGGACCCTGGGTGGGTGGTGGGATTCTGGGGATGGGAGAGGGCACGGGGATAGGGGGGATGCTGGAATATGGGGACCCTGGGGATGTGAGGGACCCTTGGGACACAGCGAGCTCATGGGGACCTGGTGGGACCCAGGGGATGGGGACGACCCTGGAGCCCCAGTGGGATGCTGAGGACACGGTGGGACTACAAGGACATGGGTGACCCAGGGGACCCGGTGGCACTGTGGGGACACAGGGACCCCCGTGGAGGCCGGGCTGTGACATCTCCCACCTCCGCAGCCTGCGAGTGCGAGCCGCTGGGCGCCGAGAGCCCGCAGTGCGACCGAGCCAGCGGGCAGTGCCGGTGCCGTCCGGGCTTCGGGGGGCTGCGCTGCGACAGCTGCCAGCGGGGCTACCAGGCCGCCTTCCCCCGCTGCTCCCCCTGCCACCCCTGCTTCGGGCGCTGGGACGTGGCGCTGGGCAGCCTGCGGGACTGGCTGCGGCGCCTGGGGGCGCGGGCACGGGCGTTGCGCGAGGGGGGCTCTGCGCCCCCGCTCAGCCCCCGCCTGCGGGCGCTGGAGGAGGCTCTGGGGCGCGCGGAGCGGCTGCTGGGAGAGGGGGGCAGTGCCAGCAGCCCCCTCCTGCAGGAGCTGGCCGGGCGGCTGGATGGCACCAGGCAAGTGCACGCTGCGGGCTGGGGGGGAGTTTTGTCACCCAGAGGGGTCTGAGAGCTCCGTGCCCCCGCAGGACGGAGCTGGATGACTTCTGGAAGAGGCTGCAGGAGCTGGAGCAACATCTGGATCAGCTGGAGCAGGGAGATGTGCGGCATCGAGACCGGCTGGCCGGGCTGAGCCATGAGCTGGGGGGGCTCAACCGAACCGCCTCCCACCTCCAAGGTGTCCTCGGCACCGTGGCGGCGGCTGGGTTTGGGGGTGAGTGTCCTGTGAGGGGCTCGGGGACGTGGGGGTGGCCGTGCTGTGATGCTGGGGACTCAGGGGATATGGGGGGATATGGAGATCCTCAGAATAGAGGGACCCTAGGGACACGGAGGGGCTCTGGGGTTGTGGGGGACCTTGGGGACGCGGTGGCACTCAGGGGACGTGGGGCACCCTCCACCCGCAGAGTCCTACCAGAGCATCGTGGCGGCGGCGCGGGACTCGCGGCAGGCAGAGGCGGTGGCCAACGGCACGGCGGGCGAGCTGAGCGCGGCGCGGGCCAGGCGGCGGGCGGCCGAGCGGCTGCTGCGGCAGCGGGGCGATGCTTTCCGCCGCAGCATGGCTGCGCAGAGGAAATCCCTGAGGGAGGCACAGAAACGGGTGTCGGGGCTCAGCATGGCCAGGATCAACGAGAAGGTGAGGGGGGATAAAAGGGCGCAGGGGGAGAGTCCCCTTTAGGCCATTTGGCCACCCAGGTTGGGGGTCTCTCCTTATGTGACGTGTTCTGCCCACCCCATCTCCCCGTTTTGCCCCCCTGCAGATCTGCGGGGTGCCCGGGGACCGGAGCTGCTCAGAGTCACCCTGTGGGGGAGCCCTGTGCCGGGACAGCGTGGGGACACGGCACTGCGGGGGCGCGGGGTGCTCGGGGGCCCTGCCCGTGTCAGCTCGAGCCCTGAGCAGCGCCCGCAACGCCTCGCAGCAGCTGGAGGTGGCTCTGGGACAGCTGAGTGCCGTGGCGCAGAAGGTAGGGGTGGTGTCCCCACGTGCCCTCCGTGCCCTCGATGGGTCCTGTTGCCTTTTACACCCCCTCGCCTGTCCCATTCGTGTCCCCAGATGCAGGAGGTGCAGGACCTGGCGCGGGGTGCCCGCAGCCGAGCGGAGGAGGCGCTGGGGAGGTCACAAGCTGCCCGCAGCCGCACGGAGAAGGAGACAGCAAAGCTGCGGGACTTCATCCGGCGCATCAAGGCCTTCCTGGCTGGTAGGGCCGGCTCCGGGTGGGCACGGGGCATGGTGCGGGGCGTTGTGCCTGCCCTGAGCCCACCCCGCTCCAATGTCCCCACAGAGGAAGGAGCTGACCCAGGCAGCATCGAGCTGGTGGCCCGGCACGTGCTGAACATCTCCCTGCCCAGCAGCCCCGGCCGGATCCAGGAGCTGCTGCAGGAGATTCAGGAGAGCATCGGGCAGCTGGACGGAGTGGACGCGGTGCTGAACAGCACGGCGCAGGGGCTGGCTGCAGCGAAAGAGCTGCTGGCACAGGGACAGGACGCCCGGTGAGTGCTGGGGACGTGCCGGCTGGGCAGGGGGCTGGAGGCTGGGGGCTGGGGGCTCTGGCCAGGACTGGAGCTGCCGGTGTCACTGCAGGGAGCGAGCGGAGGGCGTGAGGGACGAGCTGGCGGGGACGCAGCGCGTGCTGCAGATGGCACAGGCACAGGTGACGGTGGCGGGGAGCGCCCTGCAGAGTGCCAAGGACACCATTTGGGCTGCCGAGAACAGCACCAAGGAGGTGAGGGGCAGCGGGGCTGTGGGAACGCTGGGGAGATATTGGGGTTGGGGTCCTGGGCATGCTGGGGAGCGGGGTGGGTGCTTTGGGTGCGCTGGGGGTGATGGGGTCAGCGCTGTGGCACGTTGCGGGTAATGGGCACGGCAGCCGTAACGGGGCCGGTGCCACGGGTACCCTAGGGGCACGGGGTGATGCAGGGCTGGTGTTTCGGGCACGGCGTCTCGTGGTGCCCGCCAGCAGCCCGTGCCCGTGCCTGCCCAGGCGGAGCGCAAGCTGCAGGCGCTGCAGGGGAAGGAGTCGCGGCTGCAGCGGCGGCTGCGGGAGCTGGCACAGCGCGTGGCCGCCCTGCAGGAGCGGGGACAGGGCGCACGGCGCATGGCCCAGGAAGCCAAGGAGGGGGCGCAGCGTGCCACCGCCACCTCGGGGACGCTGAGCCAGGTGAGCCCCAGCCCTGCACTGGGTGGGTTCGGGTGCGGGATGCTCAGCCTCACCGTGCCCCCGTGCTCGCAGGACCTGGAGCGGGTGACGCAGCGCTACGTGCTGCTGAAAGGCAAGGTCAGCGGGCTGGCCGGGGTGTCTGGCGGCGCCCTGCAGCGGGTGACAGAGCTGACAGCAGAGGCCCGGGACCTCCTGGACAAGGCCAACAGCAGCAAGAAGAAGCTGGAAGGTCAGGGGGCGGCACGGGGCGGGCAGCTCCCCATCACCCGGACCCCTCTCGGTGCCCACCTCCCCTTGCACGTCTCCCCTCGTGCTCCCCGCATCCCACCAGGGGTACCCCAGCACGCGTCCCCATGGGTGAGGGTGGCAGGGAGGGACAGGGGGGTGCCACCCGCGCTGTGCCCACGCCGCCTGTCCCCGCAGAGCTGGAGCAGCACTTCGGGGCCAACGAGCAGGCGATGACGGCCAAGGCGACGCAGCTGCAGGCGCTGGAGCGGCAGGTCTCGGGGCTGCTGCAGGAGATCCAGGAGCGGGCCAACGCTTACGCCACCTGCTAGGGAGCTCCGCGGGGCCGTGCCGTGCCGTGCCGTGCCGCCCTCCCTTTCCACGCGGGACACATTCCCCACGCCGCGTGGAAAAAACCCGCGGGCATCTGTAGCGCGGCTGCACCTGCAAATAAAGCCCTGAGCCCCGGCTGCCCGTGTCCGGCCCCTCGCTGCCCCTCGGACGTCCCCCCCACCCCACCCCACGCCGCGGTCACGCGTGGCCGATCCCCGCGGCGCCCCCCGCCTCCGGCAGGGCGGGCACGGCCCCGGCCCGGCCCCGCGTGGGCCGCCCCTGCCGGGACCCGCCCCGCGCTGTGCGCCCTGCCCCGAGCTCTGCGCCCGCGGCCAACTTCGGAGAGGGGCGGCGGGACCCCCCCGGGACCCCCCCGGCACCCCACGGACCCCCCCTCGGGTGCCACCTGCCCTGCGCCCCCCCGCGCGCTCCCCCCTGCCGCCATGCGCGCCCCCGCCGCCTTCCTCCTCCTCCTCCTCCTCGCCCCGCTGGTGGCCGGTGAGTGCGCGCCCCCCGGCCCGGGACCCCCCCGGGCTCCCCCCGGTGCTGGAACGGGGCCGGGCGGCGGGCGGGGGGTCCGGTCCCGGCGGGGCATTTCCGGGCGGCCGCGGAAGGGGCCCCCGGTGGGGCTGCGCTCCCGGCCCGGGAGCAGCCGGGGGAAGGGGACGGGGAAGGGGGGACCCGGCCTCAGCCGCCCCCCTGCCCACCCAGGGCCCGGGGGAGCCGCTGCCGCCGCCGCCGCCCCCGACGCCCCCCAGGGCTGCGCCCGAGGCAGCTGCTACCCGGCCACCGGGGACCTGCTGGTGGGGCGAGCCCCCCGCCTGAGCGCCTCGTCCACCTGCGGGCTGCGGAGACCCCAGCCCTACTGCATCGTCAGCCACCTCCAGGTGAGCGCAGCGGGGTCACGGGACAGGGCACGGGGTGGCTGGGGGGCAGCGCCAACCCCGTCCCACCCCGCTGGCAGGAGGAGAAGAAGTGCTTCGTCTGCGACTCGCGGCGCCCCTACGACGCCCGCAGCAACGCCGACAGCCACCGCATCGAGAACGTGGTCACCACCTTCGCCCCCCGCCCCAAGAAAGCCTGGTGGCAGTCGGAGAACGGTGAGTGCCCGACGGGGGCGGCGGGGTGTCCCTGGGGGGGCTTCGCTTCCCGTCCTCCCATGCCGAGGAAGCTGTGACTCACCCGGCACGGACGCGCCCCTGCGCCACGGCCAGGCAGGGCGGGCTCCGGCTGCCGGGGTCCCCCGGGGTCCCGCAGTCACGGGTGCCACCCCCACGCAGGCGTGGAGCACGTCAGCATCCAGCTGGACCTGGAGGCCGAGTTCCACTTCACCCACCTCATCATGACCTTCAAGGTGGGTGTCGGGGGGGCACGGGATGGGACGGGAGGGACCCCGCAGCCCGGGGGCACCCGTCCCAGCTCTGTGCCCCGCAGACCTTCCGCCCCGCTGCCATGCTGGTGGAGCGCTCGGCCGATTTCGGGCGCAGCTGGAAGGTGTACCGCTACTTCGCCTACGACTGCGCCGCCGCCTTCCCCCACGTCCCCCGCGGGCCCCCGCGCCGCGTCGACGACGTCGTCTGCGAGTCCCGCTACTCTGACATCGAGCCCTCCACCGAGGGGGAGGTGAGGCCCCGGTGGTGCCGGGGGACGCTTCGGGGACCCTGCCAGCCCCTCCCCACCCTGTTTCTCCCCGCAGGTGATCTACCGCGTGCTGGACCCCTCCATCCCCATCCGCGACCCCTACAGCCCTGCCATCCAGGGTGAGTGGCCAGCCCTGGCTCCCGCCTGTCTGCTCTATTTTGGGTGCCGCTATTTTGGCTGCTCTCCCCTTGCCCTGAGCCCCACAGCGGGCTGGGGGACAGAGCCAGCCCACGGGGGCTGCAAGCTGTCCCCGGGGTGTGGGTGACAGTGTGGCACCGCAGGGTGCCCAGCGAAGGGAGATGGGGGCGGCCGTGCAGGTGCCCAGCCCAACACCGAGCAGATGCACAGGACGGGGTTGGTAGCAGGCAGAGGAATCGGACCAGGCGCAGGACACTGTGGGTTAATCAGGCAGCCAGGGCTAAATTTAGGCTGGAAGAAAAAAGGAGAGGAATCTGCGGGGCTGAGACGCTGGGAAACTGCAGTCCCCAGGGAGCCGTCCTGCCCTGCTGGGACCCCAGCGCATTGCGCACGGCGCAGCGACCGCGTGCGCAGGAGCCCCACGGCTCTCGGCCACGTGCAGCCCGGCACGATGGCACGCAGGGGGCAGGGACAGGCGGAGCCGTGAGCAGCCTGGCCACCCCATGCCATCGCTGCCACTTGCCCTGCACAGACCTGCTGCGCGTCACCAACCTGCGGGTGAACCTCACCAAGCTGCACACGCTGGGGGACGACCTGCTGGACTCGCGGCGGGAGATCCGGGAGAAGTACTACTACGCGCTGTACGAGCTGGTGCTGCGCGGGAACTGCTTCTGCTACGGCCACGCCTCGGAGTGTGCCCCGCTCAGCGGGGCCCCCACCACCGCCGACGGCATGGTAGGCGAGCCGGCGGCACTCGTGCCCTGCCGGAGCGGGGTGGATGCGGTGCCCGGTCCCGTAGCCCCTCACCGCGGTGTCCCGGCAGGTGCACGGGCGCTGCGTCTGCAAGCACCACACGCAGGGCCTCAACTGCGAGCGCTGCGAGGACTTCTACCACGACCTGCCCTGGCGCCCGGCCGAGGGCTCCAGCACCAACGCCTGCCGCCGTGAGTGCCCCGCACCGACACCGGCACCATGGCACAGCCACCCTGTGGTGCTGGGAATGGGGTCCTGTGTGCTGCCCTGGGGGATTTGAGGGTGCTGCATGTCTGCTTGGGGGGTTTCAGCATCCCATGTATGGTGGCTTGGGTTTGGGGACTGGGGGTGCTGCTGCTGGTGGAGGATTTGGGGGCTGGGGGTGCCGCATGCCATGCCGCGGTGTCGTCCCCGCAGGGTGTGACTGCAACGAGCACTCGCGGCGCTGCCACTTCGACATGGCCGTGTTCCTGGCCACGGGGAACACCAGCGGGGCTGTGTGCGACGGCTGCCAGCACAACACCATGGGCCGCCGCTGCCACCTCTGCAAGCCCTTCTACTACAAGGACCCCAGCAAGGACCTGCGGGACCCCGCCGTGTGCCGAGGTCGGAGCTGGGCTGCGGGGAGGGACCGGGGGTGCACGGGGTGGGACAAGGCTGCGCCTGGTCCCGCTGTCACAGACCTGTGGGGCTGGCACGAGGGGTCTGGATGCTGACCCTGCCTGTTCCCCAGCCTGCGACTGTGACCCCGAGGGCTCCCTGGACGGGGGGCTGTGCGACGGCGCCGACGACCCTGCCCGGGGGCTGATCGCGGGGCAGTGCCGCTGCAAGGAGCACGTGCAGGGCCCCCGCTGCGACCGCTGCAAACCCGGCTTCTTCGGGCTCAGCGCTGCCAACCCGCAGGGCTGCCAGCGTACGTACCACTGCCGGGGCAGGGGCTGCCCACGGGGGTGTGGGGGGCACCCACTGGTGCTGAGCGCGTGGCTCGGCCCTGCTGGGTGCCACGGGGTCCCTGCGCAGGGTGCCGGTGTGACCCCCGCGGCACGGTGGCGGAGGGCGGGCGGTGCGATCCCATCAGCGGTGACTGCCTCTGCAAGCGGCTGGTGACCGGGCGCAACTGTGACCAGTGCCTGGTGAGTGCCAGGGGCCGTGCCAGGAGCTGTGCCAGGCGCTCGGGGCCGTGCCAGGGGCTGGGCACCGCGCTCAGGGCTGTGGCACCGTGGCTGGCTGCTCTCTGACGCCCTCGCTCCCCACAGCCCGAGCACTGGGCTCTCAGCCACGATCTCCAAGGCTGCCGGCCCTGCGACTGCGACGTGGGAGGTGCTCGCGACAACCTGTGAGTTTTATCACGGCCGAGGGTGTGAGGGGTGTCCCTGCCGGCCCTGGGGGGCTGACGGTGCCGCCGGGGTGCCAGGTGCGCCGTGGAGACGGGGCAGTGCCGGTGCCGCAGCCACGTGGTGGGCCGGCAGTGCGGGCAAGTGGAGCCCGGCTTCTACCGCATCAACCTGGACCACTACACCTACGAGGCTGAGGATGCCCGGCTGCACCAGGTGAGGGGCAAAGCTGTGCCTGGTGGGGGATGCAGGCTGAGCAGGGCACCAGGAGGGACATTTGCAGGGTCCCCAGGCTGGCAGACAGTGCTTGGCCCCGTTGCCGTGTCAGGCAGCAGCAGGGCTGTGAGCCAAGAGGATTTTTGGGGTCCCGTCTCACAATGTCCCTTGCCCCAGGGCTCGGTGGTGGAGCGCGAGCCCCCCGCGGGTCGCCCAGCTTCGTGGACAGGGACAGGCTTTGCCCGCGTGCAGGAGGGCAGCTGGCTGGAGTTCCACGTGAGCGACGTGCCCTTCTCCATGGAGTACGACGTGATCATCCGCTATGAGCCCCAGGTGAGCCCTAACTGGTGCATGCCCAAAAGAGCAGCCGTGGGGCTTTCGGTGCAGCGATTTCTGTCCCGTTCTTTGCCTGCAGCACCCGGAGCCCTGGAAGGAGGTGCGGGTGAGGGTGCTGCGCCCCAGCCCCGTCTCCGCCAGCAGCCCGTGCGGGAACACCATCCCGGCTGACGACCAGCTCTCCACCAGCCTCCCGTCCGGCGCCAGGTGAGCGTCCCACCGGGGCTGTGCCGAGCCGGGGCTGGCAGGAGGCACCCAGCTGCCCGGGCTTTGCTTTGCCCCCCCAGGTACGTGGTGCTGCCCCAGCCCGTCTGCCTGGAGCGGGGCGTCTCCTACACCCTGCGCCTGGAGCTGGGCTGTGCCACGGCTCGGCAGGACTCCACCGCGAGCGTGCTCATCGATTCGGTGAGTGGGCACAGGATGGGGCACGGCACCCTGCGGGGGCGTGGGGGGGCTGTGCAGGGTGCCACAAAGGATGCAGCATTAGGGGACGTGGGGAGAGACGAGGTGACGTCCCGCTGACCTTCCCCAGCTGGTGCTCCTGCCCCGTTACTCCTCCCTGGAGATGTTCATCGCAGGCGACCCCGGTGCCATGGGACGCCGGGAGACCTTTGAGCGGTACCGCTGCGCCCAGCACTTCCACGGCGTGGGGCAGGCTCCCGTGGCCGAGCCCTGCTCCAGCCTCCTGCACAGCCTCTCGGCCATCCTGCACGACGGGGC